GGGAGGGACCTCAAGGAAGATGACTGAATTATGGAGGCTGGTCTTTCCTGCGCTGTTCTGTTGATAGTGAATGGGTCTCATGAGATCTGATCATTTTAAAACAGTTGTCATGCACAATTCTCCTTGCCTGCTGCCTTCCACATAAGCTGCGACTTGCTCCTCCTAGATTGTGAAGCCTCCCTAGCTATGTGGAACTGTGAGTCCAATTAAACCTCTTTCTTTTGAAAATTGCCCAGTCTTGGGTATGTCTTTATCAGCAGCATAAAAATGGACTAATATACCCTGATTCGATCATTATAAAATGTATACGTGCACTGAAACACCACATGGCACGACTATGTACAATTATTGTGACAATTATAAAGAAAAATATAAAAAGTTTTGAACTCCTGACCCCCCCAAAAAAGAAGGAAAACTGAGTCTCAGAGATGTTAAATAAGCTACTGAAGCTCACTAAGCAAATCACTATTGAAACCAGGAAAACAATCTGCCTCCTGGATCCCAAGGCAGTATTCTTTTCACTGTACCACAGTGCGTCTCAAAATAGCTTTGATATTCACAATCCTTCCTCAAATTGTATTCAGAATTTGTAGTGAGAAATTCTATATTTAGCTAAAAGAATATTTAAATTTTCTATTCTTAGTTCCATTCCTCGAGCTCGGTTTACTAAGCAGTAAACCTCTGTGACATTATTCCCCCTCGTTCCTGTTAAAATACGAAATTTTTAAAAAAGCATTATGTTACAATTACACCGGTTAACATTTCTTAACAGGAATCATAATCACAGGGATATCAGAAATCTGAAATTTCTTTAAGAAGCTTATAAAAACTGTATTCACACAAAGGAGAACCTATTCAGATACCACAAGGCAGTTCAGATTCACTACTTGCATTTTAATGTCATTACCATTTTATTTTTATTTTTAATTTTTGGGACAGAGTCTTGTTTTGTCTCACAGGCTGGAGTGCAGTGGCGGGATCTCAGCTTGCTGCAACCTCCAACTCTCAGGTTCAAGCAATTCTCCTGCCTCAGCCTCCCGAGTAGCTGGGACTACAGACATACACCACCACGTCTGACAATTTTTTTTGTATTTTTAGTAGAGAGAGGGTTTCACCATGTTGGTCAGGCTGGTCTTGAACTACTGACCTCAAATGATCTGCCTGTCTCAGCCTCCCAATGTGCTGGGATTATATGCGTGAGCCACTGTGCCTGGCCTCATTACCATTTTAACATTTACTTAAATAAAAAAAGGGTCTCTACACCATGTTTCAAAAAAATACATTTAAATGTTTTAACTTATTTCAGCTAATAAATGAAGAAAGCATAGAATTAATAAGACCATCACCATTTTGCAACCCCCAATGAAATAACAGATCTAGGTAATGACTGTCAATGGCTGTTAACACCACAACAAATTTTTTTAAAATTTAACAAAAGAATCAGACATTATATATCTCTTGATGGAAGTACACAACAGCTTCTATGAAATAGTCTTGCAATAATAATTGTTTAAAACCCTAACAAACCTTTATTATAAATACCAGTTTACAGGAAATACACAGAAAGGAAAAGCACACTCTAGAATAAACTAGTTTCTTCAAGAAACACATAGTTGTGTGGGCAGGGGAGATAAGAGGCAGGAAAAGAAAGAACTCATGAAATTAAAAACGAGCAAATGGGGCCCAGCGTGGTGGCTCATGCCTGTAATCCCACCACTTTGGGAGACCGAGGCGGGTGGATCACGAAGTCAAGAGATCCTGGTCAACATGGTGAAACCCCGTCTCTACTAAAAATACAAAAAAATTAGCTGGGCATGGTGGTGCATGCCTGTAATCCCAGTTACTCAGGAGGCTGAGGCAGGAGAATTGCCTGAACCCAGGAGGTGGAGGTTGTGACGAGCCAAGATTGCGCCATTGCACTCCAGCCTGGGTAACAAGAGTGAAACTCCATCTCAAAAAAAAAAAAAAAAAACGAGCAAACAAACTTTAGAAACAAATCAACAAACTACAATGAATCCTGATTGAAACAGACCAACTGTACGAGAAAATGTGAACACTAGGCTGGGCCCGATGGCTCATGCCTGTAATCCCAGCAATTTGGGAGGCCAAAGCGAGCGGATCACCTGAGGTCAGGAGTTTGAGACCAGCCCGGCCAACATGGTAAAATCCTGTCTCTACTAAAAATACAAAAAAGTTAGCTGGGCATGGTGCCAGGCACCTGTAATCCCAGCTACTCAGGAGGCTGAGGCAGGAGAATTGCTTGAACCCAGGAGGCGGAGGCTGTAGTAGTGAGCCGAGATCACACCATTGCACTCCAGCCTGGGCAACAAGAGGGAGGGTCCATCTCAAAAAAAAATAAGAAGAAGAAGAAAGAAAGAAAATGTGAACACTAGATATTAGAAAATGTTAAGAAATTATTTTAATTTTTTCCATTATGAAATGAGATTATACTTGTATTTAAAGGAGTCTTTATCATTAGAGTTACATACTGAAATGTTCACAGATAAAGTGATGTGATGTCTGGGATTTGCTTTAAAATAATTTCGAGTGGAGGCTGGTTTACAGAAGAAACTGGATGATGGGCACAGAGGATTCATTATACTATTCTATTTGTCATAGGTTTGAAATCTTTTTTAATACAAGTGCTTTAATAAACTTTTGATTGCCTAAATACTATCAGACTAGAAGATGAATCTGTTAAAAGAAATTCTTTCCATTCTGAGTTTGCTACGAGTTTTCATCGCAACTGGTCTTTGCACTATCAACTACTTTTTCTGTATCCAATAAGTAGGTCATATGATTTTCCCGTTTTTTCTGTTAATGTGATGAGTTACACTGATTAACTTTCAAATGTCAAACCAACCTCAACAAAAGCCAATTTGGTCATGATTATTGGGGTCTTTTTTGTTGTTGTTTTACTTTGGGCTCTGGTGTACATGTGTACTTCCTGCATCCTGCAAGATATTTGCATAGGTATATACATGCCATGGTGGTCTGCTGTCTCCACCACCTCTCATTGCCCACATCAGGCATTTCTCCTGGTGTTGTCCCTCCCTGTCTCCCCACTGTCCCTTCCTTCCCCTCCCCTCCACCTCAACCTATCCCTGTGAGTGTTGTTCCCTTCCCTGTGCCCAAGTGTTCTCATTGTTCATCACCCGCCTATGAGAGAGAACATGCAGTGTTTGGTTTTCTGTTCTTGTGTTGGTTTGCTGAGAGGGATGGTTTCTAGATTCATCCATGTATCTACAAAGGACATGAACTCATCATTTTTTGTGGCTGCATAGTATTCCATTGTGTAGATCTGCCACATTTTCTTTGTCCAGTCTATCACTGATGGGCATTTGGTCTTTTTATATATTAATAAATTCAATTTGCTAACATTTTGTTTAGAATTCTTATATTTCTGGTTTTGAAAGAGATTGGCCTATAATTTGCATTTCTGATATGTCATTTTCAAACTTTGGTCCTAAGGTAATGCTGGCCTCTTAAAATTAGTTAGAAGTATTCTACATTTTTCTATTTTTGAGACGGAGTTCCGCTCTTTTCACCCAGGTTGGAGTGCAATGGCACGATCTCAGCTCACCGCAACCTCCGCCTCCTGGGTCAGGCAATTCTCCAGCCTCCTGAGTAGCTGGGATTACAGGCACGTGCCACCATGCCCAGCTAATTTTTGTATTTTTAGTAGAGACGGGGTTTCACCTTGTTGACCAGGATGGTCTCGATTTCTTGACCTCGTGATCCACCCGCATTGGCCTCCCAAAGTGCTGGGATTACAGGCTTGAGCCACCGTGCCCGGCTTACCTTTTTCTACTCTCTGAAGAAGTTGTGTAAGATTAGTATTACCTCTTCCTTAAATATTTGAAAGAATTCACCCACAAGGTTATCTGGGCCTGAATACTTCTTTATGGGAAGATTTTAAATTACAGAAGGAACTTATTTAGTAGCCTAGAGTCTACACATTGGCAGGTTGCGTTTAATATCATCTTCTTATATTTTTCATGCCTGCAAAATCTGTAGAAATGTTCCTTTTTCATTTCTGATGTTGGAATTGTGTGCTTACTTGCTCTCATTTGCTCATGTTATCTCCCTCTTTCTTGCTTTCCCTTTGATTTATTTGCTAGAGATCTGTCATATTTATTATTGTTTTCCAAGATTCCACTTTTGGTTCTGTTGTTTCTCTCTATTGTGCATTTGTTTTCTATTTAATTAGTTTTTCTTACATTTATTATTTACTTCCTTCTACTTTTGTAGATTTATTTTGCTGGATTTTTTTCTAGTTTTTTTAGTTAAATATTTCTAGTCTTCATTTCAACCTTCCTTATTTTCTAATAGTATGCATTTCAAAGCTGTAAAATTCTCTGTAGGCACAGCTTCAGTAGAAGCTATGGGTTTTAATATTATATTTTCATTATTATTCAGTTCAAAATACTTTCTAGTTTCCATTACAAGTTCCTATTTGAGCTCTGATGTATTTAGAATTATATTGCTTAATTTAATAACAGTTCAGGGTTTTCCAGTTAACTGTCATTGATACTTAGCTGAATTTTACTGTTTCAGAGAATACAATCTGTATGACTGTAAACCTTTGGAAACTTTATGCGTGCTTTATGGCTCAGCATAACAAATGTTCCCTGTACACTGGAATTGAAAAAAAAAAGATGAATCTGTGTTATGGAATGATTAATAGTACTATATAGTAAAAACTAGATAGGTGAAATTTATCTTTACAGAGGAAGATCATATATTTCCTTTGAAAAATAAGGAAAACTTCATATCAAATACATTTACAAAGTTATAGATGTCAAAAATAAAAATTAAAAACAATTTAGAAAATTACAGACAAAGAATAATAAGCACAGTGAACTAATTTAATATACCTGAAAGGAAAAAAACATGTCAGTTGACAAATATCATGAAAGGAGTTATGCTCTTGTTAACATTTCTGATGACATAGGGCTAATTTAACACAGTTTAAAAAGACACGTAGGTTTAGTTTTTACCTCTAAATGCGCCTGCAATATTCCAGCCAGCTGTTTGGCCAGCTGCATGTGGTACTGTGTGCCTGAGCCGTAGGTTTCTCTGGTAACTGGGTTAGCTATTTCCATGCTCAGTAAGTAGGATTTAAACCTGATGGTCTATAATAACAGAGGAGAAAATGCAGAATTAGTCTGTCTACCCCAGTATCTGAAATTCCATCATACATTCAATTCCATTCAACTATTTCTACGTGTACCCATTCCTTCTACTATGTTTCTATGCTGTGAACTGTAATGGAACAGATTTCCAGGAGTTCCCTACATACATCTAATTATTCTCCATCCTACTTCTCTCGTGGTCTCTCATACTCTATTTATTTAATAAATTTGATGTGAGAGGAGATTCTGATAACAACTGGGCTATATATAACGCCAACCAAATAGTACAATGGAAAATTTAGGAAAATGGCAGTGATTAGATTGTAGACAAACTGAATGAAACAAACATCAACCTTAGGAATATGTATAAAACAGCCACTCCTTAGACATTTCAGTATCTCTGTTTTCTACACTCCAAAAAAGGCATTGAAATAGCCTTTAATCCTAATAGAACTAAGAGAAATTTTATGATTGACTTTTAGTACTTTAACATATCCCCAAGTCCCAAAAGAAATAAAACAGTACATTCAGAAAGGCAATGTAAACCACAGAAACCTCACTGCATTATATGTGTCATATTGTTCCAAATGCCTTTAAAAAAAGCAACTTATTTACCTCATCTTCTGTGATGTCACCTTGTTTGTCTTTAATTTTATTAGCAATTGATTTTGATAACGCCACCATTTCCTTAGCCTGTCAAATAAAAAGACTGAAAAGTAATATTGTCCCCAAAATGTCTGCTAATTAAATATGTTTCAAAAACTGTATTATAATTGGTATGAATTTAATAGGCATAAATGACATATACCTTGATCATTAGTTTGCTGAGGTCTTCAAAGGCCTGAAATGAGAAATAAATTTTTGTTGAAATCCATCTAAAGAATTAAAATGACTTAAAGCAATGAAGTACCCTCTATTTTTTCCTTATGTTAAAAATTTGAAATTTTCTTACAAATATCAATTTGTTAATAAATATTTATAAAGTAATACATCTACCTTATTCTAAAATTTCATTTTAGCTAAAAACCATAAATTTAGGACCAGGAGCAGCAGCTCATGCCTGTAATCTCAGCACTTTGGGAGGCCAAGGCAGGCGGATCACCTGAGGTTAGGAGTTTGAGACCAGCCTGACCAACATGGAAAAACTCCCAACTCTGCTAAGAAAAAAAAAAAAAATACAAAAAACTTAGCTGGGCGTGTTGGCGCATGCCTATAATCCCAGCTACTCCAGAGGCTGAGGCAGAAGAATTGCTTTAACCTGGGAGGTGAAGGTTGCAGTGAGCCAGGATCGTGCCATTGCACTGCAGCCTGGGCAACAAGAGTGAAAGTCCGCCTCAAAAACAACAACAACAACAACAAAAACCCATTAATTTTCCAAACAAACTATAAAAAAATTCACATTTTCAAAGAGAAAATAATTATTATTGATTAAACAAACAAAAGGTGACATAAACTATAGTTCAGAAAGTATTATTTACTGTTATTTGACAAAAGTAAGAAATTCTGCCACTGGTTTTTCCTAAAATCATTTCCTAATAGGAAGTCAAGAATCAAAAGCACTATAAAGCTTTCCTGGTTGAAAATTGCAATACACAGCTGCAGGAATAGTTCTTTGGGCCCAATAATTTTGGCTTTAACACAGGTGTGATTTAACTGAAACAGTAAGTCCAGCCTCTGACTATCAACCCCGTTATACTTGTAGATATGGTGGATATCATAAAAGAAAAACATTTAAATACCATCTAAAGGTATCTACATAGAATCAATTGTTTAATTTGCTACAGCAAATAACTACTTGAAAGGCCTTTTCAAATTTAATTATATTTATAATAAATTATTTCAATTTACTGAAAATATACTACCAGTGCAGAATATCTTACCTAATTGATGCATACAGATGTTACTTTTTAAAAGCAATTAAGCAGCATGCCATTCACTGAAATACCAGTCCACATGGTGGTCTGAAACATATACTAGTTGCTCTGATCAACTTATGCCCATCTGCAGGAAAGCGTCCCCCATCTGCAAAAGGATTTTGCTAAAAGAATAGCATGTTGTGTATTCTTATGGCCAATTCACTAAGGTTAATACTGAAAACAAAGGGGAATGTGCACACACCTAACAGGAATTTCCTTAGATATACAAAAGGCTTAAACACTGGATTCTTATCAGTTAGAGCAGGCAGATGCAGGAAACCCTTTATGAGAAACTCTGGGCACCAGCTCTGAAACTAAGTCAATTCTAACATTTAAACAGAGGGCAAATCACACACCAACCTAGTTTTCAAAAACAAAACACACATTTTGCACTTAGATTTTTACTTTTAATATATAAAATATTAATAGATTTCTTTTATCTGTGTTAAGAAAACTGGTAAGACAACACTTTTAAATTTTATATGGTAAATCACTGTATTTATTATATTATGTTGCTGTAGAAAAAATATGCTAAGTTAATAGTGGGTGCACAAAGAATATATAAACAAGCCCTTTAAACTTACACAGAGGCAATAAAAAATACAGTAAATATTTTAGTGCCTTAAAGAAAAATCTATAAATATTTTATGTGATTATTAAACCCAGAGTAAAGCTTCCTCACTTCTATATCTATAATTATTGTAAAATTTGGAATTAGTCAACTATCAAAAAATGGGTTAAGAAACTACCTACAATAAAAATTAAAGCAAAAGAGACACACATAGCTATTCAATAATTGTATCTGCCAGTTTATGGAACCTTGCATCCCTCTACCACACCTATGGTCAAATTTCCACTTCAATTCTGAGAAAAACAGCACCTGCTTTAAAACCAAGAGTACCCTCCTAAGCTAACTTATGGCATGATTTCTTACTTATTTTTAGTTATCACTTTGGCTATTAGCATCAGTAACAATATATTCTTGATTTTCCATTTCAGTACTCTCGAATGTGCCTTGCATCTTCCATTCCCTTTTCCTGGTTTCTTATCCATGCTAGTCATCTGCTAGAGCCTATTCACCTTTCAACATTTGACTGCCATATTCCTGCTGCTAACATGCCCTCGATGACCTCAAAAGAAGTTAGGGATCATGTTATATGTCCCTGCTGCAGGCTGTATGTTCTCCTTGAAATGGTGTTTCTCCCACTGAATAATGCCTCTTTGCCTGTCTGTGTCTGTGCATCACCCCAGTATCCACAGCCTCTGATACAAGGCCTGGCACAAAGTAGGGAGGAACACCTGCTAAATAAATTACTGATCTGCATGATTAATGATCTGCTGAATAAATTAATGATCTATATGGTGGAGCACAACGCTTATGTAGAATCCTTTGAGCTATGCGACTCCAAGAAAATTAGACCAAAACAAAATAACTTACTTTATAAATTAAGAAAAACATTATTTTCAACAAACCATTGAGTTAGAATGGCACTATTCAGAAAGAAAAATACAAATAACGGAAAATTAGCCCACTGCTCCATGCCATCTCCAAAAGTGTTGACATAAAGAGGTCGGTGACAGACACTGCTGAAAGATGGTGACAGCACCTTCTAGGTGGCGAAGAGAGCAGTGATGATGTGGTGCACTGTCATCACCAGCAACTGCCTGCAAACCAGGAGACATGGATTCTCCTCTGCTTCCTTCCAAATCTAGTCACTCACTCTGAGGCAATTTCTTCTCTGAATAATAAGGAGCCTTCTAATGCTAAAATGTTGAAATTTTATCAATCTTCTTAGAATAGACGATTCTGAAAAGATGGTGGCTATGGCAGCACCGTTTTTCAATCTCTCCAGTTCACAACATGAAAACAGACAGGGTAACTAGATCTCAAAACCAAAAACCCCATAGGTAACATACATTATAATACTAAGTGTTAGAATACTAGCAAAACTCCCCAAAGATACAAGCAGGTGGGGCAAACTGCTAAGAGCCATAAGACCTGCAGGATGCTAGCATCTAGGTAGTAGAAAGAAAAGGAAAGCAACAATGTAACCACACACCTGAGAATGAGAGAGCCCCAAAAGGGCCAATAGGGATTCACCAGAAAGCAAGGCAGGCCAATTTGAGGACAGTGCCTAAAATGGGGAGGGTTTTGCCTACTTCAATAATAGAAAGGCCTACTATCAACCTTTTATTTCAAAATAAGCTAAAAGATGTTAAGAAGATGATACAAGCTATGAAGGATCAAATTAAATCAGAAACAGATGACGGAATTCAGAAAAGAATTAAAAATAAAGGAAAAAATCATTTCAGAAATAAAGGCTACACTAGACAGACATGAGTGAATAAACACAACAGATAAAACCTTCAAAGAAAGGTAAAAAAGAGGAAAACTTTCTAAATAAAAAAGAAAGGAAAAGCATTAGTGTCACAAATAGTGAAGACAGGCAGTGAAACTGCAACATACAGCTAATGGGAGTCTCAGAAGAAAAGAATCAAAGCAATTATTGAAAATTATAGTTCGCCTCTCAGAGGTGGAAATGCAGTAGTTGGGATCGTCCGATGCTGCGGAGCTGGAGGCAGAGGCGGCTGGGAAGGTCCGATCGGTGTGACCAGGCCACTATTGCTCGTCTCCTCTTCTCTCCTGCCGCCTCTTGTCTTGAAAATAACTTTTTTAGGCTAAATAAATAAATAAAGAAAAAAAGCCACCCGCTCCTCACACCCTCTCTTCCTCTCAGCCTTCCTCCCGGTGAGGAAGCCCGGGGCGGCCGCTCCGCCATCTGGGCCGCGCCGACGAGCCCTGGCCACCCGGGGCCGCCCCCATGCATCCCTTCTACACTCGGGCTGCCACCATGATAGGCAAGATTGCTGCCACCGTGTCCTTCTTCTCCAAGTTCCTCCACACCAGGGGGCTCACGAGCGAGCAACAGCTGCAGACCTTCAGCCAGAGCCTGCAGGAGCTGTTGGCAGAACATTATAAACATCACTGGTTCCCAGAAAAGCCATGCAAGGGATCGGGTTACCGTTGTATTCGCATCAACCATAAAATGGGGCCAGGCGCGGTGGCTGAAGCCTGTAATCCCAGCACTTTGGGAGGCCGAGGCAGGTGGATCACGAGGTCAACAGATCGAGACCATCCTGGTCAACATGGTGAAACCCCATCTCTACTAAAAATACAAAAAATTAGCTGGGCATGGTGGCGCGTGCCTGTAATCCCAGCTACTCAGGAGGCTGAGGCAGAAGAATTGCCTAAACGCAGGAGGCAGAGGTTGCAGTGAGCTGAGATTGCGCCATTGCACTCCAGCCTGGGTAACAAGAGTAAAACTCCGTCTCAAAAAAAAAAAAAAAAAAAAAAAAAAGGATCCTATGATTGGACAGGCAGCACAGCGGATTGAAGTGAGCAGTCAGGAGCTGTTCAGGCTTCTCCCAAGTGAACTCACACTCTGGGTTGACCCTTACGAAGTATCCTACAGAATTGGAGAGGATGGCTCCATCTGTGTGCTGTATGAAGCCTCACCAGCAGGAGGTAGCACTCAAAACAACACCAACGTGCAAGTGGTAGACAGCCGAATCAGCTATAAGGAGGAACTTCTCTTGGACAGAACGAGCCCTTCCAAAAACTACAATATGATGACTGTATCAGGTTAAGATATAGTCTATGGATGGATCATCTTATAGTGATGGATAAATTTGATATTTGCTTTGGGTGGGCTCCTCTTGGGGACTGGATTACGGAATTTAAACCATGTCACAGCTGTGAAGATCTGGCACAAGATAGAGTGGTAAAAAAAATTGTTAAGTGACAGTGCCATAGTGCCTTTCAGTGATTAATTTTAATAGCCTGTGAGTCCAAGTAAATGATCACTTTATTTGCTAGGGAGGGAAGTCCTAGGGTGGTTTCAGTTTCTCCCAGACATACCTAAATTTGTACATCAATCCCTTTAAAGAAAATCTGTATTTCAAAGAATCTTTCTCTGCAGTAAATCTCGCAGAGGAATTTGCACTATTACACTTGAAAATTGTTATTGTTAACCTTTTTGGCAGCTCAATAGGAAAGCTAAACGTTTCAAACATGATAGTACTGGAAATTTTACAAGAGTTTTACCTAGCACTTAAATATGTATAAATGTACATAAAGACAAACTAGTAAGCACGACCTGGGGAAATGGTCAGATCTTGTATTGTGTTTTTGGCCTTGAAAGTAGCAAGTGACCAGAATCTGCCATGGCAACAGGCTTTTAAAAAGACCCTTAAAAAGACACCGTCTCAACTGTGGTGTTAGCACCAGCCAGCTCTCTGTACATTTGCTAGCTTGTAGTTTTCTAAGACTGAGTAAACTTCTTATTTTTAGAAAAGTGGAGGTCTGGTTTGTAACTTCCCTTGTACTTAATTGGGTAAAAGTCTTGTCCACAAACCACCATCTATTTTGTGAACTTTGTTAGTCATCTTTTATTTGGTAAATTATGAACTGGTGTAAATTTGTACAGTTCATATATATTGATTGTGACAAAGTTGTACAGATTTCTATATTTTCGATGAGAAATTTTTCTTCTCTCTATAATAAATTGTTTCTTATCTTGGCATTAAAAAAAAAAAAGAAAATTATAGGCTGGGCATCCCAGTACTTTGGGAGGCCAAGGCGAGTGGATCACGAGGTCAAGAGTTTGAGACCAGCCTGGCCAATATGATGAAACCCCATTTCTACTAAAATTATAAAACATTAGCCAGATGTGGTGGCACGTCCCTGCAATCCCAGATACTTGGGAAGCTGGGGCAGAAGAATTGCTTGAACCTGGGAGGCAAAGGTTGCAGTGAGCTGAGATTGCACCACTGCACTTCAGCTTGGGAGACAGAATGAGACTCTGTCGTAAAAAAAGAAGAGAAAATTATAAAAAAATTTCCCTGAAGTTAAAACATTCCTGAAATGAAACTATATATTGAAAAAGCACAGCATATACCTATGAATAACAACTCAGAATCACTAATACACAGACACATTTTAGCAAAATTACCAGGCTTTAAAATAAAATTTAAAAATCCTTTGCCCATCTAGGAAAAACAGCACGTGGCTTTTAAGGGGAAAAAATCAGGTTATCTTCACTCTTTGACAGCAACACTTCGTGCCAGACCAAAGGAAAAAAAAGAAAGTAATATAATGAAGGCACTCAAAGGAAAATGGGAGCCAAGGATTTAAAATCCAACAAAACTAATCTTCATGTCTAAGGAAGACAAACATGACAGATACAGTGTTGTTCTATGATCATTTCCTAAAAAATCTACTACCAAATGAGCTTCAGACAACCAAAGTGACTACAGAGAGCTCAGCATAGGACTGTTGGCACTAAACATAGAGCTATGTAAAACTAAGACTCAATGAGAGCTGGAGCTGGGGGGAAGTATATGTAGTGGCTGCAGGCTCAGATTGTGTAAATACAGTACACCTATTTTTCAAATGTACGAAGAATGGGGAAAACACATATACAATTTTTTAAAAAATTGTTCTAGTAATTATTTGGTAGTGTCATCCTAAATTTGAATAGAAAAGATAAATATGCTCTTGTTGGGCACTTTATATTGACAACAACAAAATTCTAGCTCTGCCATTGAAAAAGCCTAGAAACAAAGATCAACTCAATAGTCATGGATATGACTAGCAGGCAGACTGTGGTTCTAAAATACCATTTCACACTAAAAGAAACCAGAGCTTCTCAGATAAATGGTGGATTCCAGATCTGGAGCAGGAAATTTACAAGCTGGTCCTGGAACTGTTGTCACATCAGATCATGAAGAAGCTAGCAAAGTTCACCAAGTCACAACAAAAGCACTCAGAGGGTCGACTTGAAGCAGCTCCCACTAGCCAAAGATGGGACAATTTGAGGTTCAAATAGGATAACTGTAACTGATTGAAACCCATCAAATATGCCAAGCTTCATGAATTCATAATGACATGTTAAAAAAAAACCTAATTAGTCATCATCAGAAGATAATGAGGAAATAATTTATTACCCTGATGATAAAGGAAAATGCAATTATCCTGCCTTTCCTATATGAACTGGACAACCAAACAGCAGATAAAGGGAAACATTTTTTAAAAAGTATTCCAACTAATAAGTAAAAAATAAACACAGAATCATCACTATTTACCACCACCAATGAACTAATAGACCTAGACACTGAATATTAACAGCTGCTAATGTGACAGAGATAAGATGTGCCTCCGACAAAAGAACACAGCATCACCTCTAGTGTTGCCAAAGGGACAGAACATGAGTGTGATAGAGAATCTGCATCCAGCTGCCAATTTGGAGAAGGAAAACACACAGCTTCACCATAGATAAACAACCAGAATAACCTACTATGGGCACTTAATAATAGGTCAAATGCCCTTGGTTCTCCAACAGTAATCTATATTTTCAATTAGTAAGCCAAAAATAAGTATTCAAATAACTATTCGTAGTTTTTACTTGATTTTATTGTAGACTTTACTTGATTGACATAAATCTTTGAAATTCTCTGAACAGCAACCATCAATGGGATTTTACTTATGAATTACTATGAAAACAAAGATTTACTTTAAAGCATCATTTTGTGAAAAAAACCAAGACCATTTTTATATAAACATGGAAAAACCAATGATATGTTTAGGTGTATTAACTAATCCAATGCATAACTGTCTTTTTAACTACAGTTCTTTCCCTTTCTCTTGAATTTCCTCATACATGATGTAGCCTCAGAAACACTGGAAGGTACATGCTGAAGGTTGTCTCCTAGTAGACGTGATGGGCTGGTTTGAGCCATTCTTACTGATGTCTGGTGTCTGATCCCTGAGTGGTCATCAACATAAACCGGTGTGGTTTCTGGCCACAGACAGTGGCCACAGAACAGCATTTTTCTCTTAACTAAGTTATCTCAACTTCCAAAATAATTATACAGAGAACCCTGAACTCATTAGGAGTATCCTCCAATCAATTTCATCTAGACTTTAAAATCTACACACAACCTTCTATGATGTGTTTTCTAACAGCAAACAAATTTGCATTTCTTTTTTATTCCTTTTAGAAAAAGGTTTTGGTTAGATTTTGCCAGCCGGAGGTAGACCTGTTAAAGAGAATAGGAGACTACGTAGCTTCAGGCAAATGAAATATATTCTAAATTACAGAAGGGAATTAGTCACAGCTCTATCCAAAAGAATACACACAAACGGCTGGAATATATGGAGAGCCAGAACTTAACAGTTACCCCAGAAATGTTTTTGTCAGTTTCTTTTCTTTTTTCTTCCAGCTTCCTTTCAATACCTACAATTCCTACAGCCCTTATTCTTCCTGGCTGAAAAAAAAAAAAAAAAAGTAGAAAATAAAACATACAAAATAGGAAGGAAACAAAATCTTTTGTAACCGACTACATTGTTTTCAATAGCGGTAAAGGACCCACAAAGAACCAAAGAAAAACAGCATACACTCACATTTAACTTCCTTTCAAAATATTTGTTTCTTTCTTGCTGTACATAATGATCTTCAAATCATTCAAGAAAAACCAAATATACAATAAATGGCATATTTTACTAAGCATTTTAGATATAAGTTAAATTTCCTATCATTTTTATTCTTTGACAAGCTTTGATGTATCACATACGTTTATTTATTTATTTATTTTTTTGTCTTTTTGTTTTTTTCCTTTTTATGGAGAATGGGGTCTCGCTATATTGCCCAGGCAGGTCTCAACCTCCTAGGCTCAAGCTACCTTCCTGCCTCTGCCTCCCTAAGAGCTGGGATTACAGGCATGAGCCATAGCGCCCAGCCAGATACTTAATAGGGTCTCAAACATATAAAAAAAAAAAAATCACAGTTTAAATTTTGGTTCTTAATGAACAGTTATTATCCAAGCTACTTTCATACATTTGATTACCTGTCTAGTGTTGGCAATTAATTTAGACAGGCCTGGAAAACACCCAGCTGTACTGTTTATTCTCTCAAATGCCACACTGATTATGAAGAACAGAATGCAATGAGTCAACTCTACCTTCTATCACCCTGAGACTTGTGCTGGTAAGCAGTTGTTTTGTTTACTAAGTGTCTGCTGTCTACACAGAACTAAATTAGGTGCTGTGAAAATAATTTTTTTTTTTCTTTTGAGACAGAGTCTTGCCCTGTCACCCAGGCTGGAGGGCAACGATACAATCCTGGCTCACTGCAACTCTGCCTCTCAGGTTCAAGTGATTCTCCTGCCTCAGCCTCCCAAGCAGCTGGGATTACAAGCACACACCACCACGCCCAGCTAATTTTTGTATTTTTAGTAGACATGGGCTTTTATTATGTTAGCCAGGCTGGTCTCAAACTCCTGACCTTGTGATCTGCCCTGCCTCGACCTCCCAAAGTGCTGGGATTACAGGTGTGAGCCACCATGCCCAGTTGAAAATATATTTTTTTTTAATCAGAATACCATTGCAGTATTTTGTTTTGGAGAAGTTCTACAATCACAGAATCTTTTTCTTTTCTTTCTTTTTGAGACGGAGTTTCGTTCTTGTTACCCAGGCTGGAGTGCAATGGCGTGATCTTGGCTCACCGCAACCTCTGCCTCCTGGGTTCAAGCAATTCTCCTGCCTCAGCCTCCTGAGTAGCTGGAACTACAGGCGCACACCACCTGCCCGGCTAATTTTTGTATTTTTAGTAGAGACGGGGTTTCACCTTGTTGACCAGGATGGTCTTGATCTCTGGACCTCGTGATCCATCCGCCTCAGCCTCCCAAAGTGTTGGGATTATAGGCATAAGCCACCACGCCCGGCCTCACAGAATCTTTTTCTTAATGAAGATGTAAATACAAAGTTGAAAATACTGGATTACCACATAGTTAAAAAAAATACCTGGGGTCCTCTATTTGTTTGTAATGACTGGGAAACTGGCATATTCTCCCACCTTCTCTGTGTCATTTCCTCTGATAAACGCCTGTAAAACTGTTATGCAAATAAATACACTTTAAATGAGTCAGTCAGGTTGTGGCATCCTTGTATAAATCATTACTTAATATTTCCTTAATATAAACGTTTGTTCAGCTATTTGCAGCACGCCCAAAATTCTCAGAGACATCAAAGAAAAATCAAAGGAAGTTCTTTTCTTGGATCAACTTCAGAAAGCACAAAGAAAAAAAAAGAGAAGGAACTGACCTTCTATATAAAGTGGGCTATTCTCAACAAAGAGATGAGTGACAATGAAATCAATAGACTTACTTTAAACAATCCTGTGTATGTGGATTGTTTTTGATCTATAATGAAACAAACACAGTGCCAGGAAAAATATACAAGCATTCTCCATGAAGGAGAAGCAGAGAATAATTTGTCTAGTTAAAATATAAAACCAAAAAGTAGGACCAAAACATACCTATGCTCACAAATAATCAAATATATTTTTCAATTTCAATGACAAAAACTTTAGTCAATTATTTATATCTGCTTAGTGATCACTTGTCAGGAACACTGGGTGAGGTGCTACAGAAAAAATTAATAATAATTTATGATGTTGATGGGGAGAATAAATACACACTTCTAATGTCTTAAGAATTCTTGTACAGCAACTTATTCAGAACATATAAACTATCATACTGCAGAAAAGTACTTAAGTGACTAAGATTAACTGGAGTTAATCAAGACAGACAGCCTGATTTAAAGCTGGGGAACCTTCAGATACTGAGACAGTTTAACATATCACTGCATTTACACTCTGTTCCTTTAACTACAATATGCCACTGAAAACTGTGCTAGTAGGCGAATGGCATGACTTAGTGTATTTTCCAGCCTCTGTTCCTTCCTTGGGACCACACCCTCTGCTTCCCATTCCTGATGAAACCTAAACTTCACCATTCACTGCTAAGGCTTAAGATATAATAAAAATTTTATTGTAAAAATGTGGTGAAATCTGACATGTTGTATAATACTACCTTCCATCGTATTAACAAGCCACAACACACACACACACACACACACACACACACCCCACCTTTATAGTAGGATTTTATTCATATAGAAACTTACCTCAATCTGGCCATGTTCTTTGAAGGACAGTTTGATATAGGAGTTCTTACTACTCTGGAACGGGCCAGGTTCTTTGTTAGGAGGAGCTGGGTGAAGATGAACCACTACTTTGCCACTGAAGAAACAACAAATGTAATATACTGAATTGCCTTTCAAAACGAAATTCTACCTTCATAACTTTTAATATATTTAAAATCACCTTTACAATTCATGTAGAAACAAACATCCCAAAAAGCATCCTGTAAAGTGTGTATTATTTCTATATTAATGAAGCTTTCAAAAATCTCTCTACTTAAAACTTACAAGCTATGAACCAAAAAGCTTCAAGTTACTAGTTCTATAAATTAAAGCGTTGCTTCAGAAAATATGGTCAAAATAAATTTGCAAAATTCTGAGTCTATGATTATGGTTTTCCAACTACAAACATCCCCAGAGGTTATAAGGGGGCCTATAATTTCTGCCAAAGCATACAACCTTATTCATTTGAAAACAAAATGTGAAAACATGTCTGTAAAAATGGCCAGCCGATATTTTATTAAAACTCCATCCAAAGCTAACATTCTACAGTGTCATTTGTTGGAAAATGCCACTCAATCAACAGCATGATCTAGAAAGATACCCAATAACAAAAAGAATTCCCAAAATGCTTTGGCTCTGAGAACACAAACTACCATTATCTTCTAAAAATACCGCTACATTTGGTCAGCTTAATAAGTCTGTTTTCCTCCTTTTTCTTCAACCTGGTCAATAAGCAATCTTCCAGAAAGATTAGGGAAACTAAAAAACTCTAAGCATCCCGGGTACCTAGTTTAGTGCTTTTTCTTTATTAATCATCACAACTATTTACTCAATTTTACTTTTACTTTTATGGAACCACATGGTTACCTAAATATCACAGTAAAATTGAAACACCAGGCATTGGGCCTCCTCAGTATGAATAGGTGGCGCCAGCCTTGTAAGGACACCACCTATTTCCTTGTGTATGAAATGAAAGAAGCATCTTTAGTTCAGAGATGTTAAAAGGTGAAACATACACATCCTGAAATCCAACCAAATGTAACTGATTGAGGGGAGGGGCTGGGAACTAAAGAGAATACTTGAGAAAAGTTAACTTGGCATATTACTGAAGTCTTCCTCACTGGAGATGTTTAAAAAATACAACACTAATGTGAAGGTAAATATTTTAAATATTTCTTTTAGTTTAGATTTTCTTGGAACACAGGAAAGGAAAATTAAATAACCTGGAACAACCTTAATACAATGGCAAAAAGTGATAAGGGAAAAATATAAATCATAAAAACAATCTACCCTAAAAATCTACGGCTTAAAAAAACTATGGCTTATTAATCTTTTTAAAATGTTGGTTAGTTTCGTTTATGGTCAAATTAATATTTTACAGTAAATCATAACATTATGATCAAGGCATGCATTTCACGTCCAGCAAAGCTCAACATTGTTTAACTTCTACTGAAGTGTCTAATTTTGCTAAACCTAAAGATAAGCCTCCATAGGAAAAAAAATTCCCATGCTGATAATATTTGTTCACATGTCTCCTCAATTACATGTACTTAAAATATAAAGCCAAGTTTTCAGTACATTTGAATAAACAGGAGCATTTGAACTTACATCTTTATACCAGGGTGGCCTCATCTCCTGGCTTGCCTGGGACACTCCAATTGTGTCCCTGTTGCCCTGGTCTAACTGTTCATTGTACCCCTCATTATTCTGATAAATGTCCTGCTTTGTACAATAACTATTATTATATGCTATTTAATCCTGCTATCTGAACAAGTCAAACTTAAGAAATGAACTTAACGATCAGCTAGAAACAGGAGCAAAGTCAGTTATTTTTTTCAATAGATTACTTCTGATTTTAAGTATGAAATGAAAGGTACACAGGCATGTGAAAGCAAATTGTCTATGGAAAGACAATGATAACTGGGCCACTAACTATTTTTATTATGACCCATGTAAAATAGACAAGGATATTACAGCAAACCTAGGTACTTTATTCATGCTTTAAGAATGAATTCACACATCATTGAGTCTAAGATAGGACCTCTTGACCAATAGCATGACAGGAAATGTCTTCTGTGAATAAAGACAGTGCTATATAGACCTTACCTCTTCCCAATTCCAGCCGCCTGTTCTTCAATGAACACAATTTGGGAAAGAAGAATGGCCATGCAGCACTCCTAGGAGGGAATCAGTAGCTCAGTCAAAGACTCTACCCAACATCCATAACACTTGCCAGAAATCCTTGTTTTATAGCATTAATCAGAGTGTCATATACCTTAATAAAAACAATGAAAAACAATAATGATTTTATTCCTTAAAGGAACTCAAGGAAAAATTAAATGAAAACAATACTGTGGTGGCATTTTCCTGTGTGGAAGAACATAAGAAGTGTAAAAGAAGCTGTGACTAGCTTTTTGTTTTTACAATGGGTGTATTTTCTAAGAGTAATATTTCTATGAAAACTTTTTACTTGTAATATTTTCTTACAGTGAAAGCAAAAACAAAACAGATACAGCAAAACAATTTTAAGGAGAGCATTTATGTAGATGACTTTCTCTTCTTTATAATTTTCCACACTTCACTCATATGCCCACATACAACTATTAATAGTTTTAAACAGAAAATATTGATGTAGCATACTTTTATTCGTATGTTTAAGTTTTTTTTTTTTTTTTTTTTTGAGACAGTCTTGCTCTGTCACCTGGGCTGGAGTGCAGTGGCACAATCTTGGCTCACTGCAACCTCTGCCTCCCAGGTTCAAGCAATTCTTCCAGCTATTAAGGCTCCTTAATAGCTGGAATTACAGGTGAGCACCACCACAACCCAGCGAATTTTTGTATTTTTAGTAGAGAACAGGTTTCACCATGTTGGCCAGGGTAGTCTCGAACTCCTGACCTTAAGTGATCCCCCTGCCTTGGCCTCCCAAAGTGGCAGGATTATAGGCAGGAGCCACTGTGCCTAGCCAGTACATTTAATTTTTAACATATATAAACAGTATGTTTAATTTTTATATATGACTAGCAATGTAGTAAGTCTAAAGATTTGTTCAAATTGACCTCTTTATATGATAATCCAAAAATTATACTAAGATTAACTTATCAACATATTGTTTAAAGACCATTCTATCCTCCCCAAAAAGATTTATTTCCTGAATATATATTACCTTTAAAGGAATTAGACAATATTAACAGTCAAAGGCAGCAGTCCCCAATCTTTTTGGTACCAGGGACTGGTTTCATGAAAGACAGTATTTCCTGGGGAGCAGGAGTTGCGGTTTCAGGATGAAACTGTTTCACTTCACATCATCAGGCATTAGATTCTCATAAAAAGGGCATGATCCCGCACATGTGTACTTCACAATACGGTTCATGCTCCTGTCAGAATCTAATGCCCCTGCTGATCGGATGGGAGGCAGAGCTCAGGTGGTAATATTCACCCGCCACTCATCTCCTGCTATCTGACCTGGTTCCTAACACACCATAGACCAGTACTGGTCTGCAGCCTGGTGGAGTTGGGGACTCCTGCTCTAAGGCATGCATTATCAACAGGGGCAATATCAGACCTAGGAGACAAAAGTTAGTTCCCGGGGTGTAAAAAAGTTAGGTATTGTAAGGGTTAGCAGCAGCCCTTCAAGGGCTACAGTACAGTATATAGTTTATTTGTGGTACTAAAATTTCATGGGGTTTGGGGGAACAGTCAGGAAAATAAAAGCACAGATGAGACAGCTATTTTACTGGCAATGCTGAAATTAATGTATACATACTTTCAGGTTGAAGCTCTTGGGAATAAAGATATCAACTCTGTATATACCTAACTCACTCTCCCTTCCTGAAAAAAAAAAACAAAAAACAAAACAGGCTGGGCACAGTGGCTCACGCCTGTAATCCCAGCACTTTGGGAGGATGAGGTGGATGGATCAGGACCTTAGGGATTTGAGACCAGCCTGACCATCATGGTGAAACCCTGTCTCTACTAAAAATACAAAAATTAGCCTGGCATGGTGATGGGCACCTGTAATCACAGTGACTCAGGAGGCTGAGGTAGGAGAATCGCTTGAACCTGGGAGGCAGAGGTTGCAATGAGCCGAGATTGTGCCACTGCACTCCAGCCTAGGCGACAAGAGTGAGACTCTGTCTCAAAAATAAATGGGCATGGGGGAATCCTCTTGTTGAGTCTGCTAGAAACAGTTCTCAGTATCTAGTAAAAGCATGCACTTGCTGGCAGACGTAGCCTCCTGATTCTCAACGACAACCTAGGACTAGTGGTTTTAAGGACCTATGAGCTCTTTTTAAAGACTCCCTCACAACTGATGGGGGTATTGTTCCCCTGTTACACATGGAGCATTCAGATATAGAGTAGAATTTGACTGGTATTTAAAAAACATGATTCTCCATCCAATAACTACATGGACTTTTCTGGAGCTCAATAAAAGATAACATGCTAACTCCTGTTTCCCACTCCATTTAGAGAAATTATATGGGACACACTCTTTTGTCATTCAGAAAAGGAAAACTTATTATTGCATTCATTATATAAGTTTTACCAAAAATGAAAAAAGAAGAAAAAGCGTCAGTGATTTAAAACCTACTATGGTGGCTCATACCTATAGTCCCAGCCACTCAGGAGCTTGAGGCCAGGAGGATCACTTGAGCCCAGAGGTTAGAGATCACCCTGGGCAACACAGCAAGACCCTGTCTCTAAAAAATAGATAAACAAAATAAAACGTACAACAGATGCAAAAAACTATATCTTACATGATTTTTCTGATCTCTCCAAATCAGTCGGTGTGTACTAAGGAGAGTCCCAGCATCAAATTTTATCTAGAAAGAAAGAGCATCACAAAATATTAATAACGGTGGTTCAGATTTTCTTCTTCATGAATTATACAACACTCAATTAATCTTATAAATAAACATTTTACTTTTAGCATAGGCTTATCACAAATTAAAGAGGACCAATGCTACATACTTCATAAGCTATCTGCATAGTCTTGACAGAATTGGAAGAAAATGCAAACAACCAAGTATGATACACATTCATACTCTGCATTCCATGCAAAGGTAAAATAGAAATGACGAGGTAGAACTGCATGGATTACCATGGAACTCTAAGACATTGGATGGGTGGGAAAGAAAGTGATTTACAGCAATAGACAATATTACATATGCTCTATATGTGTGTGACTGCAGACACACACGTAGTGAAAAGGCTCGAAAAGGAACACATGGTTATCTGTTAACAATCATTATCTCAGAAAAAGTGGGAGGAAAGGAGTAGAAAGGAAGCAAAGGGCTCTTTTTACCTCTACACTTCACTACTGATTGAATGTTTTTGCAGTTCAATTCATGTATAACACTCATAACATTTTTAATAAAAACAAAATCCAGGAATAGATACAAATACATACAAAAATAAATATGGATGGAGATTCAATCAATGGCACTGGGACAAGTGGGTTGCCAGGTAGAAAACAGAAAAAACCATATATCTGGGTTCGTACCTAATCCAATGCACCAAAATGAATTCTAGATGGATCAAATGATTGAATAAAAAAAGAAAAAATTATAAAAGCACTAGAAAAAAATCATGAGATAATTTTTTAAGTAATCTGAGTGGAGAAGATCTTTCTAAGAAGGCATTAAACCCATCAGCATTAAAGTAAAACGCCCAAATTCATATGTGGAAGCCCTAACCCTTGATGCGATGGTATTTGGCGATGGAGCCTTTGGGGGTGATTCGGTTTCAAAGATCATGAGGTGGGGCCCTCCTGATGGGACTAGTATCTCTATAAGAAGAGGAAGAGACAGGAGGGCTTCCTCTCCATGAGTGCGTGCTGAGAGAAGACCGTGCAAGTACACAGGGAAATGGTGGTCATCTGCAAGCCAGGAAGGTCCTCACCAACAACCAAATCTGCCAGCACCCTGATCTTCCAGCACCAGACTTCCCAGTCTCCAGAACTATGAGAAATAAACGCCTGTTGTTTAAGCCACCAGGTTATGGTATTCTGTTTTAGCAGCTAAGCTGACTAGGACATACGCTTTGGGTATATATGGCCTATTCAAAATATAAATTTTAAAATGTTCTTCAAAACTACAATAAAATCACCAAGAAATGCCAGCTAGGTCTTTAGGACCAAACCTTTAACCCTCACTACTTGTTACTCTGCCCTGAAAGTAATATAAATAAGCAAATGTTAGAGTTGGAACCCAAGAGATGAATGAATTAAACCCCTATGTTTCTGTTAAAAACAAGATATGTACTAGAAGCTTCTATTAACTGAAGTTACTAGAAAGTGGAATTTGCCATAAGATAGGGCTTGCTTGTGTCCTTTCCAGGAATATTCAGTTATTTTAAAAGTTATGTCTGTTGCTCACTAAGTCCTAGATTAAAAAAAAAAAAAAACAAAAGTTACAAGGCTAGTCCCATTTATAAGGCAGCCTTACAACATAAACTATATGGAAAGCATAATAAGATTGGAATTGTTTTGAGTTTAAAATAACATGTTAAAAGTATTTGTAAAGTAAATAACGAATTGGAGCATTATTATATATCATCCTTAAATAAAAATAATAAATTATATATGTGGTTGATAACATAGAGACTTATGATATTAATATAGAAAAAAGCAGGTCTCAAAATAGTACATATAGCATGACTCCATAAACAGAACACCCCAGAAGTAATTGTTTATGCATAGTAGGATTACTGATTATTTCAAGTTTCTCCTTTTGGCTTATCCATACTTAACAACTTTATTACATGTCTAATAAATAAAAAGAAAAGATTGATCACAGGCATGTACATCTTCATGTAACTCTGAACTGTAATTATAACTGTATATACAATCATTTGTTGTTAAATCAAGCACACAGAGGAACATGTGTCAAAAAGTCCCCGTATAATAAATAACACACTTCTTGACATACATTTTAAAAATTGTTTCTAAGAGTAAGGTCTGATGGAATTATTATTTATTTATTTAAGACGGAGTTTCGTTCTTGTTGCCCAGGCTAGAGTGCAATGGCGCGATCTCGGCTCACTGCAACCTCCGCCTCCTGGGTTCGAGCGATTCTCCTGCCTCAGCCTTCTGAGTAGCTGAGATTACAGGCACGCACTAACATTTTGTATATTTACCATTTTGTATATTTAGTAGAGACAGGGTTTCTCCATGTTGGTCAGGCTGGTCTCGAACTCCCAACCTCAGGTGATCCACCCGCCTCAGCCTCCCAAAGTCTGGGATTACAGGCGTGAGCCACCTCGCTTGGCCTGATTGTATTATTGTTTTAATAGTATTAAGCAGTAAATAATGATATGGTTAGTAAACTTTAATGAAAACAGACCTTCTGAACCATCTAGTCTAAATACACTTCATGAGAGATTGTCCCATCAACAAACTTCAACACGTCAGAGAATAGACCTTATGAGTCCATGTTTTTCTCAGAATCAGAAATAAAACATATGTACTGTTGGCACTCAGTTCAGTCTGGCTTCAAACATTTTGGTTAATTTCATTTATGTAAAACCAAGTAACTTAGTTTACAATATTTTTTATTTTTATTATTTTATTTTATTATTATTATTTTGAGACAGAATTTCGCTCTTGTTACCCAGGCTGGAGTGTAATGTCACGATCTCGGCTCACCACAACCTCCACCTCCTAGGTTCAAGCAATTCTCCTGCCTCAGCCTCCCAAGTAGCTGGGACTACAGGCGTGCGCCACCATGCCCAGCTAATTTTTTTGTATTTTTAGTAGAGACGGGGTTTTACCATGTTGACCAGGATGGTCTCGATCTGTTGACCTCGTGATCCACCCGCCTCGGCCTCCCAAAGTGCTGGGATTATAGGCGTGAGCCACCGTGCCTGGCCTACAATATTTTTTAAATCTCTTCTTTGCCAATGAGTAAATTTATCTTTTCCAAAAGCATATATTTAATTATTCTAAGAGTACATAATGCTGCATTATAGAACATATTAGCTCTGATTAAGAAACTTTGCATGTTATCTTCCTGAAATCCAAGCATATTCATGTTAATCTAAGGCTGGAGCCAGACTATGTTCCATTGCTACATCAATTAACAATGTGCAAAAGTAAAATGTTGCTGCTCTAATTGTAGAAGAAACTGTATAAAAGTTCCCTGTAGGGATTCCAATGGATTAAGATCTAAACCTGATAGTCAAGTTTAGACTGGTTTGCTTATACCATTCAGAGCCTAGAATAATTTTAACTGCTTAAAAATTGATCTAACTTCAGCACTCACTGAAAAGTTCTTACACTGTTTTTTTTTAATTTACATTTTTTCTGTTATAAAAATAATACACATTCAGTGTTGAAATCTGAAAAATATTTAGAGTCTGAAAAAGAATGAAATAACTCATAATCATACTAGCAGGAGTGTGTATGTATCTATACACAGATGTTTATGTATATGTATAATCTTTAAATAGAATATGAAAGTTTTGTAACTATTATTAATAGTATACTTATAAAATACAGTTAGCAGTCTATCATTAGCAATTCCTCATGCTAATTAGGACATGCCATAATTTTTTTCTTTTTTGAGACTGAGTTTTGTTCTTGTTGCCCAAGCTGGAGTGCAATGACGAAATCTCAGCTCACTGCAACCTCTGCCTCCCGGGTTCAAGTGATTTTCCTGCCTCAGCCTCCTGAGTAGATGAGATTACAGGTGCCTGCCACCACACCCAGCTAATTTTTTGTATTTTTAGTAGAGGCAGGGTTTTACCACGTTGGCCAGGCTGGTCTTGAACTTCTGACCTCAGGGGATCCGCCAGCCTTGGCCTCCCAAAGTGCTGGGGTTACAGGTGTAAGCCACCTCAACAGGCCCCATGCCATAATTTAATTAATCAATCCCTATGATGGGCATTTAGATTGCTTCCAATTTTTCCACATATAAAATATTATATGTAATATATAATAATGCTAGTATAAACATTCTCATATATAATATTTTTACACAGCTCTGATTATTTCTCAAAGGCAAATTCCTAAAAGTGAAATTGTTAGCTGAAAAAGATTAAACATTTTCTAAATCTTCTGATATATGCTGCCAACTTGCCACTTTATACATTACTAACCTTACATTATCTTTTAAATTAGCCGAGGCTACAGAAGCATCTGTGAATTCAAACAAATGACCTGTCTACAGTGCTTCTGAATGTAACACATTATCCAGTCATAATGAGGCCATGAAAATTATGCCTGTATAAACAAGCAAGCATGCATGTATTCATAAGAGGCACTTGGGCAGTGGGAAGGGCAGTCCATTGGATCTGGTTTGCAATTCTATCTCCACCAGTTACTAGTTGTATGACCTTGGACAGCTCACAGTTTTCTCAAGTATCAATTGTGGGTCTCAGTTCTCTCATCTTTGGGAAGATTAGCTGTATTAAACATTACATCAACAGTGGCACTGGTGACTGCTATATTATGAAGTCCTTCTTTTTTTTTTTTGAGATGGAATCTCTGTTGCCGAGGCTGGAGTGCAGTGACGTGATCTTGGTTCACTGCAGCTCACGTGAACAAAGCAAAGGCTTTGGGAGTCTGATCAACAGAGATTTAAATCTTCTCTTTGTGGATCTTAGGCAACTCACTATATGTCTTAGCGTTACTTTCTTATTCAGTAAAATACATCATATTCCTGGTGAGATGATTAAATACGATGGCATATACAGCTCCTGGCTCATAGTAGGTATTTAATTATTCAGGTCTTTAAAAAAATGTGTTTCACACCCACAACCAGCCAGGAGATACAAGGATGAGCAAGGTACACCTATGCTCCAGGAGCATCCAACTAGTCTAGAAGACAGGCATGTGCACACTTGCCCAAGGTGTGGGTTGGGATGCAAAGCTATGAAGGCTAAGTAATCTGGACTGCAGTCCCCAGGCCAAGGGAGCTAGTGAGGCATCCTAAAAGGGAGACTAACTTCATCAGATTTGGGGGCTGATGCGTAGCCTTGTATAGTCTTTAGCACCACAGGAGATCTGGAAACCTTCCAACAGATGAAGGAAACCTCATAAGGCACTTTCCTCCAGAAGTCAGCCTGTGCCTCATTCAGCCTGGGGACCAAGTAGCCTCAAGGCAATTCAGCAAGTGGCTAAGTCAGTTCAGCCCTGGGGCACAGTGGTGAGGGGACTCCTCTTAGAGCTACACTCAAGTTTCAATCTTTTAGAAGAGTTAATTCTTTAGAAGAGTTAAGACCCTGACTAGATCACAGGGTCTAAAGCATTTGTCCCCCATGATTAGTTTCTTAAACCTCTGACATCTATATACTTGTCTGTTAAAACAATGAGCAAAACTTTTAAAGTAAAAATTAAAACTTGCTGGTTCGACAGTGTATTTTTCATATAAAAGTACTAACAGTTGTTATTTTACATTGTTTTGAATCTATCACAGCTATACTGCCTGCCAGCAAGTGTTCCTAGTCTTCACATTGGAGTTCCACAGAATAGTAGTATGCCACGCTCTGCAAAAGCATGACTTCCTAGTGCTCCCTCAAGGACTGGCACTGGAGGAGTCTCTGAGGACAGATCTGCCACTGTCAACATTCAGTTCCTCTCAGAGAGAGGGCAAAATCAAAACGCCGAGGAAGGGGAGGTGGATTAACCTTCCCATTTAAAATAGTCACAAAGATGTAAATTGGTAAGAAAGGGAAAAAAGGTAGCTTGCCACTCCAATCCGGGGATGGAAGACTCAACTTGAGATCAAACTAGTTGAAGTGCCAAGGCAGGCTGGGCACGGTGGTTCACGCCTGTAATCCCAGCTCTTTGGGAGGCCGAGGCGGGTGGATCATTTGAGGTCAGGAGTTTGAAACCAGCCTGGCCAAGATGGTGAAACCCCGTCTCTACTAAAAATACAAAAATTAGCTGGTGTGGTGGCGGGAGGCTGAGGCAGAACTGCTTGAACCCGGGAAGTGGAGGTTGCAGTGAAACGAGATCCTGCCACTGCACTCCAGCCTGGGCAACAGAGCGAAATTCCGTCTCAAAATTAATAAGGCAGTAAGTGAAATTATTTAAGGAAATTAAATATCCACGCAAATTATTTAAGGAAAAGACCTTTACTCAATAATACAGGCAATACGGCTCATGGAAAATGCCCTAAGGGAGTCAGGGGACCTGGTCCAATGTCATCTGTGCCTCTACATAGCTGTAAGCACTGACCAGGAAAAGCTATGAGTTGAGGAACTTACATCAAAGTACAGCGGGAAGTGTCGTTAACAAAACGGCAAGAGAAGAGAGGCAGCAAATTAAAACTTCTGGAAACCAAAAATGCTTGTGGGTAAATGAGTTTAAAAATTTTTCTAACTCCAGTTTATACGTTTCAACCCAGGACAGAAACTATCTCGTAGTTTCACAAAAGTATCTACAAAATACTTACTTACACTTCCTATTTCTCCTCTCGATTTGCAAACGCACCTTCGAAGATTTATGCTTGCATTACAAGGCACGGTCTACTATTAATATAACACTTTACAAAACATACGCTCAGAACGCCTTTCTAAAGCAATTAGAAAACAGAAACCCAACAGCCTCTGGCAAGGGCATTCCAATGAGACACTGATACCTCTTTAGGAAATCCTGTCGACGCAACCCCTCACCACTCTGCACAGGGCAGATTTGCCAATCCCCCCGCCTGCATAAGGTCCCAGCTAAAGCTTCCGCGGGGGCACGGACTGTACGGCCTCACAGAAAGGCGGAACCGGGCTGTCCAGTGCCGAGGCCGCGGTGGGTGTCGTCAGGGTGTCTGGAACCCCGCCGAGGAAGTCGGCTGCCCGATCGCCGCCCAGAGCCCGCAGACCCACAGCGCGCCTTTTCCCGGGCACCGCTGCGGTGCGCTCCGGGAAGCATGCAGGGAGGCGGGACGCGGCCGCGATCCGCGCCTGCTGGGAACCGTGCCAAAGTCGGGTACCGCGCTGAGAAGGCGCCAGAGCTCCCCGGGCGGCGCGCGACCGGCCGGCGGGGAGGGCAGGAGCGCCTGGTACCGCACAGAGGCCGGCCGGGCCGCAGAGGGCCGGGAGCGAGACCGGGAACCGGGCCGCGCCAACCCGGGCCGCGCGCTCACCAGGGGACTTTCCGCCAGCCCTTCGGGAAGGCCGGCCGACGCCCTACCTTCTCCTCGCAGTCGTTTTCGCACCCCGCGCTGCTGGATCACTAGGGTTTCGTTGATCTCCAGGAGGCCGCTGGTCCAAACGAAGCGGTCCATGGCCGCAGCCTCCCGCCCCGGCCCTCCCGGGCAGCGAGCTGCGCGCCGGGCAGCCTACGGCGCCCCCTAGCGTCAGACGGGGCGGGTGAGGGAGGGAGGGAGCGGCCTGGGCCGGAGCGGGCGCGGCTCGGAGGTGCGCCGAGGGACGCGGAGAAGTGAGTGGAGCGCCCCTGGCGGTCCATTCGCAGCCAGCCTTTTAGAACCCTTGATGGGCAGGCGGTCCACATCTTTCTAAATTCAGAGCTTATAAGGAGGCTAGGGAGCCCCGACCACAGCTTGGACTTCCTTATTGTGCATTATGCCTGCATGTTTGTGGCAGTTTTCTTGTCAGTATCCAGAATGTTGCCATGTTCATTAATGATTGCAAATAATCATGTAACCCTTCTTTTTCAAATGAATATTTATGGCATGCATTGTCCCTTTACAGCTGAAGTCAGTACTACCTATGCTGCTTTTTTTCCCTTTACGAGTATTTTGGCCGGGCGCAGTGGCTCACGCCTGTGATCTCCGCCCTCTGGGAGGCCGAGGCGGGCTGATCACGAGGTCAGGAGTTCTAGAGCAGCCTGGCCAACATAGTGAAACCCTGTCTCTACTAAAAATACAAAAATCAGCCGGGCGTAGTGGCACACGCCTGTAGTCCCAGCTAGTCAGAAGGCTGAGGCAGGAGAATTGCCTGAACCCAGGAGGCGGAGGTTACAGTGAGCCAAGATTGCACCAGTGCACTCCAGCCTGGGCTATAGAGCCAGACTCCGTCTCAAAAAAAAAAAAATTGGATACCTCATTTACCCTGATGTGATTATTATACACTGTATGCCTGTATTAAAATATCCCATATGCCCCATAAATATAAACACCTATGTGCCCACAGAAATTAATTTTTTTTTTTTTTTTTTTGAGACGGAGTTTCGCTCTTGTTACCCAGGCTGGAGTGCAATGGCGCAATCTCGGCTCACCGCTACCTCCGCCTCCTGGGTTCAGGCAATTCTCCTGCCTCAGCCTCCTGACTAGCTGGGATTACAGGCACACGCCACCATGCCCAGCTAATTTTTAAAATATTTTTAGTAGAGACGGGGTTTCACCATGTTGACCAGGATGGTCTCGATCTCTTGACCTCGTGATCCACCCGCCTCAGCCTCCCAAAGTGCTGGGATTACAGGCTTGAGCCACCGAAAAATTAATTTTTTTAAATTGGGGGAAACATTTTATTTAACCAGGCTTGGTGGCACCTGCCTGTATTCCCAGCTGCTTCCCAGGCTGAGGTGGGAGGATTGCTTGAGCCCAGGAGTTTGGCACCAGTGGCGACATAGGACCCTTTCCCCCTCCACCCAACTCCCCCACTCCACTCCACGCTCCCCACCCCCAGGCTCAGAAAAAAAAAGATTATTTTTATTTAGGCATTTCCAACATTAATACAGACCTCGTGTGAATTTGCATTTCGATATGTAGATCACCTATAACTCATCTGTTAGTTGGTCTGCGCAAAGCCATCCATGGCTGCTGCTCTCACCCACCAGGCGGCTGCAGACCCTAGCCATTTCATTTTTATATTTTGCTTATATGGAGCACCTATAGATGTCTTCCTACAACTGATACATATTTTTCCCTTTAGGATTATTTTCTTACAGTGTCTTCCCAAAATAAAATAACTGTTTTAAAGGTTGTGAACACATTTTAGAGAGCCTACCACTTATGGGGGTAAGTGCTTCTTATTTTGGTTCTTACATTTAGGTCTATGCTCCACTTTGGGGGCCTAAGGCTGCGTGCCCATGTGGGCAGAGGGGCAGAGGGGCAGAGGGACAGAGGGGCAGAGGGACAGAGGGACAGAGGGCAGGCTTGCTCTCTGTTCCCAGGGCTCCACATCTCCCCCAGTCTTGGAGTCAGTGGTCTGTGTCCAGGCTTTACAAGAAAGGCAAGGCTCTTTCCAATGGTTATAAGCCATCTCTCCCCCAAACTGAATTGCCACTTTTACCATGTTCTAAAATCCTGTGTGTATTTTGGTCTATTTCGAAAGTGTCTTCGGTATTTCATATTTTTCAATTTCCATCATCAGCATATGCCCAATAACTAAAAGTTCTTTAAAAACATTTGAATTGCTGTAATATGCTATCTTGTGTTTCACAATTTACCTTCATTGCCTGATTTTTGATGATTTAATTGTTTATAACCTTTTAGTCTTTTTTAATTGAAAGTAATATGTGACCTAAACTTTCTAATCAGATGGGGAACTGTGCAGTCTTACCTGGGCTTTGCAATGATCAAAATGTTAGGCAATGAGGACATTTGCAAGGTATGTTTTCTGCCCTTGAGGGATGTACAGTCTGTAGTATACAAATAGAAGCCTGGCATATGACAGCTGCTGGGATAGACAACTGTACAAGGGTTTCCCATATCCAGGCTGGAGCAAGGACAAATGTCATGTGTCTTATATATGGCAATAAATGAATATACAAAAGGTTTTAATTTTTATGAAGTCCAGTGTATTTTTTCTTTCATAGCTCATAGAATTTGCCTCCTCAAAAAATCTTTTTTCTACAAACCAGAGATTGACACTGATTAAGAAATCTTTGCCTAACACGAAGTTACTGAGATTTTCTCCTATGATTTCTTCTAGAAGCTTCATAGTTTTGGCTCTTACATTTAGGTCTATGCTCTATTTTTTTTTTTTTTTTTTTTTTTGAGAAGAGTCTTCTCTGCCGCCCAGGCTGGAGTGCAATGGTGCCATCTCAACTCACTGCAACGTCTGCTCCCAGGTTCAAGCAATTCTCCTGCCTCAGCCTCCTGAGTAGCTGGGATTACAGGTGCCCACCACCACACCAGGCTAATTTTTGTATATTTAGTAGACACAGGGTTTCACCATGTTGGCAAAGCTGGTCTCAGACTCCTGACCTCAGGTGATCCACCCACCTTGGCCTCCAAAAGTGTTGGGATTATAGGCCTGAGCCACCAGGCCTGGTCCTATGTTCCATTTTGAAGTTGTCAGGTTTTGTTTTTGTTTTTCATTCTTGTACATGGGTTGAGAAAAGGGTCAAAATCGATATTTTGTATGTAGATATCCAGTTGTCCCATACCATTTGTTGGAAAGATTATCCTCCTTCACTGAGTTGCCTTGGAAATTGGAAAAATCAATTGGCCAGATAGGCTTGATTATATTTCTGGAATTGCAGGGAGCCAGAGTTGCCCCCCTCCTCCCGGGAGATCAGCAGCAAGGCTGCTGGGAACTTTGGTGGAACTTCAGAGAAGTAAAACCATAATAGGAGGATGTGTATGTCTCGGGGTAGAACAGAGACAGGGCTTAGAGAGATAACCAGCTTTCGCTGACCTTGCTGCAAGATAGTTGTTAGCTGAAGTATATTAACTGAAGTATGAGAATAATAACCACAGGCTGTTCTAAGTGACTGTACCCTTCCTCTGTTATGTGCTTTGTGAACAAATATAATAAAGTACTCTGAGGCAGGTCGGGGCCAGAGAGACTGACATCTCACTCTCCCCAACCGCCTGGGCCAGCTTTCTCTTTGTTTGTGTTTGTGTCTTTCTTCATCCCCCACTGTTCCCTCTTAGGTCTTTGAACCCTTGTGCAGCGCGGGATGCAGCACGCATCACATGGAATCTCCTTTGTATTCCATATATTTCTTTGTCTTTCTTTACACCAGTAGCATAGCATACTGTCTTCATTACTGTAGCTTTATACGTCTTGAAATCAGGTAGGTAGTCTTCCAACTTTGTTCTATTTCTATTGTGTTGCTTAATCTAGATCCATTACATACACATTTAAGTTTTAGAACCCCATCGCCAATTTCTATGGAAAACCTTCTAGAATTTTGAGAGGGATGGGATTGAACCAGTCAGCTTGGAGAAAATAGAGTTCTTAACAATATAAAGTCTTCTGATCCATGAGCATATAATATCGCTCCATTTATTTAGGTTTTTTTAAATTGCCGTCAGCAATATTTTATACTTTTCTCCAGGATGTTTTCTGAATCCGATAGTCCCTTTCAGTCTCAGTCCTACTAGACCTCTGCAGTGCCCAACACTATGGTTCATTACCTCTTTCTTCAGCCTCTCTCTTCCCCAGACTTTGTGCCTCCCACTGTGTCCCCATTGTTTTCCTTTCAGATTGTCCTTCCCTGTTCTCTCACAGGCACTTTACCTCCTTCACGTGGCACAGGAGGAACAACTAATGCTAATTAATCATCAGTTCGCCAGGTGCCTGCAGTTTAATGGTCAGCTGTGTTGGCAAAGACTGGTTCTGGAAGGAATTCTTTTTTTTTGGCTCTTTTAGGAAAGGATCTGCTTTCTCTCCAATAATTGTGGGCAGTAATAGAAAAACTGTCTCAAAAAAAAATAGACCGTCATTGGCGTGGATGAGTCTGGAGATTAGAGGAGAATTGCCACGATGAAAAATCTAGTAGTTTTGCAGGTTTTCCTATTCACCATCTTAGCCTATTGAGATCTCCATGGTATCTTTTGAGTCACTTTCATTAATCACCATGCCAACTTATAAAAATTATTGAGATGAGATTCATATAACATAAAATTGACCATTTCATTTGATTTTATTTTTTTTGAGACTGAGTCTTGCTCTGTTGCCCAGTCTGGAGTGCAATGGCACAATCTCGGCTCATTGCAACCTCCACCTCCTTGGTACAAACTATTCTCCTGCCTCACTTCCCAAGTGGCTGGGATTATAGGCATGTGCCACCATATTCAGCTAATTTTTATATTTTTAGTAGAGACAGAGTTTCACCATCCTGGCCAGGCTTGTCTCGAACTCCTGATCTCAGGCTATCCCTCTCACCTCCCAAAATGCTGGGATTATCGGCATGCGTCACCTCGCCTGGCCTATTTTATTTTTTTGGAGATGGAATCTCACTCTGTTGCCCAGGCAGTGGTGGGATCTCTGCTCACGGCAACCTCTGCCTCCTGGGTTCAAGCGATTCTCCTGCCTCAGCCTCCCGAGTAGCTGGAACTACAGGCGTGTGCCACCATGCCCAGCTAATTTTTTATTTTTGTATTTTTAGTAGAGACTGGGTTTCACCATATTGGCCAGGCTGCTCTCGAACTCCTGATCTCGTGATCTACCCACTGCCAAAGTGCTGAGATTACAGGTGTGAGCCACTGCACCCGGCCTAAAATTAACCATTTTAAAGTGAACAACTCAGTGGCATTAATACATTTACAGTATTGCACAACCACTACCTCTGATTCCAAAACATTTCATTTACTTCAAAGTAATGGATCCCTTAACCATTAAGTGGTCTCTCCCCAGCCTCCCCTACCCTCAGCCTCTGGCAAGTGCTATCTGAGTTATTTTACTATGGATGTACCTATTCTAGATATTCCATATAAATGGAATCCTACCATATGTAACCTTTCATATATTACTTCTTTTACTTCGCATAATGTTTTGGAGGTTTTTGAATTACTTATTAACTGCTCTGTTTTGTTCTCTCACTTGATAGAAATTCCTCGTTACCCAAACTGTCTAACAAAACTTCAATAAATAATCAACATTATTGACAGAAGTATTTAAATAGCTATGTTCTTAAGGATGGTGATGAACACGTTACATTAAAACTGGGACATTTCATCAAGTAAAAAATGACACAAAATCTCAAAGCAAATTCCTCATTAGCAAGATGCTGCCATAAGACATCTGAAGAAAAAAGCAGGCAGAAGTGGGAAAAATCGACCCCTGCCGAGGGCCAGCTGTGGAGGCCGTCAGACCCGGGAAGGGTAAATGGGGAAATCACATCCTCCCGTCTAAGCACAGAAAACATGGCTGAAGCATAGTCCAGTCCAGCCTTACTGCAGTGATCAGGCAAGAAATGTAAAACCCAGTGCTTGAAACCAGGCAGATGAGTCCAGACTCGCTCTAACTTCCCCACTGCCACCCTTAAAATCTTCTAGCCCTGACTTGTTTCGTTCTATCATGTGGATTGGGTGTTTGTGTGGATTTTATGAAGGTGATATTTTTAGATGAGAAAAACGAAAAGGTTATAATAGCACACTTAACCACACAAACACAAAACGTCTACAACAAATGCTATTTTATCTTCACAGGAGAATCATATATCACCTTGGGGAGGGGATGGGGCTTATCCTCATTTTTCCAGTTTTTCCTCCTCTCCTCCCTTTTTTGCATCTGATAATTGCTTAGAATGAAGGTATGGAAAGTAGATCCCAATTTCAGCCTCCCTTCACACGCTGTGCAAACGTGGACAACTTCTGAGCCTGTCACCTCTCAGTGGAAAAAGAGGTGACAACGTCTCCTTCAGAGTTATCATGCTCAAAGTGAAGCAATCTTTGTGAAAGGAAAATACACATCCTCGTCGTACGCCAGATCGGTGTTTACGTCCTCGTCAGTGAAGAAGCCGATGGTTAATAAGAATCAGTCACTCAACACTTTTCTCGTATTTTTCTCGTCCGTCTTCCTCCAAAGATTGTAAAGGTCCCAAGCTGTTGTCTGCAATCTAGTCCTGCTACGTCGTGGGGACTGAGCAGGCTGACTCCTCCCGCTTCGCACGTCCAAGATAAACAGCGCAGTTTATGTTTGAAACCTGCAGACTCAGTCGCAACCGAACTCCGTAGACACTAGACTGACCAGCGCAACTGCAATTCAGGCTCCGCCCCTCCACGCCCATTGGCTCATTCAATTCACGCAGAAACCAATGGGCGGCGGCGGCGGCGGCGGCGTCTGAGGGCTTATCCCCTGCTGGCGTTTGCGGTGTGCGGCGGCGTTGGCTTGAGAAAGTTATATAGAGGCGCTGAAGCGGAGAGGCAGCTCCCGACCCGAGCGTACAATGAGTACCCCGGCCGTGCCCCGAGACCTGCAGCTGCCCCCGAGTCAGAGGACCCAGTCTGCATTCAAAGGTGAGGGGCGCGGGCTGAGCGGTCGGGGCTAGGGGCTGCGCTGGCGCGCTCCACTCCTTTCCGGCTCTGTGAGAGCCCTGAACGCGGCCTCGGCCTCGCCCCCGCCCCCGCCCCGCCGCATTCTTGGCCTTGTGGAACGGGTCGTAAAAGCCGGACCCGCTGCGTGGTGTTAGTGTGCGGTCGCTGCTGGCTGGGTTGGGCCCTCCTGTGAGGGAATCCGTTGGGCGAGGGGAAACGTGCGGGGCTCGGGCTGGGACCTGTGTTACGAGTCGGTGGTCTCCTGGGCGGGGGACGGGGCTGCACAGGCGCCCGAACCGACTGCGCCTGCGCCGGGCTCTCGGCCTCTAGCGACTTTTTGCTGGGCTGGGGTCGCATCCTGTGTTTTTTCCAATTTCACAGCTTCTCCTTAGACTTTTTGGAAACCGACGGTTGGCTGGGTCATTAAAAGTTATTTCTTGTTTCTACAGACGGTAACGCAGAAGGAAGGAATTCTCACCTGACCCGGTTCTGGTAAATTAGAACTTTGGAGTCTGGCGCCTCACTTCTAACATTAAGTTTCTTAAAGCTTCGTTTTCGAGAACCGTATGCTGAAAACGATATTCTCCAGATTTTTCACAGACAGTAGAGAACGTGATTCTTACGCAGAGGGGCTTTGGGAACCTGTTATGATAACAGTCTCTTATTAGGTGATTTCTCATAGGCAATACTGAATTGGGGAATTTTCTGAGATGTGACCTCAAGGGGAACCAGCGTTGGAAGTAAACTCTATTTAGTCAAAAAATTTTATTCGATGTTATAACTAATATTAACTTGTAGCTCTTACCTTTTGTTACCTAGAGCAAAGAAAACAAAAACTCCAGGAACATCTGCTGAGAAGAAAAACACTTTTTGCATACAAGCAGGAAAATGAGATGTTATCCAGGTGAGGTCAAGTTTCTTTCTTTTCACTTCTGTAAAATTATATCAGATCTGTCCAATAAAAATGTAAAGTAAGCCACATCTAATTTAAAATTTTCTAGTAGCCACATTTAGAAAGTGTTTTTTTTTACAGTCCTTAGATATTATTTTATATCTTTTTTTGGTGCAACGTCTTCAAAATCTGGTGTCTATTTTACACTTATAGCACATTTCAATTTGGAAGATCCACATTTCAATCACTCATAACAACTCAATAATCAAATTTGGCTAGTGGCTACTTTACTGGATGGTGCAACATTAGAGCCTCGTTTTCTGCATAAATTAATTCACAATCTAAGCAAAACACAGTTATAAAGCAAAGTATGTGTATAGACCAGATTATCAACTTATGGTTTACACCACACAAAGGTCAGTCTTTCTATTATTTAGCAAAGCTTTTACTCAGTGTATGGGGGAGTTCTTCAGGGAAGGGTTGGGTGTCCCTCCCAAATGGTTACAGATTATTAATCGTAGTCTCAACATCTGTACAAATATTTTTATTATTTTGCTAAAATATTTTAGATAGTACATAGTTGTAGCAAAAACAAAAACCCATGAAAGTAGATAAAGCAGAAAGGCAGAAGTTTTCCTTACTCCCTGGAGATAACCACTAATTACATCTTCACAGGCTCTTTACATCTAAGAGTGATAAGGGCCTGGGTTACAGTCCTTAAGTCTGCTACTACAGCTGTGCAACCTCAGGAAAGATACTTGACCTCTTTGAGTTTGTTTACATATATTAAAATGGAATAGCAATAATTGTTTCTTGAGGATTAAATTATATAGTGAATATATCATGTTATGCCCTGTTATACAGTGAGAACCCAACAAGTGATAATATTTTTTAAAGCTCTCTCTGTGGCATTACATTCAGTGAACTGGTTTTTTAAATACTTTATTCTCCTGGTTTCATTAATTTTCTTCCAACATCATTGCCATCCTCATGGGTCAAAAAAAAAGTCTCACTTTTGGCCAGGCGCGGTGGCTCACACCTATAATACCAGCAGTTTGGTAGGCCAAGGTGGGCAGATCACGAAGTCAGGAGATCGAGACCATCCTGGCTAACGTGAAACCCTGTCTCTACTAAAAATACAAAAAATTAGCCAGATGTGGTGGCACACACTTGTAGTCTCAGCTCCTTGAGAGGCTGAGTCAGGAGAATCGCTTGAACCCAGGAGGCAGAGGTTGCAGTGAGATGAGATTGTGCCACTACACTGTAGCCTGGGCAGCAAGAGCAAAACTCCATGTCAAAAAAAAAAAAAAAAAAGCATCACTTTCATCTGCACTTCTTTATATTAGGTAATTTATTGATATATTCTGCCCTTAAAAAGGCTTGATACGCTTTCTGATGGGAGAGAGTTGTCAGATTTTGCCAGTTTTTGGAAGATAGAGCTGACTAGACCCGGTAATGGTTAGGTATGGGATATAAAAGAAAGAATGGAGTTAAAAGTCCTGAATATTCCCAAGTAAGAGAGGGTAAAAAGACATGATAAGTAAATGCAACGCCTGACCTTATACCATATCCTAGGCTGGAAGGGAGAAACAACATAAAAGACATTCTTTGGTCAGTTGACAACTAAAGTGTGAACAGTAGGTTAAAGTAGTTGATCAAGGTAAATGTAGGTTAAAGTAGTGTATCAAGGTAAATATATTTGATTACTGTGGTTATGTAAGAGAATATTCCTGCCGGGCACAGTGGCTCATGCCTTGTAATCCCAGCACTTTGGGAGGCCGAGGCGGGTGGATCACAAGGTCAAGAGATCGAGACCATCCTGGTCAACATGGTGAAACCCTGTCTCTACTAAAAATACAAAAAATTAGCTGGGCATGGTGGCGCACGCCTGTAATCCAGGCTACTTGGGAGGCTAAGGCAGAATTGCCTGAACCCAGGAGGTGGAAGTTGCAGTGGGCTGAGATCGCACCATTGCACTCCAGCCTGGGTAACGAGCGAAACTCTGTCTCAAAAAAAACAAACAAAAAAAAACCAGAATAGTCCTATTTTAAGGAAATATTTAAGAATAAGGGCCATGGTATATACAATTTGTCTTCAAAGGTCCAGGTAAAAAATTGTGTATACCGGCCAGGCGCAGTGGCTCACGCCTGTAATCCTAGCACTTTGGGAGGCTGAGGTGGGTGGATCACCTGAGGTCAGGAGTTCAAGACCAGCCTGGCCATCATGGTGAAACACCCTCATTTTATTTTTTATTTATTTGTTTTTATTTATTTATTTATTTGAGATGGAGTTTCGCTGTTGTTACCCAGACTGGAGTGCAATGGCACGATCTCGGCTCACCGCAACCTCCACCTCCTGGATTCAAGCAATTCTCCTGCCTCAGCCTCCCAAGTAGCTGGGACTACAGGCGTGCACCACCATACCCAGCTAATTTTTGTTTTTTTAGTAGAGACGGGGTTTCACCTTGTTGACCAGGATGGTCTCGATCTCTTGACCTCGTGATCCACCCGCCTCGGCCTCCCAAAGTGCTGGGATTATGGGTGGGAGCCAGCGCGCCTGGCTGAAACACCCTCTTTTAAAAAAAAAAAAAAATTATGTATACCACCCACACACACATTTAGAGATTGGAAATGATAACGCAAATGGGATAAAATTTTAACAGTAGGTGGATGCTGAGTAAGGAGTGTATAGATATTCTTTGACCTGTTTATATTTTTGCAATTTTGTTTAAGTTTTGGTATTCCAAAATTTTAAAAATAATTTCTAACAGTATGTTAATAAGTTGCTTTAGTTTGGAATAAACGTTTTGTCCTTCACAAATCTTTTATTTCTTTAAGACAAAAAGGTGATCCTAGGTTTTTGGTTTGGATGAATAAATGGGTGGTGATAACCATATACTGAAATAGGAAGACCGAAGGAGGAGCTTTGGAATTAGGAGTTCTGTTTTGACTATGTTTGAGGTACCAAGCAGATATGCCAAATAGTTGTGTGTCTGAAGTTCAAGGGGAGGGGTTGGGACTGGAAACATATACTCAGGAATTGGTCAGTATACAAATGATGTTTATTTAAAAACCTTAGGATGGAATGAAATTACTAGAAATAAGTAGGGATAATATGGATTCAGACAGTGACTCTCTACTGCTTATTTAAATAAGGAACCCGGTAGGGTCAGGGGTTTATAATATTCTTCCACATAATAGGAAGACAAGAAAATTCTAAACGGTTCTTGTGGCATAAGTACATTTTATTCCTTTCAGAAAACAGATGTCAATTTAAATGTGTTAGCAGTGAATTATTAATAAGACAACCCATCTGTGCTGCAGCTTTTCAGAATTAAACAATTATATTTTATAATCTCTAAAGTGTAGGTATCCTAAGACTCATTTCAGATAACCCTTCTTAGGGCAGTTTCATGATAATAAGACAGAATAGGATTAAGTCTTCACATTGGACAGGTGAGTAAGATGGGTTTTTCTTGTCATTCTGAGTTTTGTGTTTTTAGCTAGCAGTTAACTACTAAGAAACCCTGTTAAGGGGCACATTTTGATCTCCCTTTACCGTTGTTCAAAATGCATAGTACAGGCTGTGTCAACATTCTGTCCCTTCTCCAAGCTGACAGAGCAAATAGATGTGAAAGGCAATGTAACCAAAATTATTAACTATCAAATTATGTCAAATGTAAAATATACATTTATTTTATTTTATTTTATTTTTGAGATGGAGTCTGGCTCTGTTGCCTAGGCTGGAGAGCAGTGATGCAATCTCAGCTTCCTGCAATCTCGGCCTCCTAGGTTCAAGCGATTCTCCTTCCTTAGCCTTAAGGGTAGCTGGGATTATAAGCATGTGCCACCATGCCTGGCTAATTTTTACATTTTTAGTAAAGATGAGATTTTGCCATGTTGGCCAGGCCGGTCTCAAACTCCTAATCTCAGGTAATCTACCCGCCTTGGCCACCCAAAGTGCTAGGATTACACGTATGACCAACTGTATCTGGCCTCATTTTTTTCACATTTTAACGTGATCTCTGAACGAAGGATCTGTCTTAAAATCAATGGCATGTCTAATTGACAGTATTTTTTTCCTGTCTTTATTGTATGCAAAATTGTTACAATCACCTGCTAAGAGTTGCTCACAGTCTGCCTTAGCCAGTTTACAACTATAAAAATAAGTTTAGATCACTTTCTTGAGGAAGGATTTGCTTTGCAATACCACCTAGAAACTAAGATTCTTTTTTTTGAGACATGGTCTCAGTCCATCACCCAGCCTTGAGTGCAGCGACGGGATCTTGGCTCACTGCCTCAACTCTCAGGCTCAAGCAGTCCTCCCACCTCAGCCTCCCAAGTAGCTGGAACTACAAGCACCCTCCACGACGACGCCCAACTGATTTTTCATTTTTTGTAGAGACAGGGTTTCACCATGTTGCCCAGGCTGCTCTGTAACTCCTGAACTCAAGTAATACCACCACCTCAGCCTCCCAAAGTACAGGCATGAGCCACTGCACCCATCAGTCCATATTCTTAATATATTCTAATATAAATTAAGCTGTGAATGCCATATGGTAAATTTTGGATTACTTTTGGGTGGACTCTTACATAAAAGTTTTTTCATCGTAGTACATCTGTTACTAAGTACTTAAAAGTAAACCAAGAAGGTATTGCTTACTAAAGGTTTTTTGAAGACTTGTTGGAATGACTTGATGATTTGAAATAAGAATATTAAGTATTTACAAATTCTATGGGCAGAGAGTGTTAAGACTATTAGAAAATATCTTTAAATTCCTCAGCCATTTGTTTGCACTATTAAAAAGTATTGAGGCCAGGCGTGGTGGCTCACGCCTGTAATCCCAGCACTTTGGGAGGCTGAGGCGGGTGGATCACGAGGTCAAGAGATCGAGACCATCCTGGTCAACATGGTGAAACCCCGTCTGTACTAAAAAAAAAAAATACAAAAAATTAGCTGGGCATGGTGGCACGTGCCTGTAATCCCAGCTACTTGGGACGCTGAGGCAGGAGAATTGCCTGAACCCAGAAGGTGGAGGTTGAGGTGAGCCGAGATCACGCCATTGCACTCCAGCCTGGGTAAAAAGAACGAAACTTCGTCTCGATAATAATAATAATAATAATAAGTATTGAAAGTTTTGCTTAGGGCTGGTGTGATGGCTCACACCTGTAATCAGTACTTGGGAAGGCCAAGGTGGGCAGATCACCTCAGGTCAGGAGTTCAAGAGAGCCTAGCCAACAGGGTGAAACCCCATCTCTGTTAAAAATACAAAATTAGCTGGGTAAGGTGGTGTGTACCTGTAATCCCAGCTACTCAGGAGGCTGAGACAGCAGAATCACTTGAAACCTGGGAGGCACAGATTGCAGCGAGCTGAGATAATGCCACTGCACTCCAGCCTGGGTTACAGAGCAAGACTCCATCTCAAAAAAAAAAAAAAAAAGTTTTGCTTAGGAAAAATTTCACAGGTCTTTCTTAAACTTAGAATTAATAAGTCAGTTAATTGTTAACATTGCCCTCTTCTCCCTCCCCAAAAGGAAGCCTCCTTGGTACAGGATTGATTGATTAATCCTTTTGTTTGTTTGTTTTTAAGTAGTAGAGGTCAGAGAGCTGTGACATCTGAGGACCAAGTTCAAGAAGGGACTACAGTGCTGAAACTTAAAGCAAAAATGGTAAGATGTGGACATAGCCTTCCTAAACTGTCCCTTTTCCGCTTTGCCTTTCATAAACACTTTTCTTAAATAATTCTTTTAGGCTGATAAAGAAAATGTGAAGAGACCTACAGGGAGCAAAAACAGTATAATAGTGGGGAGAAATTGTATTCCTTTAAAACCTTCAAATGAAGTAACCAATTCAACTGTAGTAATTGACACACATAAACCTAAGGATAGTAATCAAAATCTGCAGTTGTTACTAACTGAAGATGATCCCCCAAATCAACATATGACATTAAGCCAGGCATTTCACCTGAAAAACAATAGTAAAAAGAAACAGATAACTGCAGAGAAACCAAAGCAAGATGCTAACATGCCCAAGAAACCTGTGCTTGGATCTTATCGTGGCCAGATTGTTCAGTCTAAGGTGAATTCATTTAGAAAACCTCTACAAGTCAAAGAGGAGAGTTCTGCAGCAACAAAGAAACTTTCAACCACTGTCCCTAGAGCCACAAAGCCTCAGCCTGTAAATGCCAGCAGTGTAACAGTGAAAAGTAATAGATCCTCAAGTATGACTGCCACCACGAAATCTGTAAGCACTACATCTCAGAACACACAACTTGTGCGACCTCCAATTAGAAGTTATCACAGTAATACTGTGAAACAAGGCATCAGTAGAACCTCTGCCCATGTTACAATCCGGAAAGTGCCTCGTGAAAAAGAATTGTTAGAATCAAAAACAGCTTTACCTAGTGTCAAAACCAGTTCTTGTCAAGATGTAATAAGAAGTAAAACACTGTTAAGAAGCATGGCATCTGAAGTTGTGGCCGGGCCTACTTCATTGTCTAATGACAAACTGATGGAAAAGTCGAAGCCCATTGACGAGCGAAGACATACTGTAGGAAAAGCAACTGTTGATAGATCAGTTCATCCCAAAGAAACCGCAGAAGAGAGAAAGTAAGTAGATGTAATTTTCTTTATTGTATTATCTTAGTTTTCAATAAAATGCTGTTTGTAGATTTGGCTTCTAATTTCCTTGACTGCATTAGAATTTTTCTTTTTTTTTTTTTTCTTTTGATACAGAGTCTTGCTCTGTTGCCCAGGATAGAGTGCAGTGGTACAGTCTTGGTTCACTGCAGCCTCCACTTTCCAGGTTCAAGTGATTCTCCTGTCTCAGCTTCCTGAGTAGCTGGGACCACAGGTGCATACCACCATGCCCAGCTAATTTTTGTATTTTTAGTAGAGATGGGGTTTCACCATATTGGCCAGGCTGGTCTCACACTCCTGACTTCGTGATCCACCCACCTCAGCCTCCCAAAGTGCTGGGATTACAGGCATGAGTCACCATGCCTGGCCTATAATTTTCTTTCATGGTTTCTCTTCTGTCATATGCAGGCAGATTTATGTTGCGGAACAATATGACCTATAAGTTTTTGTGTTTGAATGTTTTGTTAGATTGCTTTTTTAAAATCTAAGGTAAATGCTTAATAATAATTGGGAAATACTTTATAATCTCTCAAAAAAAATGCATTCATGGAGGCTTTGAGCATACTTGACCTTGATATATTTACTATTTCTTCAAGTTTGTAAACTATGTACATGCTGCTAGAGTAAGATTACTTTAAAATAATGAGTTTTCTTATTATTTATTTATTTTTTTTTTGAGACGGAGTTTCACTCTTGTTACCCAGGCTGGAGTGCAGTGGCGCGATCTCAGCTCACCGCAACATCCACCTTCTGGGTTCAGGCAATTCTCCTGCCTCAGCCTCCTGACTAGCTGGGATTACAGGCACGCACCACCATGCCCAGCTAATTTTTTGTATTTTTAGTAGAGACGGGGTTTCACCATGTTGACCAGGATGGTCTCGATCTCTTGACCTCGTGATCCACCCGACTCGGTCTCCCAAAGTGCTGGGATTACAGGCGTGAGCGACCACACCCGGCCCGACTTTTTTTATTTTTTAACTTTTCCTCTATTTAACAGAGTTCTCTCAGCGATTTCAAAGTAATGTTTATATCTGCTTCTAACTATAGAGCTCGTCTGAGTGAGTGGAAAGCTGGCAAAGGAAGAGTGCTAAAAAGGCCTCCGAACTCAGTAGTTATTCAGCATGAACCTGAAGGACAAAAAGAAAAACCAGTTGGGTCTTTTTGGACTACCATGGCAGAAGAAGATGAACAAAGATTATTTACTGAAAAAGTAAACAACACATTTTCTGAATGCCTGAACTTGATTAATGAGGTAGAGTCTTTATGTTTGTTTAGCATTTAATAGTTTGCAAATTACCTTCATAAACATTATTTTATTAAATTATATCATCAGTCTTTCTTACTAGGTGATGTTGGTGTTACTATGTTGCCTTGACATGAACTGTGAAATTATTTTTAACAGTTATTTAATTGTGAGATATACCGCTTCATTCATTAATTGTGAGATTATTAGCCTTTAATTGACTATATTTTTGCATTGAGTTCATAAAAATATACAGGTTGAATATTTTTTTTTTTTTTTGAGAAAAAAATGAAGAAAGAAAGAAAAGAATAAAAGACAGAAAGAAAAAGAGGGAGTGAGAACGGGAAGCTTGCTCTATTGCCCAGCCTAGAATGCAGTCTAAAAATGGGTACTAAAAACCTCTTTTATGCCAATAAATGTACGTAACAATGGAGACAGGAAGGAATAAGGGAGGAAAATAACAAACAAGAAGCCAACCAATATTTCATTTAAACCTGTGAAATACTATGCAATTGCTGAGGAGTGATTTACTTCCAATTTTGTGGTCACTATTAGAATAGGTGTGATGTGATACTGAGAAAAATATATGTTTTGTGGATTTGGGGTGGAGAGTTCTGTAAATGTTTATTAAGTTTACTTATTTCAGGCCTGAGTTCAAGTCCTGGATATCCTTGTTAATTTTCTGTCTCGTCAATCTGTCTAATATTGACAATGTAGTGTTAAAATCTCCCACTGTTATTATGTGGGAGTCTTTAGGTTGAATATCTCTTATCCAAAATGCTTGGGACCAGAAGTAATTGAAAATTTTTTTGTTGGATTTTGGAATATTTGCATATATGTAATGAGATATCTTGGTGATGGAACCCAAGTCTAAACACGAAATTCATTTATGTTTTGTTTGTGTATTTGTTTGCTTTTGAGGCAGTCTTACTCTGTCACCCAAGCTGGAGTGCAGGGGGCTATCTCAGCTCACTGTAACCTCCACCTCCTGGGTTGAAACCATTCTTCTTCCTCACCCTCCCAAGAAGCTGGGATTATAGGCATGTGCTACACGCCTGGCAATTTTTTTTTTTTTTTTTGAGATGGAGTTTCGCTCTTGTTACCCAGGCTGGATTGCAATGGTGTGATCTCGGCTCACCGCAACCTCCGCCTCCTGGGTTCAGGCAATTCTCCTGCCTCAGCCTCCTGAGTAGCTGGGATTACAAGCATGCGCCACCATGACCAGCTAATTTTTTGCATTTTTAATAGAGACGGGGTTTCACCATGTTGACCAGGATGGTCTCGATCTCTTGACTTCGTGATCTACCCGCCTCGGCCTCCCAAAGTGCTGGGATAACAGGCTTGAGCCACCGTGCCCAGCTAAGATACAATATTTTTTATAATTTTGTACATGAAGCAAAATTTATGTACATTGAACCATCAGAAAGCAAAGGTGTCACTGTGTCAGCCACCCATGGGAAATTCTGGTTGTTTGGCATCACCATCATTCCTCACTCTGAATTTTTATGCTACTAATAAGCAGTTATTTTCTTACACTTATTCACATGTAAGTACTTAACAATTTATAAAAAACTGCAACATTTATACAGTGAAAAATATGTTCAGCAGAACAGGAGAATCAGAATACCTATATCTGCTGTTAGACAACAGCAACAACAAACAGCAGCACGTTTTCAATCTCCATATATGATGCTGTGTTTAAGAGGTATTTTATACTGTGTTTTATTTTTTTAGGTGAGAAGAAACATCAGAAACAGTTGAGGGAACAGGCAGTGGGTCCTCTAGGAATAAGGAGGCATTCTGCTGGATGGCTTTTTAAGATGTTTCTTCAAGTCATCTGCCTCATTAGCAGTGGTTTTTGTCTTAGAAGTTTCTCCTTGATTTTATAAAGGGACATGATTTCTTGTTCTGTTTTAAGGAAATGCTGCTCTAGTCCTTTAATAAGCCTATCACATATTTTCACCTATACGTACGTTTTCTGCAGTGTTAATGATGGTCATCTTCATTATGCTGTTGATACTCAAAGTTTTGGATTTTAGGTTTTGAATTTTCAGATTTGGGATACTTAACCTGTATCAATGGGATAATTAAGTTTTTTTACTGAATTACAAATATTTGAGTCCTCTGAGATAATTATATACTCTACTGAGGTGATATTTACCTTATTGCTTCTAATATTTTGTTTTTTACATCTATTCGTTATATTTACACATTATTTTTTACATTCATTACACATTTTACCAAAGACTAGCAACACAAATATTGTGTGAGTCATTATTATGACAGATTAAATTCAAGTTACCTAAAATACTCTCAAACAAAATCCCATTCATCTGGCCAGGTGTGGTGGCTCAAGCCTATAATCCCAGCACTTTGGGAGGCTGAGGTGGGCAGATCACCCAAGGTCAGTAGTTTGAGATCAGCCTGGCCAACATGGTGAAATTCTGTCTCTACTAAAAATATAAAAATTAGCCAGGTGTGGTGGCGGGTGCCTGTAATCTCAGCTACTTGGGAGGCTGAGGCAGGAGAATTGCTTGAACCTGGGAGGTGGAGGTTGCAGTGAACCGAGATTGTGCCATTGTACTCTAGCCTGGGCAATAAGTGCAAAACTCCATCTCAAAAAAAGAAAAAGGAAATTCCATTCATCTAAGGCAACATCATTATGGTTTTGAATTTATTGCAGAAGTTTGCTATTTGGACCAAAATCTTGTGGAGTATAATAATCAGCTCCAGAATATTGTCTTTGTTTCCTGACTGCTCTTTAATCTTGTTTTCGTCACCTACCAGTATGTAAGGTCCATACCAAAACTGAATTCAAGGTATGATTTCAAACCTGAACCTGACTCTATTCTTCATGAGCCTCTTTTAACTTTTTGTGGTTAAAAGTGAAAGTTACAATCAGGAAAACTCTGATTCTTTAATAGGAAAGAATTAGAGTTTATTTCTGCTCAGTTTGAAGTTTTTTCTTTTGATACTAAAATCTTTTTCTGCCCTACTATTTAACTATATGTAGCTGACGTAAACCATTACGAATTCATTTTAATCTTAATATCAAAAGCCAGCAAAGACAAGAGAAAAAAATTCCACAGGGCTATTCTCACTCATAAGCATTTGGTTGAAGCTATTAACAACAAATGGAATTCCACAATATAAGGATAAAATCAACACCAAGTCAGTGTTCATTTTTTACTAATAAATGTCTCAACTAATATTTTTTGGTTTACGCTTATGGCTATCTTTATCATTGATCTTGACTATCAATTATTGTTCATAGTTTGTAGGCTAAAAAATATCATACACGTTATTTCATGCTCTTTTAGGGATGTCCAAAAGAAGATATACTGGTCACACTTAATGAGCTGATTAAAAATATTCCAGATGCCAAAAAGCTTGTTAAGTATTGGATATGTCTTGTACGTATGGAACCAATCACAAGTCCTGTTGAAAATATTATTGCAATCTATGAGAATGCCATTCTGGCAGGGGCTCAGGTAAGATAAAAATTTGTTGATCTTTACTATTACAGTGTAGTAGACAATTCAGAATTAATTTGAAACACATTATAACATAACTTGAGAAAATTGTGGGCATATATGTAGTATTAATAAATGTTTAAAGGCCACAAGGATTGCATTATAAAAGCTTTTATGGCCTTCTGAGTCTTTCATTCTTGTACTAGGAATAATCTGACTTTAGAAAATGGATGTAAACTGAAATGTACATTTAATAAAACTTTCTGCATGAAATATTTTAGCATATTATTGTATGCATTTCCTGATTGGAAATTTACTGCGAGACTGAATTTTAATATTAAAATTTCTTCATTGAATATAAAGCAAAAGAAATTAAATTAGCCTTTTAAATGTTATCAAGCTCTCATGTTTTTCTGAGAGAACTCTTTCACTTTAAGAGTAAACCTGACTATATAGTCAGGTTTAAAATATATATATATAGAGAGAGACAGTCAGTCAGTCAGGTTTACTATTATAGTGTATAATATATACACTATAGATATTACTCCTGTCAGCATATGGAAAATGGCAGTAAACCAGTTTCTCTAACATTACCTCCATAGTGGCTTGATACCATACTCCTATCTTCTCAAGCTTTTTGTTTGGTTGTGGTTTTTTGTTTTTATGGAAAAATGTTCCTAAAATAGATTTCCTTTTGACCAGGTTTCTCAGAAACACATTCTTGGAGATGTTTATATAGATAATTTTTTAAACTCCTTTTTAAGAAAGGTCTGTTCACTTTAGTCTCAACAAAATCAACAAATGCTGTTTGACTTTTCACTTAAGTAAAAAATCAGATATGTAGCAGATAGTCTCTCAGTGGCCGTTATGTGTGAAACTCTTTCCAGAAGGGTAATTATATTTGACAGAATGCTACCTGGTGGGGAGTGTTATTCCCCTATGACGTTGCATCAGAAGGGACATTACTTAAGGCAACTTAGGACATTATAGCAAAGATGCAAAACTAGAACCAAGGCTCACATAGAAAGCATAATGTAAACAGAAAGATGTAACACCAGGGGAGAAGCTATTGGAAAACAAGAATCAAAATTAGCCAAGGTGGCTGGGCACAGTACTGCATGCCCATAGTTCCAACTACTTGGGAGGCCAAGGTAGAAGGATTTCCTAAGCCCAGGAATTTTAGTCCAGCCTGGGCAACATAGACTCCATCTCTTAAAATAAAATTAGTGGCCAGGCATGATGGTTCATGCCTGTAATCCCAGCACATTGGGAGGCCAAGGCAGGAGCCCAAGAGTTCGAGACCAGCCTGGGCAAGATGGTGAGACTTCATCTCCGCAAAAAAAAAGTTTTAAGTTAGCCAAGCATGGTGGTAGATAACATGTGGTCACAGCTATACTGGAAGCTAAGGTGGGAGAATTGCTTGAGCTCTGGTATTCAAGACCAGTGAGCCATGATCATGCCACTGCACTCCATCCTGCGTAAGCTGAGCAACACCCTGTCTCAAAAAATAAAAATAAGCCAAAAAAACTGAAAGCAGGATAGCTGAGTAATTCAGGACTAACTTCTGGAACTGAGGCTGTGAACCATACCTTTTGTAATCTTGAATGTGTTGGATGGAACATAGTAAATGCTTATAATACCTGGTAAATAATAGGCACTTAGTAAGTTTTTCAATGAATGAAATATGTTGAGGTAATCAACCTTCAGCTATTCAGAGATACATTTCATAGCATATGAAACAAAAGTATAACCATAGACTTAAATGTAAGAGAAAAGCAGCAAGGCTTAATTAAGTAAAATTTTCAAACATGAAATTCTATCTTTCAAGTTCATTTTTAGTCTGTACGTTGGAAAAGAGCCATTTTTCAATGTTAATTAGTGGTCTGAGAAGCATGGTTTAAGAACTACTGCCTTACTTTAAAATACAGTATGAAATTTTAATCACTGACTTAGTATTTTCAATGTGGATACCTAGTTCATGTCAGAGAAAATAAAACTTACATGGGTCTGCTTTCTTCATTAAAAAAATTAAGCCTATTGAAGAGATGCGACACACAATTGTAGATATTCTAACAATGAAGAGTCAAGAAAAAGTTAATTTGGGTAAGTTTTAGTTCTTTTATTTCTTTCAAGTGAATTGTAGGGTTCGTTTGTATTTTGTTTAACATCAGGAGTACATGTACAGGATGTGGAGGTTTGTTACATAGGTAAACATGTCATGGGGCTTTGTGTACAGATTATTTCATCGCCCAGGTATTAAGCCTACTATCCATTAGTTATTTTTTCTGATTCTCTCCCTCCTCCCACCCACCACCCTCCCTTGGGCCCCGGTGCGTGTTGTTCTCTAGGTGTCCGTGTGTTCTCATCACTTAACTCTCACATGAGGTATTTAGTTTTCTGTTCCTCTGTTAACAGTTTGCTAAGGATAATGGGCCTCCAGCCATGTCCCTGCAAAGGACATGATCTCATTCCTTTCTATGGCACGTAGTATTTCATGGTGTATAGATACCATATGTTTTTTATCCAGTCTATCACTGATGGGCATTTGGATTAATTCTGTATCTTTGCTATTGTGAATAGTGCTGCAATAAACATACGTGTGCATGTGTCTTCATAATAGAATGATTTATATTGCTTTGGGTATATACCTAGTAATGGGATTGCTCGGTTGAAGATTTTTCTGTCTCTAGGTCTTTGAGGAATGGCCACACCGTCTTCCACAATGGTTGAAATAATTTCCCACCAACAGTGTAAAACGCATTCTGCATTCCTTTTTTTACACAACCCTGCCAGCATCTGTTTTTTTCCCGATTTCTTTTTTTTTTTTTTTTTTTTTTTTTTTGAGACAGAGTCTTACTCTGTAGCTTAGGCTGGAGTGCAATGGCGTGATCTCAGCTCAGCGCAACCTCCGCCTCCTGGGTTCAGGCAATTCTCCTGCCTCAGCCTCCTGAGCACCTGGGATTACAGGCATGCACCACCATGCCCAGCTAATTTTTTTTGTATTTTTAGTAGAGACAGGGTTTCACCATGTTGATCAGGATGGTCTCGATCTTTTGATCTTGTGATCCACCCACCTCGGCCTCCCAAAGTGCTGGGATTACAGGCTTGAGCCACCGCGCCCAGCCCAGAATTTTTAATTAGGAGATCTGGCTCAATATTTAGATTTGTTACTAAATGTCTATAAAAGTTGTGTTGTCTCTAGGCTTTAATTTTCTGCCTTAAAAATGAGGCAGTTTGACTAGATCTCACTTTTCACTTGTTAAATTCTCTGATCTGTAGTGTTGTCTAGAAAAGCTCATTCAAGAATTCTCTTTGTTGGGGATAGTAGATGAAGATAGGAGATTCAGTCATAAAATGTGTAAACAATTTTAGATGTAGATAAAAGTTTATGCCAGTTGATATGACTTTAGGCCAAAAATACCCTTTCATCTGTAAAATAGGGATTTTTGGGGACCATTGAATGAAATAATGTTTATAAAGTTTCATAGCATATGACACATAGTAAATTTATTAAACTGTAGCCATTAATGTTAATTAATTTTATAAAAACGGTTTCCAGCTGGTCAAGGTGGCCCATGCCTGTAATCCCAGCACTTTGGGAGGCTGAGATGAGCAGATCACAAGGTCAGGAAATCAAAACCATCCTGGCCAACATGGTGAAACCCCATCTCTACTAAAAATACACACGCACACACACACACACAAATTAGCTGGACATCGTGGCACACAACTGCAGTTGCAGCTACTCAGGAGGCTGAGGTAGAATTGCTTGAACCAAAGAGGCAGAGACTGCAGTGAGCTGAGATCAAACGACCACACTCCAGCCTGGGTGACAGAGTGAGACTCTGTCTCAAAACAAAAAAAAAACAAAAAAAAAAGAAAGGAAATGGTTTCCAATTGTTTACTATACCTGTATATTACATAGTCAGCAAATATTTGAGTGCATATTGTATGCTATTGCCTACATATCTAGTTATTTTCTTTTGATTAATTTTAACAAGAGTCAAACAGTTTGAGGTGTTTTTTTTTTGTTTTTTGTTTTTTGAGACGGAGTCTTCCTGTGTCACCCAGGCTGGAGTGCAATGGTGGGATCTCGGCTTACTGCAGCCTCCGCCTCCCAGGTTCAAGCCACAGCCTACCGGCATGTGCCACCACGCCCAGCTAATTTTGTATTTTTAGTAGAGATAGGGTTTTACCATGTTGGTCAGGCTGGTCTTGAACTCCGACCTTAGGTGATTTGCCCACCTTGGCCTCCCGAAATGCAGGGATAACAGGCATGAGCCACTGTGCCAACAGTTTGAACTTTTAAAGTCTTCTGATACATGCTGCCAGATTGCTTTCCAGAACAGTATTAGTACCCCTACTTGTAGTATGCAAAATGAATTTAAGATGTAGAGATCTAGGTTGAAGGGCTAAACCTTAAAAAAAAGAAGAGCATACTCAAATTCTAAATTAAGTATGTTATATAAGTTTTTTATTACATGTATTAGCAAAATAAAAAACCTGTTCATTGGGGTTAATATGCTAATGGCTGTGCTAATTACTATGCTTATGGCTATGTTGGAGGTCATGCTTCTGTTGGCAGCATGCTTAGTTATCAGGATTTATTTCAGTTTATGGTGACTGTTAATATGCACCAGGGAACCTATGAAAGATTTATATGATCTGATCTTACTAATAGTATTTAATGAAAGAGCTTGAGAAGCAAGGAGAGAAGGGAAAGACTAGTATACCACAAAAAAAAAAAGAGGAGGAAAAAAGTTTAAGAATAATCCAGTATTGTCTCTTATTCACAAACACAGTGAAGTGGAAATTCAAATTTCATAAAAAGAGCTTCTCTTATAATTCTATCTCTGGAGATGTGTGGAAAGAGAAAAGCAGTGTTTAATCCGATTAAATTACTGTTCCTATCTTACACAATAATACTAGTTGGTGTTTTCTAGCAGGTATAATATTTTATTAGTCTTTAGATGGGGAAGGAGCTATCCATAAACTCTTGGCTGTCTGAAATGTATAATTGTAAGTTCTGGATATGAAACCAATTTCACAAGTCAGTTATTTGTAAACAGCAGAAGAACATAAGTGGTTGAAGTAGTTCAGGAGAGGGTTAAAAAAAAAAAGGCTGGTCACTGTGGCTTACGCCTGTAATCTCAGTACTTTGGGAGGCCGAGGCAGGTGGGTCACCTGGGGTTAGGATTTCAAACCAGGCTGATCAACATGAAGAAACCCCTTCTCTACTAAAAATATCAAAAAAATTAGCTGGGTGTAGTGGTGCATGCCTGTAATCTCAGCTACTCGGGAGGCTGAAGCAAGAGAATCGCTTGAATCCAGGAGGCGTAGATTGCAGTGATCCGAGATCACGCCATTGCACTTCAACCTGGGCAACAAGATTGAGACTCTGTCTCAAAAGAAAGACAAATAATAAGAGACAAGCACCACTTGGATGTCTCACAGCTGCCTCAAACACAAATAGCCAAACTTGAATACATAATTTCTCCCTAAACCTGAGTCTTCTTTTAGTTCTCTGTCTTAATGAATGAATTAAGTCTTAATGAATGAATGAATTCTCTGTCTTAATGAATTCCAAGTCAGAATCTTGGTGTGATTGTTTACTCCCTCTTTCTTTTCCAGTTCCCATCCATTTTTCCCCAGCTAATCAAATTCAGTTTAACTTCCTAAGTGTCTCTTAAGATCCATCTACATCATTCCATCCTTATTCTTCTTCCTATCTATAGTCACGATGACCCACACTTTTACCTGCCTCTCTGCTCTTGCCTCATTCCAATCCATTCTCAACACCACAACCAAAATACTCTGTCATGCATCTGCATAAATTCCTGAGTCTAATCTCTTCTGTTTCCCTCTCCCCCATGTCCCTGAATTTCTTTCTTTTTTTTTTCTCTTTCCTGATAGACGTTACACTCTCTTTTCCCGCCATGTCTCTCCAAGACGGTCTTCTGCTTTTTCTTAAGTTCTACTTATCCTTTAGATGTCAATTCAAATGTCACTTCCTTGGAGTAGCCTTCCCTGATGATTTCCCTGATGTACCATTCCATCTCCTCTCAACCTAGGTTTAGTGCACCTGTTTTGTGCACCCTGTTTTTTCCCTATGCAATATTTGATGCATTTGATTGCTTACTATTTAGTTGTTTGTCCTGTCTTTTGCATTATGTAAACTCAATATACAAGGACAGTGCCTAATATTCCTGACCACTGAGTCTCCTGTGCTAATGGAATGTCTGGCATGTATTTGGCACTTAAATATTTGTTGAATTAATCTATATTCTTTTCTTTCTTTTTCAGCTTCCACTTAGTAAAAACTCAGTCACTATCATGCAACTAAAATTTCTCTTAGTAAAAATTTTTAGTAATTTTCCTCATAATTAAATCTAGAGGTTTTTTTCAGCTCAATGAATTTATCAGGATGTCTTACAAGTATTTCTAGCCTACCATGTTTTATTTTTAAATATTTGACTGCCCTCACTGCTTTCCCATACCCAAGATTCATCCCAAAAAAGAAGAGAAAAAAACCTTCCTTTGGCATTTATGACTCTTAAGCCAGAAATTTTAGACAAGATGCTCCTAATATATATGCACAGTCATTCCCACACAGTCATGCCTTCATTTGTTGATAAGTTCTGACTCGGGTGGATATGGTGGCTCATGCCTATAATCCCAACACCAGAAGGCCAAGGTGGAAGAATCACTTGAGGTCAAGAATTCGAGATCAGCGTTGGCAACATAGTGAGACCCTATCTCTACAAAAAAAATTTTTAAATATTAGCTGGGCATGGTGGTGCACACCTGTAGTTTCAGCTACTTGGGAGGCTTTGGCAGGAGGATCACTTGAACCTGGGAAGTTGAGGCTGCAGTGAGCTATGATTGTGCCACTGCACTCCATACTGGAATGACGGACACCCTGTCTCAAAAAAAAAAAAGTCCTTACTAAGAAATATTTCTCAAATTGGACGCTTCCTTCCTATCCAACTTCTTAATGACTGACTTAGCCTATTACAACAACTTCGTCTTCTTGCCCTCCCAGATTGTTAGTTTTCATTCTGTCATTCTAGACAATCCTTTACATTGACCAAATTTAATTATATCTGTCTCTCTGGTCAACTTTTTTTTTTTTCCCCAAACTTCTTTCATATAAAGCTCATTACAATCCAGCTCTTGCTTACCTATCTGAGCTCAATACTGCCCGCTCCCACTCCTCCCTTGCTCCTTACCCTATATTCTAAACACACTGGCTCTTTAATGTTATTTTAATAGATCATTTTCTTTTATGTGCCATAGGAAGGTTGTCTTCCTTGGTCTTGGTCAATTACTCATTTTTCAAGACCCAGCCTAAATGTCACTTGTGAAGCATTCCCTAACCATCTCCCTGTACCACAAACAAAGTTAGTTGTTCCTTTTTGTGGGTTTTAATAATCCTTTGTTCTTATTACATATATAGCATTTATTCCATTTTATAATAGTAAATGTTTGTTATATAGTTGGCAACGGTTTGTTAGATAGTTGGCTGAGGGAAAGGAATGGTTCGGTAATGGCAGTTGGGTTCTTTTATTTTGAAAATCTGGCCAACTAGGAATAACTTTAATGTCTTCTGATTTTGTTCTTAAAATTCAGCCAAAAGCTTAATCTAATAAATGTATTTTCTATAGAAGAAAATACGGAGAAGGCTTGTGCAACCAAGGAATTAGTCACAGAAGTCAGTATTGAAGATACAGGTGTTGATGTAGATCCAGAAAAACTGGAAATGGAGAGTAAACATCATAGAAATGTGCTATTCCAAGACTGTGAAAAAGAGCAAGACAGCAAAACAAAAGATCCAACCCATGATATTAAAACCCCCAGTACAGAAATAAGGACAAGCTGCTTAATTAAATATAATGTGTCTACTACGCCGTACTTGCAAAGGTAAACTTTTAAAATGTAATGTACTATGATTTATTTTGATATTTGGGGATAATAAATATGGCATTTAAAAATCTTTGAGATAGCTTCAGTTTACAGCTACCATTTGTTAACATAGAAAAGTTTTCAGGCGGGGCATGGTGGCTCATGCCTGTAATTTCAGCACTTTGGGAGGCCGAGGCAGGCAGATCACTTGAGCCCAGGAGTTCACGACTATCCTGGGCAACATGGCAAAACCCTGTCTTTACAAAAAAATTGGCTGGGCTAGGTGGCGTCTGCCTGTAGTCCCTGCTACCTGGGAGGCTGAGGTGGGAGGATCACTTGAGTCTGGAAGGCAGAGGTGGCAGTGAGCTAAGATCATGCCACTGTACTCCAGTCTGGATGACAGAGCGAGACCCTGTCTCAAAACAAAAAAAAGGTTTTCAAACAAATAGAATGTCATTGGAACATTTCACCTTTTAAATACTATGTTTACTTTGTCTAAATATTGCCATTTTGAAAAAATAAAAAACGTTTATATGATTTTACTTTAATCTGTGGTTATTAGTAAAAGTAGGTTTTGGCATTCAGGAGTTAGCCAATTCTAGATACTCAAGTATCTACTGTGTACAAGCTGTAATGACAAATTGAGAAAAGGGTAAGTTTCTCACTTCAATGAGCTTTTAGTACCTCTAAAAGACAGTTACCTGCTTATAACATACAAGCTATATGGTATCGTACATATCATGAAAGTACAGATTAAAAACATTAACATGTTTTTGAACTCTGAGAATATTGTTTTAAATTTCAGTATGAAAAAGAAGGTGCAGTTGGATGAAACAAATTCTGCATTTAAGGAGCTGAAGTTTTTAACACCAGTGAGACGTTCTCAACGTCTTCAAGAGAAAACTTCTAAATTGCCAGATATGTTAAAAGATCATTATCCTTGCGTGTCTTCATTAGAACAGCTAACGGAGTTGGGAAGACAAACTGAAGCTTTTGTATGCCGCCCTAATGCAGCACTGTGCCGGATGTACTCTGAGGATTAAATGACAGAAGAGAACTAAAGCTCTGATAGGGAATTGGGTTTTTATGATTTGTGGGGTGTTTTGTTTGGAGTAGCTTTATATTGTCCTTAGGTCTGGAGTTGGTCAAGTACCTATGTAAGTATTCATGGCAGTGAGCTGCTTTACTAACATTCATGTTATGGCAAGAGTTGTCCTCTGCATTAGAAAGCTACTGTTTCAATCTCAACTGACTGAGTTTTTCTTTTAAGATAGGCACATCTTGTCAGCTAGTTTACTGTGTTCCTTGAATATAAATAGGTTATAATACTAGGCTGTTCACTTTACTAACTGTAAGTACAGTAATGATGCATCATTAGAAAATGAGTTATTCTAGTTAAAATGTGTATGTTTGCATTGACATGTTTTTAAAAGTTATGGTACACCTCCCTGCCTTTAAACAGAATAATTTTTGGGGAAGCTTTTTTGGATTAGTATGAAAGTTAAAAATTGTATAGAATGACTCACTTTGAATATTAAGACACAGGCGGTTTAGCTTGCTTTCTCACCAAATTCATGTTACCCAGACTTGTGTTCTGTTGTCCCTTGGACTGCCTATTGATTGATGCAAGTGTCTGCACTCTCTCTTTTCATCCGTAGTAGTCTGTGGTCTCATGGCCTCTTTTGATTATAACTAGGGTCACCAAGAAGGATGCTTAATTAAATAAGAGAAGATACTTTGTGTAAGAAAGAAAATATGCCTGATTTATTGGTTTAACTTCTGTAACTTCACTTTAAAAACTACAATTTTTTAAACAATTGTTTAAAAAATTTAAACAATTAGAATGGAGTAGGGAAACAATATATCATACCGAATAAATGTCATTCTAGTTTAGAAAGCATTTCTAAAATACTTGATAGTTACACATTTTTCTCTCCACACATAAATACCACCACTAAAACTGTTTCGTAAGTCTCTAAACTAATACTTACGTGGCACACATCATCTGTCAATTCTACGGTTCCAAATAAGTGACTTTTTAATTGTAAAAGATTAGTTTAAGTTAAACTATATCATGTGGTTGAAGATCACATGCTTTGTCATTTTTATGTTCATTCCATTTATGTATCTTTTTTACTATTGACTTCTCATGTTCTAGAGAGTAAGGTTTTTATTCTGTGTACCTGATATGTATACAATAAAAATAATTATAATGATGTTTTCATGAAGTTTATTTCAACAAATACTTAATGAAATGCAGTTTAATTACAGTGAATGAATTTTAGCTTTGCTTTTGAAATACATTGTAAAATTTGACTTGAGGTTTTTGACAAATATATGCTTAATGGTGTATTTTCTTTTCAAAAATTAGTCTACTTATATAAACTTTACCTAATTTTTTTCACTTTAACAAAAACAGTAACTATGCTCTTTGGTTTTTTTCATACTTTGAAGTCAAGCTTTGTCACACTCGCAGCTTTTTAACATCCATACTATGTAATTCATTTGTCTTTATAGCATAGCTTGAAATATCTCTCTGAAAGACAACTCAAGATACAAACTTTACGTTTGGACAAGTTTTTAGTTTTTGTATTTGTTTTCTTCTTTAACTGAGGGAAAATCTGTCTCTAAATGGTTCTAGTTCTAACATCCAACCAGAGGTCTAACTCCTTTTCTGATGCTTAAAGACAGCTATAACATCTCTCCCCTAGGTTTGTTCCAAGCTAAATATGTCCAAGGATGTGATACTGTGTATAAGCATCCAATAGAAATGTAGCAGGGACCCCTTTCACGGGCCTGCTTGGATCTTCCCATGCATACTAATAAAAAGTCTTGAGTCCCAACACTTTGGGAGGCCGAGGCAGGTGGATCACGAGGTCAAGAGATCGAGACCATTCTGGTCAACATGGTGAAACCCTGTCTCTACTAAAAATACAAAATATTAGCTGGGCATGGTGGCATGTGCCTGTAATCCCAGCTATTCAGGAGACTGAGGCAGGAGAATTGCCTGAACCCAGGAGGTAAAGGTTGCAGTGAGCCGAGATCGTGCCATTGCACTCCAGCCTGGGTAACGAGCGAAACTCCGTCTCAAAAAAAAAAAAAAAATCTAGAAATCCAGGTACCTTAGTTAGCCTCAAGAAAGTAAATGAGCAGCCTGGAATAAGGACACAAATGTTTGGTTCCCTATAAAAATGAAAGATTACATGTTGAGTTTTTTAGAAACCCAGATTCATACCAGATGAAAAATGCCACGCACTGTCATGTGGACCTAAGATAAGGGGAAACAGGACTGAACCCTAACCACCATTCTTTGTTCTACATTTCTTCCTAAGGGGCCTAGAGAGAATCATGCCCACAAGCAAACCCTTAACATTCCTTTCTGCTGACCCTAAGTTTTTAGACAAAGCCCTACTTTAACCATTGCAAAGCTCTGAATCTTCCTATAACCTCTAAGCCCCTGCTTCAAGACACTTAAATTTTTGGCTCAAACCAATTATAACCTCCATGTATTATTGATTTATGATTTTGCCTGTAACTTCCACTTTCCTAAAGTGTACCCCTGCCATTAAAAACCCTTGCTTGGAAGCCATCAGGAAGCTTGGGTCCTTTTTTTTCCTTTTAGAGCCTTGCTCTTGTCACCCAGGCTGGAGTGCAGTGGCGCGATCACGGGTCACTGCAACCTCTGCCACTTGGGTTCAAGCAATTTTCCTGCCTCAGCCTCCTGAGTAATTGGATTATGGGTGCCTGCCACTATGCACAGCTAATTTTTGCACTTTTAGTAGAGACGGAGTTTCTACTAAAAAAAAAAGTGAGGTATTATTGACCCTATAATACCTCAATTTCTCTCACTACAAATCCTGGTGACAGTGTCTGGCTTTCGCTGTATGTTGGATGAGTGGATCCGAGTTTGATTTGGTGATGACCTACATTCCAAAATCTCAAGCTTCTCCCTTAAAAGTTGTGTGAGCTTGGATATGAATCTCATCTTTCTGAGAGGTAAAAAGGAGATAACCCCTGTAGTCATTTTGTACCATATTATCTGCCTAACCCCCAGATTCATTGGCCAGGAATGGTCACCTGACCCAAGCTGGACATGTCAGAGAACTTTCCATAGGAATTTGGAATCAAAATAGACAGTCTTTTTTTTTTTAATGTAGTTAAATATGTGCTGGGTGACCAAATAAGGGTTGAAGAACAGAGGTCACCAGTCAGTAGAAAAGACCACATAAATAAAACTGTGTGTGTGTTTGTATATACACTTTGCGCAGTTTGTTTTGCTTTATTAGCTATACATGGCACCATACCTTATGTATGGTTATGTAATTTGCTTTTTTTTTTCTAATTTACTAAGTCTTAGGGGAATTTCCATTTATGTAAATCAATGTAACATGACTGCATGGGAATTTAATAAATACTACATTTCAAATAGTGGGAGAAAGAATGGTAATGAGTCAGTTACCCATTTTGGGAACAAGAAATTTCAATCCCTGCCTCACACCATTTGTACAAATAAATTCCAGGTAGGATAAGTAGTTAAGTAAGTATGTTAGGAGGAAATATAAAATGTTTGTTTTTGAGACAGGTCTTACTCTGTTAGTCCAGACTGAAGTGCAGTGGTGCAATCATGGCTCACGACAGCCTGGACCTTCTTGGACTCGGGTGATTCTCCCATCTCAGCCTCCTGAATAGCTGGAAGCTGGAACTACAGGCCTGTGCCATCATGCTTGGCTAATTTTTCTAACTTTTGTAGAGATGGGGTTTTTCCATGTTGCGCAGGCTAGTCTCAAAGACTCCTGAGCTCAAGTGATCTGCCTGCCTCAGCCTCCCAAAGTGCTGGGATTACACGTGTGAGCCACTGTACCTAGCCTAAAATATGTTTTTACCTTAGAACAGGGAGGGCATTCTTAATCAAGACACCTTTACACTGAAGGGTGTGGTAGAGCCCATTGACTTTAACAGCAAATAGCAGTAAGACTCGATAGGTATGATAGCAAGACATTCAGGGACCAGACTAGTGTGTGGCACCTGAGATCCTCAAGATTCTGTTTAAAAAAAAAAGTGGATGGTGAGCCTAGAATTCCATGCTCCAGGTATTTTTCAAGTTTAAGGGCAAAATAATATTTTCAAGCAAGAAAGGATTCAGTTTGCCATTCATGAGTTTATCTGAAACTAATCCTGAAGGTTTTATTCTAGTAAAATAAGTAAATCTAGCCAGGCATGGTGGCACATACCTATAGCTCCATGTACTCAGTAGGCTGAGGCTGGAGAATCACTTGGCCTGGGAGTTCAAGGCAAGAGTATGCTATGATCATGCCTGTAAGTAACCACTGGACTCCAGCCTGGGCAGCACAGCAAGACCCCGTCTCTTAAAAAAAAAAAGGCCAGAAACGGTGGCTCACACCTGTAATCCTAGTACTTTGGGAGGTTGAGGCAGGTGGATCATGAGGTCAGGAGATCGAGACCATCTTGGCTAACAGGGTGAATCTTGTCTCTACTAAACAAAAAAATTAGCCAGGTGTGGTGGTACGCACCTGTAGTCCCAGCTACTTGGGAGGCTGAGGCAGGAGAATGGCTTGAACTTGGCAGGTGGAGGTTGTAGTGAGCTGAGACTGCGCCACTGCACTCCAGCCTGGGTGACAGAGACTCTGCCTCAAAATAAATAAATAAATAAGTCTGAGATTTTAAGAAAACTGTTAGCCACACCAAACCAAAGTTAAAAAGCATAAGAAAGTCTATACAACTGTAGACTACAAAGCAGTTATACAGAATGAAAACTCACAGTCATCTCAGGAGAAGTGGCATTTTATTATTTCTAGTTACTGCCAAATATATTTCTGGATATACCCAGAAGCTCCCCGGCTGGGTATCCACAGTTTGGCAACCACTGCATAAAAAGGGAGCCAGACCTTCTCTCAGCATCCCCTCTCCCCTACCCTTACCAGTCTATTCTTCCTGAGTTACAAGTTGAACCTCCTGCAAAATATACACTGAAGTCCTAATGTGCAGTACCTCAGAGTGTGATCTTATTTGGAAATAGGGTTGTTGGAGATGTAATTCGTTAAGATGAGGCCCCACTGGTTTAGGGTGGTCCCTCAGTCTGCTATGACTGGTGTCCTTATACAAGGGGAAATTTAGAGACAGCACACATAAAAGAAAGGCAATGTAAGGCTGGGTGCGGTGGCTACACCTGTAATCCCAACACTTTGGGAGGCCGAGGTGGGTGGATCATGAGTTCAGGAGCTCCAGACCAGCCTGGCCAACGTGGTGAAACCCTGTCTCTACTGAAAATAAAAGTAGGGTGTGGTGGTGCACGTCTGTAATCCCAGCCACTCAGGAGGCCGAGGCAGGAGAATTGCTTGAACCTGGGAGGCAGAGTTTGCAGTAAGCTGAACTCACATCACAGCACTCCAGCCTAGGTGACAGAGCGAGACTCTGTCTCAAAAAAGTAAAAAATGAAAGATAGGCAATGTGAAGTGATACAGGGAGAAGGAGGCCATCTACAAGTCAAGTACAGAAGCCTGGAACAGATCTCCTTACAGCCCTCAGATAAACCAACACTGTCAACACCTTCATTTTGGACCTCTAGCCCTCAGAAATAGGAGATAACAAATTTATTTATGGATTCAGCTTGTGGGACTTTGTTACAGCAGCCCTGGCAAACTAATACACTGATGGAACAAGGGAAAGAGTCCCTTTCACGACTGCCAACATTGGGTGGGAAAGAAAAGCATTAGGCACCTTTGTCATCTTCTCCCCTGATGCTGCCATGAATTTAATCTCAGAAATTTGTGTCTGTTGCTCAATTCCCAAGAGCAGCATTCTGGGTACAGGCATGGGTAGTAGTGATTTGGGTTTTGTTCTTTTTTTTTTTTTTGAGATGGAGTCTCGCTCTGTCACCCAGGCTGGAGTGCAGTGGCACCATCTTGGCTCACTACAACCTCCATCTCCCAGGTTCAAGCGAGTCTCCTGCCTCAACCTCCGGAATAGCTGGGACTATGGGGTGTGCCACCAGGCCCGACTAATTTTTTTTTTTGTATTTTTAGTAGAGATGGGGTTTCACCGTGTTAGCCAGGATGGTCTTCACCTACTAACCTTGTGATCTGCCCACCTCGGCCTCCCAAAATGCTAGGATTACAGGCATGAGCCAACACGCACAGTCAGGTTTTTTGTTTTGTTTTGTTGTGATGGAATCTCGCTCTGTCGCACAGGCTGGAGTGCAGTGGCATGATCTCAGTCCACTGCAACCTCCGCCTCTCGGGTTCAAACGATTCTCCTGCCTCAGCCTCCTGTCTAGCTGGGATTAAAGGCTCCTGCCACTATGCCTGGCTAATTTTTATATTTTTAGTAGAGATGGGGTTTCACCATGTAGGCCAGGCTGGCCACAAACTCCTGACCTCAGGTGATCCACGCACCTCGGCTTCCCAAAGTGCTGGGATTACAGGTGTGAGCCACCGTGCCTGGCCTTGTTTGTTTTTAATTGAAACTAGTCTATTTATAGAGTACAAAGAAAGGGCTGCAGATGTTACAAATGTCGATTTGTAACATTTCCCTTCTCTTATCGCCACACCATGGAATACTTGTATATTAACTCTGACATTGTGGAAGGAAGGCAATTGGAGCTGGCCAGAGCAAAGCCATTTTGTTCCTGAATGCCATTTTACAACTGCCTGACTGTGGAATGTACTTGCTGATGTTGCAGACAAGATTGCTGCCACTTATGAAAAGGACTTTATGCTGCGGACTGAACTTTTCCCAAACCCCTGAATCAAGGACTTTTGCCTAGAAACCAATGAACTGTCATGATAATGCTTCATCTTTAAAGAAATAGTGGGTTATGAATGAGTAAGTGAGAACTAACTTTTTATTTCCTTTAAAAACCCTACCCAAAAATAGCTGGTCAGGACACAATTCAAATGCTTCCGGAATATGTGTTCCTGGAATTGCAATTCTAAGACTGCCAATAAACGTCTTTCGTTGGATTTCAGTCTCTGTGACTCTAATTGACACGTTATAATGAACATGCTCAGTGCTTATAATAAATTATAGCCAGATATTGTTTGCAATAATCCTATGAGGTAGGTTTTATACTTTTATAAAGAGGGGTTTACTCTGCTGTATTAGTTTCTTAAGGCTGCTGTAACAAACCATGACAACATAAATGGCTAAAACGACACAAATTCATTTATTTATTTTTTTTGAGACGGAGTTTCGCTCTTGTTACCCAGGCTGGAGTGCAATGGTGCGATCTCGGCTCACCGCAACCTCCACCTCCTGGGTTCAGGCAATTCTCCTGCCTCAGCCTCCTGAGTAGCTGGGATTACAGGCACGCGCCACCATACCCAGCTAATTTTTGTATTTTTAGTAGAGACGGGCTTTCACCATGTTGACCAGGATGGTCTCGATCTCTTGACCTCGTGATCCACCTGCCTCGGCCTCCCAAAGTGCTGGGATTACAGGCTTGAGCCACCGCGCCCGGCCACGACACAAATTTATTATCTCATAGTTCTGAAAGTCAGAAACACAGCTCACTGGGTTAAAATTAATGCATCAGCACCCATAGTGGTGCTTCCCTGTAATCCCAGCCACTCAGGAGGCTGAGGTGGGAGGATCGCTTGAGCCCAGGAGTTCAAAACTAGTTCTGGCAACATAGCAAGACCCTGTTTAAAAACAAAAAAATCAAGGTGTGTCAGTTGAACTGTTACTTCTGGAATCTCTAGGAGACAATTTTTTTTTCTTTTCCTTTTCTAGCTTCTCCTCCTCCTTTTCTTTCTTCCCTTTTTTTTTTTTTTTTTTTTTTTTTTTTTTGAGACAGGGTCTCCCTCGCTCTTTCACCAAGGCTGGACTGCAGTGGTGGGATTATGAGCCCTCCCCAGCTCTAGTGATCCTCCTGCCCCAGTCCCCGGGGCAGCTGGGACCACAGCGCCCGCTGCCATGTCTAGCTAATTTTTCGTAGAGACGAGAGTCTCTTACCATGTTGCCCAAGCTGATCTCCAACTCCTGGGCTCCAGGGCTTCTCTCCCGCCTCTCCCTCCCAAAGCACTGGGATTGCAAGCATGAGACACTGTGCCTGCTCCTCCAGCTACTTGAGGCCAGCTGCATTCTTTGGCTGTTGCCCCTTCCTCTACCTTCAAATAGCTTTCTGATTCTCACTTTTTAGGGCCCTTTTCCACTTTAGAGACCCCTTGTAATTACATTGGGCCCACCCGCATACTCCAAGATCTTCCCCCTATTTTAAAGTCAGTTGATTCGCAACCTTAATTCCATCTGCAATCTTACTCCCCTTTGCCCAGCAAGAGAACGCCCAGGTCCCAAGGAGTAGGATGTGGACATCCTGAGGGGTGGAGGTGGGGGGCATTATTCTGCCTTCCACACTTGCCCAAGGTCACGCAGCTGGTAAGTGCTAGCTAGCACTGAGTGCTGTGCCCGTGAAACTTATGTACATAGGCTTTCACTTAAACTGCAGACAGAACTCAGCTACCTAGTGGGGGACACTTTCCCTCAATATTATTAGCGTTGTTGCAGTGCAACGTGGGACAGCAGTTTTAAAACGTGCTCTTCGTAGGCCCGGCTACTCCGGGAACAGCGCCTCCCGCCAGACCCAAGCGGCTTCCTCCACCCACAACCCGAGAGACGACCCTCTGGGCCCGCCCCGCGGAAGCCTCCGGTTGCCTGGCCAAGGAGCGGACCAGAGTCTCGGGGGAAGCGGGTGAGTGGTCCCTACCCGGACGAGCCGCCTCTGGAGCGAGGAGCGTGGCGCGTGGTCGCGGCGCGGTGCTGGGGAACGGGGTGGCACGGAGTGGGAGCGAGAGGAAGACGAGCTCCCGCTCGGCCGGGCCCCTCAGTTCCGCTTCGCAGTCTGGGCCGCGAGTCTCTCGCCGCCTTTGGGTCTCCGCGCGCTGCGCAGTGGGGGCCGGATGCCTCCGAGGGCCGGGGAGCCAGCAAGACGGAGCGGCTCTTCCAGGAGAAAGGGGTCTCACGGGTGAGCGGGGCCACTGGGCTCCCCCTGGGTGCGGTTGCCAAGCGGGCGCCGGCCCTACGGGTTCTCGCTGCCCTGAAACAACCAGTGAGAACCGCAGCTGTAGCAAGAGAACTTAGCGCGGGGCTGGACGAGCCAGAACAGCGTCTCAGACCCGTCCCCCCTCGAATTCCGGGGCCAGGGTTTTAAAGGGTATTTTGGCGGCAGGGCGCTGGGGAACTGAAACAATTGACTGGCTGGGAACGAAATCACAGGAGCCTCTGCAACTCGGAGAGGTTTCACGGATTCCCAGGACGGGGGTGGGGTCAGTTTCCTTTGCCTCCAAGTTTACACGAAATCCCTCTCGTAGGTATCCTAGCCTCTGTGCTAGAATAAGAAAACAACACAGTAACTTAGCCTGTGAGGTTAGAAGCAAGATGGAGTCAGTCATGCTAGATTTCTTTCATTATTTATAAATCTGCAAAGGTGGTTTCAGGGCACTTTCTGAACTTAGCCCATGTCTCACCGGTGATCCCACTTCTGGGTGTTTGTAAATCACTTTATTAGGTTTTTAAATTATTGTTGCAGGCATGCGAAGGAGCCGATATATTTCTGCCACGTTCAGTGTGTATTCAGGTCTTATGATGGTCATATGGGTGTAATATTGAGTAACAGGCAAATGTGGACAGAAAACATCAAATGTGGTTTTCAGCTAAGAAGTCTAGTTGCTCTTATTTTTCAGTTACTTTCCGTTGCACAGAATAAAGCCCCGAAGAAATGAAGAATAATAACATGGTTTCTTGGCTTTCATGTTAAATCGTGTAATGCCAGGTATTAGAATAGCGGTAAAAGACTTATTTCTCTCACATGTCTCTATACACTCAAAGACCTCATCGTTCTTGGAAAAAAAATTATTTCGAAGGCAATGTGTATGATTTGGTTATATGAAGAGATTATTTCTAGGGTTTCCTAGTAACTCTGTGATAAGCAGGAATTCAAACTGCAAGTTTTACAGGTCACTGTAGTAGAGGTTTTAGTTTTATTTTTGCTTTGGCTGTCATGAACTTTCTGCCTTATAATTCTTTGTGGTATGATTAGAAGATGAATACTATAAGTATTTTGAAACATCAGGTAAATTCATTCCAGTGTTCTTCTTGCAATGAAAAAGAATGCATCTTTTTTTTTTTTTTTTTTTTCGTTGAGACAGAGTCTTATTCCGTTATCCAGGCTGGAATGCAGTGGCATGATCTTGTCTCACTGCAACCTCCGCCTCCCGGATTCTCCTGCCTCAGGCTCCTGAGTAGCTGGAACTATAGGTGCTCACCACCACACTCAGCTAGTTTTTGTATTTTTAGTAGAGACGGGGTTTCAACATGTCGGTCAGGCTGGTATTGAACTCCTGACCTCGTGAAGAATGCATCACTTTTCTAAGGTTTTAATAATCATAATATTCAGGATCTTCTATGTACCAGGCAAAGTGTTAGGAAAGTTTTATCCATTTTCTCTTATGTGCTAAGCAGTCCTACTAGCTGCTTCATCCTGGAAATATAGTTGTGTGTTTAACATCTCTTGATTCCCAGGAGCCTACAGCTCCGCATGTCCAAAATGAAACATGTCTTTCTTCTCCCCATGTTTTGCCCCACCCTGCAGCACTCTCACTGCCAGAAAAATCAAACAAAAAAACACACACACAACCATTGTGCGTTTCCTCTCAGGGAGTGCCAGAAACCATCCAGTTTATGCCAGAAACCTGGGAGTCAACCTTGCCCCTTCTCTGCTTAACCCCATAAATCTGACACCAAGAATCCTGTCAACTCCTCTTACATCTTTCCTTGCCATTTTTTCTGGCCCCATTGCCTCCACCCTATTCCATTTCATTATTTTCCTGCCTTTTCTATTGTTGAAGCCTCCAAACTGGCCTACATCTCTGAGCTGGCCTTCCTGACCCTCCTCCACTGGTCCATTTAATCTGCCTTCAGAGGGAATGTTTCTTCTAATATGCAAATATGATTATATTGCCTTCTTGGGTAAATGCTTCAGCAGCCTGTTACATTCTTTCAATTTCTTGAACTGAATGTAGTGTCTTTAGCTCTTAAATATGCAATTTCTTCTTTCTTGATTATTGTTTTCCTCCTCTTTGTCTAGCCAACTTTTTTTTTTTTTTCCTGAGATGGAGTTTCTCTCTTGTTACCCAGGCTGGAGTGCAATGGCACGATCTCGGCTCACCGCAACCTCCGCCTCCTGGGTTCAGGCAATTCTCTTGCCTCAGCCTCCTGAGTAGCTGGGATTACAGTCACTTGCCACCGTGCCCAGCCAATTTTTTGTATTTTTAGTAGAGACGGGGTTTCACCATGTTGACCAGGATGGTCTCGATCTCTTGACCTCGTGATCCACCCGCCTCGGCCTCCCAAAGTGCTGGGATTACAGGCATGAGCCACTGTGCCCAGCCCTGTCTAGCCAACTTTAATTCTTCTTCAGGCTTCAGCTTAAATAGCCCACATTTGTTGAGGTTTATGGTTGTCTCTCTGCATTAAATGTCCACGATGGCAGGGACTATGAGAGATTTGTTCAGACTATAACATCTGACTCAGAGTTGGTGCTCAGTGTCTACCTGTTGAATGAATAGTATAGGGGAGAAAAAACATTTTTTTCTCTACCCTCTGAGGTTCAGTGGCTGGGCCCTGCAAAATAAACTGATGAGAGATATATTATCAGGAAGGTTTATGCATAAATGTAAAGAAGTGGTTAGACCAGGGGGCTCATATGCCATTTTCACAAAGAGTAAAAATTGTGGAGAAGTAACTAGACAAAGGTAGGGGAATGCTTCTTGGGTAAATTGTAGGAAGGTAAATATATGGGGAAGCTAGCAGAAGATAAGGGTTATTCAGTAAGGTTTGTTATGTGGACTCAAGTTGGTGCCTTCACCATTAGTAAGGGTTGCTCTCCTTTTCCTGGTACTGGAGAGGAAGACATATTTACAAATGGATATTTATTACCTATACATGGGAAAATTTATGCCCTGCATTTATACAAAAAAAGGGAAGGTAAAGAGCAAATTGGTTTAAGCTCAAAACAATTGTTACACAAAAGTGGCATATTTAGGGAGGGCATACGCTGATCCTCTTCAAAAGGAATAAGTTGCCAGGCACGGTGGCTCACGCCTGTAATCCCAGCACTTTGGGAGGCCGAGGCGGGTGGATCATGAGGTCAAGAGATCGAGACCATCCTGGTCAACATGGTGAAACCCCGTCTCTACTAAAAATACAAAAATTAGCTGGGCATGGTGGTGTGTGCCTGTAATCCCAGCTACTCGGGAGGCTGAGGCAGGAGAATTGCCTGAACCCAGGAGGCGGAGGTTATGGTGAGCCAAGATCGCGCCATTGCACTCCAGCCTGGGTAACAAGAGGGAAACTCCGTCTCGAAAAAGAAATAAGTTGCTTGTTTCTTATCATGATTATGAGAGTGACTTTAATTTCTGCTTTTTGAAAGTACGTTTAATTCTCAGCTGTTTTTGCTTTTGAATGCAGTTTAGGGGAGCCCATGTGACTTCGCGAGCAGAGTCCAGCTGTGTGGATGCCCCAGCATGGATGAGTACATGGTCCTGAGAGAGATTGGGGAGGGCTCCTTCGGCAGAGCTCTTTTGGTTCAGCACGAAAGCAGTAATCAGACGTTTGCCATGAAAGAAATAAGGCTTCCCAAGGTCACTACTAAAGAAATTAGCTCACTTTGAAAGTATACATGAATTTGTATAAAAGAATAAGTTTTTTGCCAGGCATGGTGGCTCACACCGGTAATCCCAGCACTTTGGGAGGTGGAGGCGGATAGATCACCTGAGGTCAGGAGTTTGAGACCAGCCTGGGCAACACGGGGAAAACCTGTCTCTAGTAAATATAATTTAACAAAATTAGCCAGGTGTGCTGGTATGCACCTGTAGTCCCAGCTATTTGGGAGGCTGAGGCAGGAGAATCACCCGAACCTGGGAGGCAGAGGTTGCAATGAGCCAAGATCACGCCACTGCACTCCAGCCTTGGTGACAAAGCACGACTGTAAATAAATAAATACACTTCTGAGATTTAACATGGAATTTCTCCTTCATGCAAAAGATGTAATTGGTTTATTCATTAGCTTTGCAAGGGCTCAATACATTATATGTGGTTCTTAGGATATTGTGATTAACAATGGGAGAAAAATAGTAACTGTTTTGGTGGTGATTATTGATAACTTTATTTCAGCGAACAATTGGTAATAATTTCCACTTTTGTATACCTAATGGTGTAGGAAATCCTTGCCAAAGCAACTCAGGTGCAATATTAATGAAAAAGGATTATAAAAATACAATGAAGAACAAATGCTAACCTTTGGTACCAGGAAATCTACTCTGTGGATCAGTTTATAGGTTTTATTTCCTTGTAGACTATTACTGTGTGTCATAGTTGTCCTATGAAATAATTCATTACATGGAGACTATGTAATAATATTTTGGATCAATTTTAAAAAAGACATTCTAATAAAGTTCTCAGAGTGCTGGGTATTTTTTTCCCACTGGATTCTTGACTTCCTTCAGTGATTTTCAGACTTGAGTGGGCATCATAATCATCTGGAGGGCTTGTTAAAACACTCATTGTTGTCCTCCACCCCCAGGCTTCCGACTGAGTAGGTCCAGGTGGGCTTGTGAATTTGCATTTTTAACAAGTTCCCAGTTCGTGCTGCTGCCGCTGGTCTGAGAACCATTGTGTTACTACTACACAATCAATGGCAGTTTCTTTTCTCCTTTTTTTTAAATGTATAGAAGGGGTCTTGCTCTGTTGCCCAGGCTGGAGTGTAGTGGCACGATCATAGCTCACTGCAACTCAAAGTCCTGGGCTCAAGTGATCTTCCTACCTCAGTCTCCGCAGTGGCGGGGACTCTAGATGTAGGTGTAGTATAGTCCCAGCCACTGGGGAGGGTAGTCGCCACACCCAACTAACCATGGCAATTTCTTTTTTCTTTTCTTTTCTTTCTTTCTTTTTTTTTTTTTTTTTGAGACAGAATTTTGTTCTTGTTGCCCAGGCTCAAATGCAATGGCATGATCTTGGCTCACTGCAACCTATGCCTCCCAGTTCAAGTGATTCTCCTGCCTCAGCCTCCCGAATACTGGGATTACAGGCATGCACTACCATGCCTGGTTAATTTTATGTTCTTAGTAGAGATGGAGTTTCTCCATGTTGGTCAGGGTGGTATCAAACTCCCAATCTCAGGTGATCTGCCCACCTCAGCCTCCCGAAGTGCTGGGATTACAGGTGTGAGCCACTGTGCCCGGCCAGCAATTTCTTGATTGTAAGATAAGTCACTTAGAATTTCATCCTTACAGAGTAAGTTAGGGATAAGCAGTTTTGGAAACTTACTTTGCATGCCATCTTTGTTCATCCTTGATGCAGTAATACACCAGCATATTCTTTTTTTATCTGGACCAGTCGACTTGTGATGCAGCCAGTCAAAACATGAAATCCCCCCTTTTTTCTTTTACGATAAAAAAATTTTTTTCTTTTTTCTATATTACAAGTAATCAAGCAAAAGGTATAGTATTTTTGATGGTATACTGGCTCTCATATCAGCTTAAGCATCTCTAAGTCAGATAATGCTTAGGATGATATTAAAACTAACATTCTGACTGTATAAGGAATGAAAAAAGAATAAAAATACAATGAAGGGCTCAGCTCAAGCATGAAAATAGAGCCAGAGTTGAAAAATCACCAGGCATTTTTTCTTGTCATTTGACAAACTTAAGTTGAGCCAAAGTGTTATAAAACTGGATCTAGCGTTGAAATATCATATAAACTATATGATTGTAAAGTTATCTATTTTAAAATGCAGTATTTATGCTTTTTAAAAATGTTTTTCTAGTCTTTCTCCAATACGCAGAATTCTAGGAAGGAGGCTGTTCTTTTAGCCAAAATGAAACACCCCAATATTGTTGCCTTCAAAGAATGTTTTGAAGGTAAATACGAATTCCCCCAGATACGTGCATTTCAGAATTTGATTTGTAGCCACTACAGTTTTTCTAAAGAGCTTGTGTCTGTTTTAGCTGAAGGACACTTGTATATTGTGATGGAATACTGTGATGGAGGGGATCTAATGCAAAAGATTAAACAGCAAAAAGGAAAGTTATTTCCTGAAGACATGGTAAGAGATTGACTTACATAGTTTCTCTCAAGGTGTAGAAGCCACTTTTCTCATAAACTTGTATAAGTTAAAACAAAAGCCTTGATATCTCTAATTACCCGAGAAGGTAGATAGAAATGATGGACTTCTTCATTGGTGTTACCACTTAGTGTCCTCAGAATACCACTACCTGAAATGGTTTTAGGAAGTAAAATCTATAGGTTATAAATTATTAAGGAATAAAACTTGCATGTTTAGAATCATTTCAAGAGTATATCATCAAATTTTGTACTAGATATTTAAAATCTTGATTTGTATCTTACTGAAATTTTAGAAGCCAGATCTATTTTATTTTGTGTTACTGAAATCAGAAGAATGAAGCTTGCCATTTCTGTTTCTTTAGAGTATTCTCAATCTTTCTCCTTCTAAAGCTTGAAGTGGTCCCTTCAGTCTAAGACTTGCTGCCTTTTTAGTGGAAAATGGCATACTAAACATTTTTAAATTAATTGGCTATGGAAAACATTTAAATTGTTCCAGTGAGGCTTAGTTTGATTTAGGTTATAGCATGTTATAAAAATATGTAAATAAATGTAAATAAGTATTCTTTTCTTTTTTTTTTTTTGAGACGGAGTTTCGCTCTTGTTACCCAGGCTGGAGTGCAATGGCGCAATCTCGGCTCGGCGCAATCTCGGCTCACCGCAACCTCCGCCCCCTGGGTTCAGGCAATTCTCCTGCCTCAGCCTCCTGAGTAGCTGGGATTACAGGCACATGCCACCATGCCCAGCTAATTTTTTGTAATTTTTAGTAGAGACGGGGTTTCACCATGTTGACCAGGATGGTCTCGATCTCCTGACCTCGTGATCCACCCGCCTCGGCCTCCCGAAGTGCTGGGATTACAGGCTTGAGCCACCGTGCCCGGCCAATAAGTATTCTCTATTTAGAAATTGTATTGTTAAAAATATGGGTTCCATAGAGGGAAGTTAACCTTGGCTTCAGCTGGAAAATCTCCGTAGCAAAAGTGAAAACAAAAATCAGTTTGACATTTAATTGTTGGCCCCCAAAACACCTAGAAATTCTGGGTACTGTTGACTTTGGATTTATAAGTAGGAACTATTGACCTCAAAGGTTTATTTATAATATAATATTATTTATAATACAATGAAATCTTTTTTTTTTTTTTAATTTTTTGTTGAAGACGGGGTTTCACCATGTTGGTCAGGCTGGTCTTGAAATCTCAACCTCAGCTGATCCACCCGCCTTGTCCTCCAAAGTGCTTGGATTACAGGCGTGAGCCACCACGCCTGGCCATAATGAAATCTTTTAATGTTACCCTATGGATATTCTGCAAAAGTAAATGAAAATCCAACATAATGATTACACTAGAAAAGCTGTAGTGTATTTCTTATTGGTGAACTACCTTTATATAAGCATTTAAGAAATACTTTTATTTGGTTGAATATAAGAAAACTATAGTGGAAGTTTTACTAAAATAAGTTGCTGTTTGGATCATGCATAAGATGATGGAATATGGGAATCATAGCTTTTCTGAATTTCTCCTGAATCTTAGTTGAACTATGTAACTTATAGCAGTCTGTTCTCACATTATGTAAAATTCTGGTCGACTAGGGCCTAGAGATGATTCTTTGGAATTTTAGGTTAACATGAGCCAGTTACTGCATTTTTGAAGATTTTACATTCCTTTTTCTTACAGATACTTAATTGGTTTACCCAAATGTGTCTTGGAGTAAATCACATTCACAAGAAACGTGTGCTACATAGAGATATCAAGTCCAAGGTGAGTGGAGTGCATTTTTGGACTGAAAAACAAAAAAATAGGCTGGGCATAGTGGCTCATGCCTGTAATCCCAGAACTTTGGGATGCTGAGGCGGGTGGATTGTGAAGTCAGAAGTTTAAGACCAGCCTGGCCAACATGGTAAAAACCTGTCTCTACTAAAATACAAAAATCAATGGGGTGCAGTGGCATGTGCCTCTAATCCCAGCTACTCTGGAGGCTGAGGCAGGAGAATTGCTTGAACCTGGAAGGCAGAAGTTGCAGTGAGATCAGATTGCACCACTGCATTCCAGTCTGGGTGGCAGAGTGAGGCTCCATCTCGAAAAAAATACTATTTAATTGATTTGTGTTATCCCATGCATCTTGGGACATTTTTGTTTAGTTTAGAAATATTTAACACCAGGTGCGGAAGGTCACAACTGTAATCCCAGCACTTTGGGAGGCCGAAGGCTGAGGAGGGCGGATCATGAGGTCAGGAGTTCAAGACTAGCCTGACCAACATGGTGAAACCCCGTTTCTACTAAAAATACAAAAATTAGCCAGGCACAGTGACGCATGCCTGTAGTCCCAGTTACTCGGGAGGCTGAGGTGGGAGAATTTCTTGAACCCAGAAGGCGTAGGTTGCAGTGAGCCAAGATCGCATCACTGCACTTCAGCCTGGACGACAGAGTGAGACTCTGTCTAAAAAAAAGAGAAAAAAACAACCTGTCGGCCTAATATTTATTTATTTTTTTTTTGAATGAAAATGTCCCCCACCTTTATTAAAATATAATTGACAAAAATTATGTATATTTATGATGTACACATATTTTATATATTTATACACATATACACATTGTAAAATTATTAAATCAAGGTAATATACCTCTATCACCTCACATACTTACTATTTTTTGTGGTGAGGACATTTAAGATCTACTCGCAGCACTTTTTAAGTATTCTATGCATTATTAATTGTAGTCACTATGTTGTACAGCAGATCACTGGAACGTACTTGTCCTAACTGAAACTTTGTACCCTTTGACTTAATATTTTTGCTAACCAAATAAGGTAATACCTGAGAAAAAGTCATTGAAATCTCTATAGTAGTACAGTCATGCATCACTCAACGACAGGGGGATAAGTGCTCAGAAATGCATCGCAAGGTGAATCTGTCGTGTGAACATCATAGAGTGCACTTACACAAACCTAGATGGTATAGTCTACTGCACCTAGGCTATCGAGTGCAGCCTTTTGCTTCCAGGCTACAAACCTGTACAGCCTGTTACTATCCTGAATTCCTTGGGCAATTGTAATACAATGCTAACTATCTATGTATTTAAACATAGAAAAAGTATAGTAAAAATATGGTATTATAGTCTTATGGGACCACTGACATATATGCCATCCGTTGTTGACTGAAATGTGGCATGTGACTGTGTATGGTAATGTGTCCTAGCTCTCTTTTAGTGACCACTTGCTAAGCCCACGTGTTCCCAGATGGAAAAGGATTGACATCTGGGCCTGCCATGTGGCATCACCCTAACAGATTCTCACTGGGTAGATTGGGTCTGCTGATACAACCTAAAACTTGCTTGTGGCCGGGCGCGGTGGCTCACGCCTATAATCCCAGCACTTTGGGAGGCCGAGGCGGGTGGATCACGAGGTCAAGAAATCGAGACCATCCTGGTCAACAAGGTGAAACCCTGTCTCTATGAAAAATACAAAAATTAGCTGGGCATGGTGGTGCGTGCCTGTAGTCCCAGCTACTTGGGAGGCTGAGGCAGCAGAATTGCTTGAATCCAGGAGGCGGAGGTTGCATTGAGCTGAGATCGTTCCATTGCACTCCAATCTGGTTAACAACAGCGAGACTCCGTCTCAAAAAATAAATAAATAAATAAATAATAAAAAATAAAACTTGGCTTGTTAGATTTCGAAGCACTCATCTGAGTTTCCAAGCAGGGGAATGTGTAGCTGTCAAGAGGGGAACTTGGTGTCTTGTGCTTCACTCTGGGACTCAGCTGTCAGCATTTCTACCCTTAATCTCCATCATCAGCAGGCTTTGAAAGACACCTTATCTGCCTCATGTTGGATGATGGAAAACATAATCTGAGTTCTTCTTTTTAAATGCAGAATATCTTCCTCACTCAAAATGGAAAAGTGAAATTGGGAGACTTTGGATCTGCCCGTCTTCTCTCTACGTATGTATCTCTGTTCTATTGTAGTGACAGTGATCAGAACATCCATTTTCAGGAATGCTCTGTAGTCATTCTTTGCCTTTTTATGATTTTAGTCCGATGGCATTTGCTTGTACATACGTGGGAACACCTTATTATGTGCCTCCAGAAATTTGGGAAAACCTGCCTTATAACAATAAAAGGTGAGTGGTGCATATTTGATGCAAGGGTGCCCATTTGGTGTCAGGCATTGTAGCCTGCAAATGATGCTAGACTCTGACGTCACTTCAAAGCAGACGCACGGATCATTTGATTTCTAAAAAGTATATCTGAAAGCAATGTGGAATCTATATTGCTAATCTATATTGCGAGGCTGCTAGATGAAAGTAATAGTTTTCCAATTTTATTAATTATAGCTGAGAGGAGCAAATGCTGAAAAAAGGCTCGTCATTTCTAGGGATTTGTACAAATTATATCAGTGGTTCCCTGACTTTGCTGCTGCCACTTAAAAAAATCCCAAAGCTCATTGTTGTGTCTACACTAATTAAATCAAAATGCCGAAGGATGGGAAGCAGGCACCAGTCATTTTTCAAGATCACTGGGTGTTTCCAATGCACAGCAACATTTGAGAATCAATAGATTGTGTCATTGAGTTAGTATTTACAGGGATAGATTATAGGCAGTTGGTTGATAGATAAATTGATTGCAGGAGGTTAGTATGAAGATCTTAATGATTTAAAATGCAGTATTTTTTCTGAATATATGTGCCCATCGTGGGGATGGATGTGCACATATATTCACATTGGAATATATTGGAAGTAGACCTGTAAGAAAGGACATGGAAATCACCTGCATTTCCCAACTGCTAATAACATTTTGCTGTTTTTTTCTTCATCCATTCACTTTTCCCCCTAAAGCTAGTTGATATATTTTATGTATAATTTGCTTTTGTCATTTAATATCATAATAGTCATTTCCTCACATACTTAAACTCTTCATAAATTTTCTAATGGCTGCATATATTTCACCATATGGCCCTTCCAAAATTTACTTAGTAATTCCTTTGTTGTTGGCCTTACGTTTCTAAATTCAGTATCATAAGCAGTGCTGTGATTAACGTACCTTTGTGTATAAAGAGGTCCTTGTTTTGTGTCACATTCTTGGCATGGATTCCTAGAAGCAGAAACACTTAAAGGCTATGTTACTTTTTGCTGACTTGCTTTCTGAAAAGGGTATGATAGTCTGTACTAAATAGGTTTCTTTAAAAGTAGAATTGACTGAATCAAAACAAAACAACTCTACCAGGACTTATTGGGACAATTGAGGAAATGTGGATATACAGTAAATATTAAATAATGTTACTGAATTGAGATTAAATTGCTCAGATGTGATAACAGTATTGTGTTTCTGAGGGAAAGGGTACGTCTTTGTTCTTAGGAGATCCACGCTGATGTATACGGAGATGAGGTGTTCCATACCTGCAACCTTTTTTCAGGAGGTTCAGATAGGTATAGAGGAGGGACATTAGCACACAAACATGGCCAATGGGAATGATTGCAGGACCTAGATAAGGGCACGTGGACATTTGCAACTTTTCTGTTTCAAAAAAAATTTCTTTTTTGAGACAGAGTCTTGCTCTGTTGCCCAGGCTGGAGTCCAGTGGTGTGACTGTAGCTGGGGGAGGGAGCGGGGACTTCCCGGAGACACTTCCAGTTCTCCAGTCCGAGAAAAAAATTATTTTTTATATAATAATTATATAATATATATTATATAAATATATATTATAATATAATAATTATAATTATAGTAATTATATAATATAATATTTAATTATGAAATATTGAATGTATTTATAATGAAATAGAATTAATTATATAATATTTTATATAATATATATTATATATATTATATATTAATTGGTAAGAGGAGCCAAGGACCTCGGACTGGAGAACTGGGAGCGTCTTTGGGAAGTTCCCGCTCCCTCCCCCAGCTACAATCGCACCACTGGACTTCAGCCTGGGCAAGAGAGCAAGACTCCGTCTCAGGAAAAAAAAAAAAAAAATTGAAATCTACAGAAAAGTTGCAACTGTCCACATGCCCTTATCTAGGTCCTGCAGTCATTCCCATTGACCATGTTTGCATGCTAATGTTCCTCCCCTATACCTATCTGAATATATATATTATATATAGTAAACATATATATAATATGTATTTTTGTGATATATAATATATATTTTTTATATGATATATAATATATATATATAAATAGAAACCCAGTCTCTATTTAAATGTGTGTGTGTGTGTGTGTGTGTGTGTGTGTGTGTGTGTGTATTTAAATAGAGACTGGGTTTCATCATGTTGGATCAGGCTGGTCTTGAAGCACTGCCCTCAGGTGATCCATGTGCCTCAGCCTCCCAAAGTGCTGGGGTTACAGGTGTGAGCCACCATGCCTGGCCAGATTTGAAATTTAAAAAAATTAAAGGGGAAACAGTGATAAAAAACCATTAATTAAAATAAAAAAGAATATCATCTAGAAAAGTCTGGAGGAGCTGGGCCATTGTACGTGCTTGTAGTCTCAACTTCTTGGGAGGCAGAGGCAGAAGGATTGCTTGAACCCAGGAGTTCCAAGGCTGCAGTGTAGTGACATCATGCTTGTGAATAGGTACTGCACTTCAGCCTGGGCAACACAGTGCGACCCCATCCCTAAAAAAAGAAAAGGGAAAATCAAGAGGATGACAAATAGGTTGTGTGAATGATGGAGGAAGCTGGAGAGGCTTAGCATGAAGAAGTGCAGGGTATGGGACCAACTATAAAACTCTGGATTTTGAAGAGCTATTTGTGGAAGAATTAGTAGTCTTGGTCTCTTTGTTTTGGGACGTAGAGCTAACTCTGGGGGTGTAGAGAGTTCCCAGAGACACATTTTGGCTTTTGAAAAGGAAGAACACTATCCCTGAAAGCCATCCAGCAAGGGAGCAGACTGTGCAGGAGGTTGAAAGCTGCCCAGCAGGAGGTGTGATCAGAGGCTGGGTGCTGCGTCCAGGGTGGTCGGAGTGGAAGCTCACTGGATGCCTTCCAGAGTCCTCCCAGTTGTGATCATCTGAGTCCGCAAATATTCTCTCTTGCTACTGAATTCCCAAATACTATTGAAGTGATATCTCAACTGCCCTGATTTGAAGGGGTGGTGATTGAAGAGCAGAGAGTTTTATTGTGAACGTTACTCTTAGGAAGTATCTAGGTGTCAGACCAAAATTATATGTTTTAATATAATGCCTAGGAATTACTTGTGATACCTAGTCTTATTAAAGGTAAGAAAATACTTTTTATATTAGAAAATGTATAGCCCACTTGTTACTACATTGCTTCTTTTTTTTTCAGTGACATCTGGTCCTTGGGATGCATTCTGTATGAACTCTGTACCCTTAAGCATCCAGTAAGTATGTCATGTAAAATGGAAAAGGCAGCTTGTCATATCTAGCTGGGTCCTAAAAAAGTGACAGATTTTAGTTGGCAGTTTGCTTACCTAGGAAGAAGTCGTTATAAAAGTTTGTATATGTTTCCAGTGCAGTCATCCGCCCTGAACTAGTTTTGTAGCATCTACTAATAGGAAATTCCCATTATTTAGTTTTGTTGTGCAATACATAACCTTTCTGTCTTTTTTTCTTTCTCTTCTCCTCTTTTTGTTGTTGCTATTCTTAATTTTTTATTTTGATAAAATAAATATGAAATTTGCCATTTTATCCATTTTTAATTATACAATTCATTGTCATTAATTACATTCACAATATTGTGCAACCATCACTACTATCTCTTTGGGTTTTATTTATTTATTTATTTACTTATTACTTTTTTGTGATGGAGTCTTACTCTGTTGCCCAGTCTGGAGTGCAGTGGTATCTTGACTCACTGCAACCTCCATCTCCTGGGTTCAAGTGATTCTCCTACTTCAGCCTCCCAAGTAGCTGAGACTACAGGTGCATGCCACCAAGCCCAGCTCATTTGTTTTTTATGTATTTTTGCTAGAGACATTTTTGATTATTTTTTGCATTTTCCCCATGTTGACCAGGCTGGTCTCGAACTCCTGACCTCAGGTGATCCACTTACCTCAGCCTCCCAAAATGCTGGGATTACAAGCATGAACCACTATGCCCAGCCACTGCTATCTCTTTGTAAAACTTTTTTTTTTTTTTTTTTAATGCCTATCATCATCTTCAGGTGTCATGTGCCATCTGCCAGGGTGGGTTCTTTCTCATTTTTTTTTTTTTTTTTTAGAGGGAAAAAGAGAAAAAGAAGGGGAAAAAAAGAAAAAGAGGGAAAAAGGAATATTACTTCATTCCTAAAATGGGTTTCAATAATGGCCGATCAATATTTTGAGTGTTTAAAGTGGTTAATGCATATTTTATGTGTTTAAAATGGAGACCTCTATTGTGTTTATTTGTTCTGGCTCTGAGTTCAAGTCCTGGATATCGTTATCAATTTGTTGTCTCGTTGAATCTAAATCTCATTATGTGTCTTATGTATCTGGGTGTTAAGATCTCTTATTGTTACATTAATCCATTTACCCTTGCATCCTTGTAGCTTTGAAATCTATTTTATTAAGTGTGAGAATTGCAACTCCTGCTTTTTATTTATTTATTTTTGCTCTCCATTTGGTTGGTGAGTTTTTTTCCATCCCCTTGTTTTGAGTCTTTGTATATCTTTAGATATATCGTTAGATTTTGTGGATAATGTATATTTTGTGTGTTTAAAATGGAGAGCCCTATTGAGTTTATTTGTTCTGGATCTTAGTTCCAGTCCCGGATATTGTTATCAATTTTCTGTCTCGTTGAATCTAAATCTCATTATGGGTCTTATGTATCTGAGTGTTAAGATCTCTTATTATTACATTAATCCTTTTATCCTTGTATCCTTGTAGCTTTGAAATCTATTTTGTCAAATGTGAAAATTGCAACTCCTGCTTTTTATTTATTTATTTTTGCTCTCCATTTGGTTGGTACGTTTTTTTTTCCAACCCTTTATTTTGAGTCTATGTATATCTTTGGATATACCGTTAGATTTTGTCTGTCTCTTTTGATTGGGAGATTTGGTTGATTTAAATTTAGGGTTGTTAGCCAGTTTGATATTAACTGGCTATTTTGTCCTTTCGTTGATAAAAATTCTTCTTTATGTTAATGCTCTTTACTTTTTGGTGTATTTTTAGAAAGGGTCATACTGGTTGTTCCTTTCTGTGTATAATGCTTCTTTTAGAAGTTCTTGTAAAGCAGGCCTGGTGGTAATAAAATCTCTGAGTACTTGCTTGTTCCTAAAAAATTTTATTTTTCCTTCAAATGTAAAGCTTAAATTGGCAGGATATGAAATTCTGGGCTGAAAGTTCTGTTGATTAAGTATATTGAATATTGGCCCCCACTCTCTTCCAGCTTGTAGGGTTTCCGTTGAGAGATCTGCTGTAAGCCTAATAGGCTTACCTTTATGGGTAACTTGATCTTTCTCTCTGGCTGCCCTTAATATTTTCTCCTTCATTTCGATCTTGGTGAATCTAACGATTATGTGCCTTGGGGTTGGTCTTCTTGAGGAATATCTTTGTGGTGGTCTCTGTATTGCCAGGGGTTGAATAGTGTCCTGCTTTGCTAAATTAGGAAAATTTTCCTGGATAATGTCCTGGAGAGTATTTTCCAGCTTGAATTCATTCTCTCCGTCACATTCAGGTGCACCAATCAAGCGTATATTAGGTCTTTTCACATAGTCCCATATTGCTTGGAGATTTTGCTCATTCCTTTTTATCCTTTTTTCTCTATTCTTGTCTTGTCGTTTTGTTTCATTAAGTTGATCTTCGACCTCTGATACCCTTTCTTCTGCTTGATCCATTCGGCTGTTTAAGCTTGTACATATTTCACTAAGTTCTCGTGTTGTATTTTTCAACTCCATAAGTTCATTTATATTCCTCTCTATATTGTCTATTCTTTTCAACATTTCATCTAACCTTTTTTCCAAGTTCTTAGTTTCTTTACATTGGGTTAGAACAAGTTCCTTTAACTCCCAGAAGTTTCTTATCATCCACCTTTTAAAGCCTACTTCAGATAATGGAACACAGTCCTTTTCCATCAGGGCTTGTTCCGTTACTGATGAGTCCTTTTCCATCAGGGCTTGTTCAGTTGCTAATGAGTCCTTTTCCGTCAGGGCTTGTTCCGTTGCTGATGGGTTCTGATTTTGAGTATACTCGGCCTTCTTAAGCTGTTTTTTTCCCTTCATTGTAGATGACCCGCCTTTCTAATTAGTTTTCTGAGTCGACGTCCGACTTATTGATTCCCAGTGCTGGGATCCGAGCAACCCACTGTGGCAGCCTAAATAGCAGCGATAAGACTGATGGTGCTCTTCTGCCCGGGAATCTCTGGTCTGGCTTCCCTCTTGAGTCCGCAACAAGCGGCTCTGAGTTCCCAGAGCTCCAAACTCCGGTCAGTAGGGGAAGCATGAAGAGCTGCTGCGCCGAGACGCCGGCAAAACCGCTGCAGCGGCCACAAGAGTCGCGCTGGCGACCCGTGGGGCTCCTCCACTGGGAATCGGCTGATCCGTGAGTGACGAAAATTCGTCTAAAAGTGTGGCGTCGTCTCGTTCTCTGGGCTTTCACTGGGAGCTACAATCCTGAGCTGTTAGTGGTCGGCCATCTTGGATCGATGAATCCTCTTTGTAAAACTTTTCTCATCACCCCAAATGGTAACTCTACACCCATTAAACAGTTACTCCCCATTTCTTCACTTTCCCCTGCTAATCTAATTTATGCCTCTTGAATTTACATATTCTAGATATCTCATACAACTGGAATTATACAACATTTGCCCTTTGTGTCTGGTTTATTTCACTAGCACAGGGTTTTCAAGGTTCATCCATGCTGTAGCATGTATCAGGATTCCATTCCTTTTCATGGCTAAATAGTATTCCATTGTATGTATAGACATGTGTATCCATTTATCTGTTTTTTTTTTTTAATTTTTATCTTTATTTTCATTTTTGAGATGGAGTCTTGCTCTGTCACCCAGGCTGGAGTGCAGTGGTGCGATCTAAGCTCACTGCAACCTCTGCCTGCAGGGTTCTAGCAATTCTCCTACCTCAGCCTCCCAAGTAGCTGGGATTACAGGAGCCTGCCATCACGCCTGGCTACTTTTTTTTTAATTTGTAGAGGAGACGGGGTTTCGCCATGTTGGCCGGGTTGATCTCGAACTCTTGACCTCAGGTGATCCACCTGCCTCGGCCTCCCAAAGTGCTGGGACTATAGGCGTGAGACACCACGCCTGGCCTATCCATTCATGTGTTGATGGACACTTGGGTTGTTTCTATCTTTTGACTATTGTAAATAATGCTGTTATGAACAATGATGTACAAGTATCTGTTACAGTCCTTGATTCCAAATTTTGAGGTATATATCTAGTGGTGGAACTGCTGGGTCATATGGTAACTGTATTGGCTTTTTGAGGAAGCACCAAAGGTTGCGAGAGTGCCTGCATCATTTATTTCCTCAGCTTTTTGCAGTTAGATTTCACTTCTCATCTGAGTTTCCTCTCTAACTGAAATATCATGAAAACACAGACTTTGCCCTATTATTTTTTCAAGATACTTTTAAAAATATGAACAAAAACGGGTCAAATAACTTGTCCCGCTTGTTCAGCAATAGTTTATTACATAGAACAACAACTGCAGGGCTAATTCCTATTAGTTCTTAGCTTTGCATATAAATCAATTCTGTTCTTTGGGTACAAATTGAAACTTAGCTTTTTACAGATGTACTTGAAGGCATGTAGAGCTCAGGAGAGAGTGCATGGCTGACAAACATCCTTCACCGCTACCCAAACTGAAGACACCTGGTATTAATGAGAGATTATCTTTCTTGAATATAAGTGGTTTATAATGATGGCTGCACAGTTAGAACAGCTTGGGGAACCTTTAAAATGCTGATGCTGAGGCCCACACCACAGTGACTGAATTGAAATCTCTGAAAATGTCCTGGGCATGTTTTTAAAGCAGGTGATTACAGTGTACAGACCAAGTTGAGAGGCAACATAGTCTACAAATAAAAGTATTTTTTAAATTCAACATCTTATAATTGTTTACTTCCTGATTGTATCTTTTTTCAGAATTTATATATACACATTCTTTTTTTTTCTACCAAGAATGCATATTAAGGACAATCGTGCCCTGAATATTTGGCATAAGATCTGTCCTCTCTTGTCTGCTCGAAGATAGAAGTTGTTCTCAAAACTTTAAGAAATGCAGATGATTGGTGTAATTGTTAAAAAGCCAGAGGCAAAGCAGATTCAGTAGTATTTGTCATGATCAGAATTTGTCCTTTGTTATGTGTTGATTTTTCTTTTTCATATATTCACTTGATTTTTTAATTTCTGGGACAATACACTTTTTAAAAAATAAACTTTAAAAAAAATTTCAAACAATTTTGGATTTACAGAAAAATTCCAAGATAGTACAAAAAGCATACATATACCCCACACTGTAATTAACATCTGACATAGCCTTGAGGTATAGAAACATTTCTTAAACAAGATTCAACAAGCAGAAATTATTAAGGAAAAATGATGAATAAATTTGACTATACTAAATTATAAATTTCACATAGCAAAAGATACCATAAATAAAAACATAATATACAGATCAGGAGAAAACATTTTCAAACATAAGTAGTCAATAATTAATACAATATCATTTTAAAATATTTATTTTTAATTTTGGGGTACATGTCCATGGTGTGCAGCTTTGTTACATGGAAACGTGTGCCATGGTGATTTACTGCACCTGTCAACCCATCACGTAGGTATTAGGGCAATACGCTTCTAGGTAGAATGCTAACATGTTCTTTCATAAACATTACCAAGGCTGACATCTAATGTTCTGATATATTTATTATGCATGGAAAACTTTAAAAATGTTACTCCAGTCTGTCATTGTATATCCCACACTGTTACTCGTCAAACCTTAATAGCTACTTTAATGACAGGGATGGTTAAAAAGGATTTTGCAGTAGAAGTTTAAAACTGGAAAAGACTGGCTAGGTGCAGTGGCTCATGCCTGTAATCTCAGCACTTTGGGAAGCCAAAGTGGGAGGATCGTTTGAGCCCAGGAACTCAAGACCAGCCTGGGCAACAGCGAAACCCTGTCTCTACAAAAAAAAAAAAGGAAAAAAAAAAAGTAAAAAGCCAGGAATGGTGGCACATGCCTGCTGTTTGGGAGGCTGAGGTGGGAGGATCGCTTGAGCCCAGTAGGTCAAGGTTGCAGTGAGCTGTGATTGCACCACTGTACTCAAGCCAGAAAACCACCTGCAGAAAACTGAAAAAGTCTGAAGTGCATGTTGCTATGGAGCAGGCCTGGCAATTTCTGGGGAGGGGTGGAGCAAAGGGATATCACACTTATTATAAGCCTTTTAGTATCATTTGATGTTTTAGAATGTCATACATATTTTAATACATATTTAACATGTATATATTACTTTGATTTTCAATATGTATTAATGATGTATATCTGCAAAAACATTATGACTAATAAGGTAGTCAGAGCAGGCATTGATGGAAATACCTTTTCTAGAGGGGGAAGCTTTTTACCATTCACGTTCAACTTTCTCCTAAACCACCTTAAGATTATATAATGGTATCTTAAGGACACCTTTAGGAAGAAAAATGACCAGATAGCAGATATGTTTATTAAATTAAAATAATTTGGCCGGGTGCGGTGGCTCAAGCCTGTAATCCCAGCACTTTGGGAGGCCGAGGCGGGTGGATCACGAGGTCAAGCGATCGAGACCATCCTGGTCAACATGGTGAAACCCCCTCTCTACTCAAAAAATACAAAAAATTAGCTGAGCATGGTTGCGCGTGCCTGTAATCCCTGCTACTCAGGAGGCTGAGGCGGGAGAATTGCTTGAACCCAGGAGGCGGAGGTCATGGTGAGCCGAGATCGCGCCATTGCACTCCAGCCTGGGTAGCAAGAGCGAAACTCTGTCTCAAAAAAAAAAAAATAATAATAATAATAATTTACCCAGCTGGCAGTTTCTTCCATTTCTTCCCCTGTATCTGCTTTTAAAGTTCAGTTTTTCTTTTCAGTTTCAGGCAAATAGTTGGAAAATCTTATCCTCAAAATATGTCAAGGGTCCATCCGTCCACTGCCATCTCATTACTCCTATGAACTTCAGTTCCTAGTCAAGCTGATGTTTAAAAGGAATCCCTCACATCGCCCCTCGGCTACAACACTTCTCTCCCGAGGCATCCTAGCCCAGCTTGTCCAGAAGTGCTTATCTCCCGAGGTAAGATCTGTGTTGGACTGGCTGTGAACAGTTTTCAAGTGTATGGCAAAATGGTTCTCTTTTAACATCACACATTACTTGTGCTCATCAAAATCCAAATGATACAGAAGTATATTAAAAAATAGAAAGTTAAAACTTGCTTTCCTTCCTCTTTCCCCCACCACAATGCTATTCCCCAAGAATAATCACAGTTAGTTTGTGTATCCTTCCAGACCTTTTTTAGACATAAATGTCTACATTTGTCTATCTAAATTATATGTACTTAAAAAAGTAATTCTATAATTCTATAGAAAAGTATGTTTTCACATCTTTAAATTCTCAACTTTAAATTTCAGGTCGTCATGGAATATGGTGAGCAGGTATTAGAAGAAATAAAAACCTCTAAGCATAATACACCAAGGAAAAAAAGTAAGAATTCTGGGCAGCATATTTTTTTGTTAAGTGCTCTTTTAAAAATATACTATCACAGAAAAAAAATGTATAATTTTTAAGTTACTAGAAATGATTATCAGAGATACTCCTCAAATGAATGTTTTCTTTTTGTTACTTTAGATGTAGTTCTGTACTGAATACTGTACTTTCTGATTCCTGAAAAAAATTGGGATTTAACAAAGCCTAGTTTGGGATATTTTAGTGATGGAAATATTATGTTGTCATTATTAGTTCCATATTTTCTCTGGCTTGCTGTGTAGGTCAGGTAGAAAGCTTCTTCTGTGGGCTGACCTAAGAATCTATCCATGAAAACATAGCACTAATCTTATAGGAAAATGTATCCTGTATGTAACCCACATGCCTGGTGCTCTTTATCATAATGTTATATGCAGATACTACAAAAGAAACATTTTGAGAACTGCATTGTTTTCTTAAACTTAACTTTTAAGTGTTGTTTTGGAAGGATGTAAATATTTTAGTCTTATAACTCAACCTTTTCTCCTTAAGAGATAGCCAGTTACCTTTGTTTTACCAGTTTGCGTTAGCATAGGTGTTATTCTGTGGCTTTTGTTCACATCCCAAGGTAATGGGAAATTAGTTTCAAAATGCTGGGCAAGAGAAAAAGAGACTAAGAAAAGTTTCAAGGTAGTTTGGAAAAGTGTAGGTTTTTAAAAAATTAACTTTATTTTATTTTTGAGACAGAGTCTCACTCTGTCTCCCAGCCTAGAGTGCAGTGGTACAGTCTTGGCTCACTGCAACCTCTGCCTTGTGGGTTCAAGCGATTCTTGTGCCTCAGCCTCCACAGTGGTTAAGACTACAGGCATGCACCACCACACCTGGCTAATTTTTTTTTTTTTTTTTTTTTTTTTTTTTTGGTGGAGACAGGGTTTCACCATGTTGACCAGGCTGGTCTCAAACTCCTGACCTCAGGTGATCCACCCACCTTGGCCTCCCAAAGTGCTGGGATTACAGGTATGAGCCACCATACCCAGCTGAAAGTTTAGTTTTACAGTTTTTAAAAAGAGGAATAAAGTAGTTAGAGAAATGTCACTAGATTGGGACCATATGTCTGGTGGCATCTCCAGTTTAATCTGTAGACAGACCAGAACAATGAAATGGAATGGGGGGGATTGTGTCTGACTTGCTCACTCATGTATTCAGTGAGTCATCATCGATGTTCAATAGCAGTTTTAAAAAATGTTGAACAAGCAAGGCAGATGAACCACAGGGCTCTGCCGGAGGAAAAGGAGGCGTAGCCATTCCTACCAAAGACATCAATTGCCAGAGTTCTTTCCTGACTCCTTCTGCTCGTCTCTGGTGAGCTAATAAAGAGCTCACTGCTTGTTAGGGACACCTATTCCACCAGCTGTGACAGCTGACAGGAAAAGCAGGGACTCCACTAGCCAACATGCACTAAAGGGGAGAATGACCTTAGGCATGCAGAGTATGTTACCTCTTCGTGCCTAAATGGGTTGGCATAAGTGGATAGAGATCTCTTTTAACTTTCAGATTTTAACTTTAGGAATGAAATGGTGGAAATAGCCTCCTTGAACAACTGAGATGTATTATTAGGTGATTAAAGCTTGATATTCCCATTCAGGATATCAAAGAGCTTTGGGTCTTTGACTTTAATAACCTCAAGTTGTATACAGATCATATTAGGATGTTAATAGGATGAGCCTTTATGTGTTTTATCTTTGTGTGTGTCTTTTCTCTCTCTTTTGAAAGCAAACTCTAGCGGAATCAGGATGGCTTTGGGAAATGAAGCAATCACAGTGGTAAGTGCTTTAAAATTAAATTTATGAGCCTGGGTGCGGTGGGTCACACCTGTAATCCCAGCACTTTGGGAGGCTGAGGCAGGTGGATCACTTGAGGTCGGGAGTTTGAGACCAGCCTGGCCAACATAGTGAAACCCTGTCTCTACTAAAAATACAAAAATTAGCTGAGCATGATGGTATATGCCTGTAATCCCAGCTGCTCAGGAGGTTGAGGCAGAAAAATTGAGTGAATCTGGAGACGGAGGTTGCACTGAGCTGACATTACGCCGTTGCACTCCAGCCTGGGCGACAGGAGGGAAACTCCATCTCAAAAAAAAAAAAAAAATCACATTTATGAAACATCCAACTCCTGGGTAGTGAGTACCCTTCAGTACATGAGATATTTGGAAGACTGACCTGGTCCCTCCAGTTAAGTAGTTCTTCATCTTTTGGCCTGTGAAATAACTGGTAGCTGTTCTCCTGCACTGTCAGCTGAGCCACTTTAGGTCACCATTTACTGTCTTTCCATTTGTAATTATTGATGGCAGTGGTTTCAATACAGATGTGCAAGAATTTTGTCCTGCTTTCAGTCATGAAAATCTTGCATTACTGTGGCTTTATTTATTTGTGTTTATTTATTTATTTGAGATGAGGTCTCACTCTGGCATCCAAGCTGGAGTATGGTGGCGTGAACCTGGCTTCTTCGAACTCCTGGGCTCAAGTGATCTTCCCACCTCAGCCTCCCAAGTAGCTGGGACTACAGGCATGTGCCATCATGCCCAGCTAATTTTTTGTTTGGCTTTTTTTTTAGAGATGGAGTTTTGCCATGTTACCTGGGCTGGTCTCAAACACCTGTCCTCAAGTGATCCTCCTGCCTTGGCCTCTCATGGTGCTGGGATTATAGGTGTGAGCCACTGGACCTGGCTGCTTTTTTGTTTATTTGTTTATTTTGAAACAGAATCTCCCTCTGCCACCCAGGCTAGAGTACAGTGGCACGATCACAGCTCACTGCAACCTCTGCCTCCTGGGTTCAAGTGATTCTCATGCCTCAACCTCCTGGTTAGCTGGGACTACAGGCACGGGCCACCATGCCCAGCTAATTTTTTGTCTTAGTAGAGATGGAGTTTTGCTATGTTGGCTAGGCCGGTCTTGAACTCCTGGTCTCATGTGATCTGCCTGCCTCAGCCTCCCAGAGTGCTGGGATTACAGGTGTGAGCCACCACGCCTGTCCTGCTTTTTGTTTTTTTATGGTGGTTGAATATACATAACATAAAATATGCCATTTTAGCCAATTCTAAGTGTACAATTCAGTGGTCTTAATTACATTCATAATATTGTGCAACCATCACTACTGTCTATTTCCAAAACTTTTTATCATCCCAAACAGAATCTCTGTACCTATTAAACAATAACTCCCACTTCCACCACTGCAGCCCTGGCAGCCTCTAATCTCAAATCTGGTAGCCGCTCAAATCTCTGTGTGAATTTGCTGATTCTAAGTATTTCATATAAGTGGAATCATACAATTTTTGTCCTTTTGTGTCTGGCCTCTTTCACTTACATAGTGTTTTTAAGTTCTTCTGTGTGTGAAAACTTCATTTCTTTTTATTGCTGTGCTGAATAACATTTAGATTACTATTTTGATCTTAACGTTTTTCTGTTGAATGCCTTGTAGTGCCTTCTTATTATCCCAAGAATCAATTTTTAGGCTGGCATTCGGGGTCCTGTTCGTCCTATCTGTCCCTGGGCAACTGTGACATTCTTTTACACTGAAGCTTCCATAAAGCTGTGGATATTAACAGCTGATTAATGTTCCAGTGTTGTCACACCCACCTTAGCAAATCATGTACTATTGATTTTTTACTTCAGTATTTCATTAACCTTGCTTTGCTCTCCTCTCCTTTCCCTTTCTCGTTCATTTCCTTCTTTCCTTCCTTCCTTCCTTTTTCTCTCTCCCTCTTCTCCTTCCTCCCTCCTTCCTTCCCTTCCCCTTCCCTCCCTGCCTCATTCTCCTCTCTCTCCCTCCCTTCCTTCCTCCTCTTTCTTCTTTTCATCTCACTCTGTTGCCCAGGCTGGAGTGCAGTAGTATGAATACCATTCACTGCAGGCTCGACCTCTTGGGCTGAAGGGATCCTCCCACCTCAGCCTCTTAAGTAGCTGGAACTACAGGTGCAAGCCACCACACCCAGATAATTTAACTTTTTCTAGAGATAATTTTTTAACTTTTTCTCACCATGTTGCCCAGGCTGGCGTTAAATTCTTGGGCTTAATTGATCCTTCTGCCTTGGCCTCCCAAAGTGCTGGGATGTACAGGTGAACCACCTCACCTGGCCTAACCATTTAATTCAAAAAGGAAAATATGTTGTATTGACAACAAATTACTCTCTCTATGGAATGTACTAGTAATTAAACTTGTAAGTGTTTTGAATAAACCATAAGTTGTAAATAAATAACATCCCACCATTATGTTGTTACAAATAGAATACAGGCCTCTGTACTTTTTTGTTTTCATTATGGTGTCTGTTTTTTCCCAGCTTTTTGAGTTATAATTTACATGCCACAAAATTTACCCCTTTTTTTTGAGACGGAGTTTCGCTCTTGTTACCCAGGCTGGAGTGCAATGGCACAATCTCAGCTCACCGCATTCTCCGCCTCCTGAGTCCAGGCAATTCTCCTGCCTCAGCCTCCTGAGTAGCTGGGATTACAGGCACGCATCACTGTGCCCAGCTAATTTTTTGTATTTTTAGCAGAGACGGTGTTTCACCGTGTTGACCAGGATGGTCTCGATCTCTTGACCTCATGATCCGCCCGCCTTGGCCTCCCAAAGTGCTGGGATTACAGGCATGAGCCACGGCACCTGACCCAAAATTTACCCATTTTAATACACAATTTGATAAATTTTGATGATGGTATTTAAACATCCATGTAACCCCTGCCACAGTCATCATATAGGACTTCCAGGCCAGACATGGTGGCTTATGCCTGTAATATCGAGACTCTGGATGGCAGAGGTGGGAGGATTGATTGAGGCCAGGAATATGAGACCAGCCTGGGTAACACAGTGAGACCCCATCTCTACAAACAATGAAAAATTGTAGCTGGGCATGGTGGCACATGCCTGTAGTCCCAACTATTGGGAAGCTGAGGCAGAAGGATTGCCTGAGCCTGGGAGGTTGAGGCTACGGTGAGCTATGATTGCACCACTGCACTCCAGCCTGGGTGACACAGCAAGACCCTGTCTCAAAAAGAAAGGAGTTTCTATCCCCTAAAATGTTTCCTTGTGCCCCTTTGCAGATGATCTGTGTCCACACGCTATAATTTGATACCGCCTGTAGTGAACACAGCAATATGTATTCACAAAATGAAAAGGGTGCAACATGTAAACAGAATGGAGAGAAGGCCAAAACCTCAGTCAGGGCATGAAGGACTTGAGGCAGGAAAACTCATGTGCAGGCCAGCAAAGGATGGTGGCAATTAAGGCAGATTGAGGAGCATCCAGAAAAGGTGGGAGGCCCCTTCAGACGCAGAGAGCAGTGATCCTCAATGGCAGGGAAACACTGGAGTCCGCTGGGAGCTTTTCACAGCTACCCCTCTCTGCTCCTCCTCCAGGATTCTGATGTGGATCTTGAGTATAGGAGGCTTTGAAATCACTGCTTTAAGTGAGCCACCACTGAAAAGTGACAGACTTTTGTGTTCCCTACATGTGTAGGAAGAGAAGTGTGAGAACCACTGCTTACAAATAAGAAAATCCCACATGCCAGCCAAACGTGCTGTTTATTTATTCATTCAACAAATAACTGAGAACTTGTTTGCCTGGGACTGTTTAGGCATTCAGTATGTACTCCTCAAAATAGATGCAGATTTAATAAACTAGAGAGTGTATTATTATATTTCATGAAATAAATCAAGGGCTTAGATAATTTGGAAAGATACTGAATTAAGTGGTAACGTTTTGATTCTATATGGCAACTTTATACAGTATCTCATTTTGATATTATAGTTTGTAAAGCCTAATACAGCACACCATATTGAAATTTTTTGTTCCTCTTTTCCTGATAAAGACTTGCCAAACATCTGTCATTTTAATATATCCTTTTCATACTTATAATCATTGATATTAATGGCTACGACTGTATATATCTATTATATACATGTATGTAGGTTCATGGTTAATATACATGTTATTAAATACATATACATGGCTATTAATATACATGTCTTTGGGGTTCTATGATTAGTCATGTTTTTTAATCCATTAATTTCTATTTGAAATTAAAATAGCTAACTTTGCCTATGTGTTTACCTTTTTTTTTTTTTTTTTAGCAAATCAAGCATTATTTAATCTGTATTTTAAATTTCTTTTAAAGCAGGAGGAAGAACAAGACAGAAAGGGTAGCCATCCTGATTTGGAAGGCATTAATGAAAATTCAGTTGAAAGTGCATTGAGAAGAGTAAACAGAGAAGAAAAAGGTAACTTATTCAAATTCTAATCACTTCTTAGATGAGGAGTTGGTAAATGCAGAGGATATACCAATTTTTATGTTACTAGGTCTCAGGTATCATAAACAAGAGTACAAGTCAGTATTTTTTTGCTTACCTAGTAACTTATTTAATGTTTTAGGAATATATTATTTACCACAAAAGACAGAATAGTATATATCAGTAAGAGCCATTAGGAAGAGTACTATTTATTGCATTATACAATATAAAAAGCATGTCCTCCTGTGTGTGTGTAAGTCCTCCCAGGGCTTTATTCTTGTACAATGTGGAATATGTAACTATATACATATCTATTTTTTTAATTCAGTCACATTAACAATTCATTTTAACTTTTCATTTTGGAGTTTTTAAAAAATGTCCTTTGCTTAGATTTGAAAGGACATTGTTGCTAGATCTGCGTTTGAAAGAGAAAAGAAACACTTCCATATTGTTGTTAGAGTATGTGTGTGGACAGAGAGGAATACGTAAAATACATGCTTGGCATTCCTTTCTTACACTTTAAAATCAGGTAACAAGTCAGTCCATCTGCGGAAAGCCAGTTCACCAAATCTTCACAGGCGACAGTGGGAGAAAAATGTACCTAATACAGCTCTTACAGCTCTGGAAAATGCATCCATACTCACCTCCAGTTTAACAGCAGAGGATGATAGAGGTTAGTAGTCAGACTGAAGACTATTATTTTATTAGAGAACTTTTTCTAGTAGTTATTCGGTACGCTAGAGGTTTGTAATGTCTGTGAAGGGTAATTAGTGTCACACATCAGAGCATTGCTCATACAGGTGAGTGAAGTAGATTTTAGTTGACAGTCAGACATAAATAACTTTGCTTGAAAATATGATCCGGAAGGTACGTGCTGAAAAATCTTTTTTTATTCGACACTAATTTTTGTCTTTTATAACTAGGTGGCTCTGTAATAAAGTACAGCAAAAATACTACTCGTAAGCAGTGGCTGAGAGAGACCCCTGGCACTTTGTTGAACATCCTTCAGAATGCTGACCTCAGCTTGGCATTTCAAACATACACAATATATAGGCCAGGTAATTCATGTCTGTATGCGACCTTGGAAACCCTTTGAGTTTTTGAAGATTGTGGTAAATAGATACAACATAAAATTTACCTCCGAACCATTTTAAAGTGCACAGTTCAGGGGCACTCAGTGCTTCACACTGTTGTCCAGCCATCACCACTATCCATCCACAGAAATTTTTCTCACCTTCCAAAACTAAAATCAAAGGGTTTCTCCTCCCAGAAACCCTTTGATTTCAAAGTTATAGAATAATTCATAGCATTGTATTTTTGCATGTTTTTGCATCTTTTCTAGCCAGTCTTAAGCTACAATTAAAGTTTTTCATAGAGCTACATTACTTCTATTTGCTCATATCTTTGCTTATTTTCATAATCCTGCTACTGCTATCCTTGAAGAGTAGCCCATTTTTATCATGTGATATGCCATTGCCTTAGCAACAACTCCAAGGTTTCTTCTGCGGTATGCCTAAACTCTGTCATTGAATAGAGCTCAAAAAGGATGATCAATTAGGATTTGATTTTTAATTTTTTTAACAGATATTTTTACTAAAATTGTATAAAATAATTTTTTATAATACTATCCTTAGGAATCTAGGCCAGTGGTCTGCATTAGATATGTATATGTGTGTGTGTATTATAATTATGATAATTTAATTACTAAGCTATCTTGCTAGGTTAAGATCTATGATAAATTATACCAAGTAGAGCATGTAATGGTATGGCAAGTCTGACTATATTTATTGCAATGATTGTTTATTTGGTCAATATTTATTGAATGCCTAACATAGGTTAAGATAAAAAAAGAATAAACACATTTCCTGCCCTAAGGATGAAGGGGTTCATTACCTGGGATGTAAGCACACCGATAAAGAATGATCGTGCTCTGTGGTGTATGCATTCAGCTGGAGAGGAGCACCAAACATCATGAAAGCCCTAAGGAGAGGCTGAAGCATGGGAGGGAGATGTTAAGGAAGGTTAATGGTTATGAATTTTAATTTAGCAATCTTAGGTCCTGGCTTTTGTGTCCGGTTTAGTGATGAAGTTTTGTCATTTTAGGAAACTCCCTGTTCAAAAACTGTATCATAGTTCTATTTTGAAATGCCTTTTATAAGATTCAGCCCATGTTTTTAGGTTAGGTTTTCATGCTGTTTGTGAAAAATCTAGAATTAATTACTACCTGGAAAAATTTTTTAAAGCATACATGTAGTCTTCCTTCAGTTTCCTATTTTTCTTCCCCCTCATTGTGAAGACTTGGGAGGGGAAAAAAATTGCTATAATCCAATTTCCAAAGGTAACTTTTATTGCCTTAATATACATTCTTATATTTGGAGGGTTTTATTGTAATTTTTCAAGTTTTTTTTTTTCTCTTAAAGAAAATTATGTTTATAGGCTGGGTGTGGTGGCTCACGGCTGTAATCCCAGCCCTCTGGGAGGCTGAAGCAGGAGGATTACTTGAGCTCAGGAGTTCAAGACAAGCCTGGGCAACATAGAGAGACCTCGACTCTACTAAGATAATTAGCCAGGCATGGTTCTGGACACCTATAGTCCCAGCTACTTAAGAGTCTAAGGTAGGAGGATCTCTTGAGCCTGGAAGATCGAGGCTGAACTGAGCTATAATCATGCCACTGCACTCGAGTCTGGGTGACAGAGTGAGACTCTGACTCAAAAAAAAGGAAAAAGAAAGTACTGTTTATACATTTAATTCACGTCCTGGTGCTTCTGCTTCAGGGGCCTGATTTATGCCCACAGTCATGTTGGGTAATGTGTGGAGACACTATAAAACAGTTATGGGACGTGGCACTGTCCTCAGTTAGCCAGCAAGCTTGTGGAGGAGTTTAGTCAAACTGCATGAAATAAGTAAATACTGTGTAAATTGGTATATTTTCTGTTCGTATCTCCTGAAGGCTCGGAAGGGTTCTTGAAAGGTCCCCTGTCTGAAGAAACAGAAGCATCGGACAATGTTGATGGAGGTCATGATTCTGTCATTTTGGATCCAGAGCGACTTGAGCCTGGGCGAGATGAGGAGGACACGTATGTTGTGATATGCGTTGAAAGCTTTAGCTGGGTGTGTGTGTGTCTGTGTGTGTGTGTGTGTGTGTGTGATTTAAATTAGACCATGATAATTTGAGGTTTAGCAGGGACCTATTTCATCATAAATGGGTGTTTATATCCTGATCTTTTGTCTGGGATGGGTTACAATCCTTACACTATGATTATAAAATTCCTGATTGAGCCCTACATCTATATAACCTTTCAGCTTGGACTTGTAATTTCTTAATACATTAGGTTTTACATTTTTGAAAGTTTTAGAAACAGTAAAAGAAGTGATCTTTTGTTAGAACTAACAATTTCTCCCCTTCAGTTGTGTTACGGAACTCATTTTTCAGAAGCTTAAATATTGTTATGGTGGTTCTGCTTTGAATTCATCAACAGATTCCGTGGCCCAAATGTAGACGTTTATGGTCCAAACTGTTTTTTTCCCAGGGACTTTGAGGAAGAAGATGACAATCCTGACTGGGTGTCAGAACTGAAGAAGCAAGCTGGATGGCAAGGCCAGTGCAATCCTAAGTCACACTGAGGAGAGGCTTCAATGAGTTCGTGTTGGGATGATAATTAGTTCATGTGATGTATATTTTCTTTTGGAAACAGAATGAAGCAGAGGAAACTCTTAATACTTAAAATTGTTCTTGATTAGTATCATGAGTCTGAAAAGTCTAAAACCCTGTAAGTTTTGAACTCAAGGCAGTAGGTATAGTGGAATGAATGTGAGCATCGGGCTTTGCAGTCCCATAGAGCAGAAATGGGATGCTAGCCTGCCTCTACCTACTTGTGTGATTGTGGTAAATTACTTGACCTCTTTGAGCCCCAATTTCCTTAACCATAAAGCGAGGATAATAATGCCTACTCAGAGGGATGCCGACCATATGTTATTATTCACATTATGATTTGTGTTTATTATTATGTGACTAAAGGTTTGAGAATATATTTAATTATGATACAATAATGTGTGCAAATTTTCAATGTGACCTGATTCTGAGTAGTTTGAAAATCATTCCAGTGATCTTCACCAGGGACCAGCTGTCCTTAAGTACAGTCCCTCATAGGATTCATGAAAGAGTCTGGGTTGGAGGGTCAGCCCTGGGAAGTGTGGGCTGGTCTGCAGATCTTGTCAGAAGATGGCAGTCCTACAGATGAGGAAGGAAGAGGCCAGAGGTGAGGAGTGGAAATGGTAATGAAACTACCAGAAACTAGAGAGTGATGTCGAACAAATGAGGGACACATGGCACACATGTGCTGGGTCCTGTCGTGTGTTAACATCATCTAATAGTATGCACTTTGGTGAGATGAGAGTATTTCATGAAAGAAGAAACAAGCTTTGCTTAGCACCTCTCACAGGGACATGAGCCAGGCAGATACAGGGAACAGTGCTAAAGTGAAGAGTAGGGGAAAATACATTTAGGGTCATTAACAAGCACTTGCTGAAATCTGGAATATATACATCTTTCTTTTTTGTTTTTTGAGGTGGAGTCTCACTCTGTCACCCAGGCTGGAGTACAGTGGTGCAATCTCAGCTCACTGAAACCTCCTTCTCCCAGGTTCAAGCAGTTCTCTACCTCAGCCTCCCAAGTAGCTGGGATTACAGGTGCCTGCCACCACACGCAGCTAATTTTTGTATTTTTAGTAAAGATGGGGTTTCACCATATTGGCCAGCCTGGTCTTGAACTCCTGACCTTGAATCCACCTGCCTCAGCCTCCTAAAGTGCTGGGATTATGGTTGTGAGCCCCTGTGCCCAGCCGGGAATATATACATCTTTTAAAGATTTAACAATTTTTGGCTGGGCATGATGGCTCATGCCTGTAATCACAGCACTTTGGAAGGCTGAGATGGGTGGATCATGAAGTCAGGAGATCGAAGCCATCCTGGCCAACGTGGTGAAACCACATCTCTACTAAAAATACAAAACTTAGCTGAGTGTGATAGCGTGTGCCTGTAGTACCAGCTACTTGGGAGGCTGAAGCAGGAGAATTGCTTGAACCCGGGAGGTGGAGGTTGTAGTGAGCTGAGATCATGCCACTGCACTTCAGCCTGGTGACAAAGCGAGACTCCATCTCTAAGAAAAAAAAAAATTAACAATTTTTAAATCTTAACATGCAAAACCTGTGGTATGGAACCTAACCTCATCCATTCGCTGTATTTACATTTAGTCGTCTTTCAGCTTTCATTTCTGATAGTCTCTGGCAGTCTGCAAATCTTTTCTTGTTTTTCGGGACTTTGACGTTTTTGAGTACTGCTTAGGTATTTTGTAGACTGTTGCTTAATTTGGGTTTGTCTCACAATTGGACTAAGGTTATGGACTTTGGGGAAAACCACAAAGGTGAAGTGCCCTTGTCGTCACATCATTTGAGGGAGTCACAGCATCAGCATTACTTATTCCTGGTGTTGTTCACCCTGATCACTAGAGTAAGGCAGTGTCTGCCAGGCTCTCCACTAGAAACTTCATAATTGTCCATGTTCATGCCGTGTTCACTATAAGCAAGTCACACAGTCCAGTGCGTACTCAAGTGGAGAGGAATTAATCTCCACCTTTGGGGGTGAGGTTGGGGGTGGGAATATATCCAATAGTAAGTCGTTTGTTTTCTTGCTTCAATTGTTCTAGCTCTGGCCATCGGGAATTGTTTCAGGTCAGCCCCCATGTCCCTTTGATGTGCCCCTATCCTTTTGGAATACTTCCTTCCTTTCTGGCACTACAAGAAGATGGTCTAGCCTCATCTTTACCTTCTCTGTCTCAGCCCCAGTATCATCCATTTCAACAAGGAGCCTTGGTTCCCACTGGTTTCCAAACCAAGATCTGGGTGCTGGGTGTGTTTGTTGCTCCTGGGGTGTCACTGCTTCTAGGTCCTCTCAGCAGACAGCTAGGAAGTATATATGTGTATACTAACCTGTGTACACTGTATAATTGTTTAACTGTCCACACATCTCTACAGTCATTTCTGTATCTCTCCGTCTGTACATTAATATTAATAAATGTAATATTAAATTAAGCATGAGCCAATACTGACATGTGCAACTGACCCAATACTACAAGGTTCATTCTAGCCTTCTTCTCATGCTTTTTTGTAACTTCTCTCCCCGACAATGAGGAAATTGGCTTGCACAATCTACCATCCTCTTAGCTGTTCAATCCTAGTCTATTTGTAAAGCACCTTCCAAACCATTAACCCATACCTCTGGGAGAAACAAATTTACCAACTAGGGTACAGAGTTTATGTATCTTTCCTACTGTCCCATGGTTTCCATTCAAACAGCATCTCTGAAAATTATTTAGGTTAGATCTTTGAAATTAGCTTACCACTCTCTTGAAGATTTTCAAGTTAAAGCAGGCGTGGATAATTTTAAGGATATTTCCAGATACTCAGCTTCCATATATACTGTATTTCATGCCTCTTACCTTCAATCTTAGCATTGCCCAGGGGTATAAACATTTCCAAACCATCAAACAAAAATAACTTGCTACTGTATACAGTTACTGAGAGACTGGATGAGTACTGGAGAATAAATCCTTTTGAAAATCAAATGTCTTATGGGGTTTTACTTTTAATAAAATTTCAGAAGACTAAGGGAATTATCAGTTCATTATTATAAACCATTTTTGGTTGTAGATTGCTATAAGATTCTTGAGATACAACTAGGCAAAAATCGAAGGAACACTTGTAACAAAACTTTCATTTCTATATACTTATTTCTTAGCACTTAGAGCCTTAAAAAAAAAAAAAGGAAGCAAATCAGTGTTAAACTTAATTGTAGCAAAAGTTAGCATTCCTTTATGGATACAGGAACTGTTGACACATGAGGAGCCCATCCAGGGCCTAAAGAGATGACTTCTCAATACTTATTTACTTTTTTGAGATGGTGTCTCACTGTGTTGCCCAGGTTGGAGTACAGTGGCACGATCTTGGCTCACTGCAACCTCCACCTCCCAGGTTCAACCGATTCTCCTGCCTCAGCCTCCCAAGTAGCTGGGACTACAGGTGTGCAATTTTTTTTTACTTTTACTAGCAACAGGGTTTCACTGTGTTGGCCAGGCCATGCTTTTAACACACAAACTAACCAATCCAGAGTTGATGTCCCCAGCTACCCACTTCATCAGCTTTCCTCAGAACTTACATGGTCTAGGCCACTATTCCTCTGCTCTAATCACCCCAGGGCCAGGTACCAGACAACTAGGGACAGCCCCTATGCCAGAGCCTGCGGAAATTACTCACACTATAGTGGCTAACCTTAACCCGGTTCATCTTGCCTCACTCATTCCTTCCCATGGAAACCACAATAAAGGCTCTTGTGCATCTTTTCCCATCACTCCTGCCTTCTCAGTGACCACAGTGCCTCCCTATGTGCTCCTGCATGGCATAGTACTTTTCCTTCTCTTGGGATCTGTGAGTCAGTCTTTTCAGTGGCAATAGATTCTTGACCTCTTGGTCTCTCCAAACCTGAATAATAATAAAACATATATGTATATATTTTTTAAACCAACTACAATTTATTTAAGCATAAAGTTACTTTCCCATTTGTCAACAACCACAGTAGACCTGGTGTCCTGGTGGAGGAAACATCATCCTACGGTCCTGTTCCCACCGAGGTGACAGGAACCCAGTGTCAGAAGGAGCCCTGTGAGGATCCGGTAACCCACCACAGGTTGATTCTCCTCTTTCATTGGTACTCTGATGATTCAGAGGATTCCCTGGGCCTCTTGAGCCTCTTCCTTTCCCCCCAGGAAGCAAAGCTGAGAGTCTGAGTGGACCCTCCAACGGAGTTGGAGGACAGAGAAAAGCTCTCGTTTCACATGAAGGTTCACCCATTGGTAAGGGACTGTATGGGGAATGTTCTCTGCCAAATGCCCTATTTGGAACATCAAATGCATCAGGATCTTTTCCTAAGAGTTTAAATTTAAACTCTATTTCAGTTAATTTTTGTCTGCTATGGGCATTTTCTTTCCTTAAATCATTGAGGTTTCCCTCAGCAGTCCAAGCTGCCAACTGATCACGATGTGCTTTTTCCTCATAGGCAATGGTCCACCGTTGATAGTGATCAATAGTTCTCTTGAGTTCTTCTTCGAGATCTTTGGCTCGCTTTCTGTAGGTCTCCAGCTCCTCGGTGGGATGAACGATCTTTTTGTCTACTTTAGAAAGTTTCTCTTCTTTCTCTAACTGGCTGTTCTCCTGTAGTGTTAATTTCCTATAGAGTCTCATTTCATTTTCTTGATAGAACTGAGTCATTATTTTAAGTTTCTGTTGAAGCTTCTGATTCTCACTTTCTAAATGTGTGTTTTCTGACTGCAAAGATGCTTGTTGAGTCTGAAGATTTTTAGTACACTGTGTAAGCTCTTCCTTTGTTTTTTCAACTTCAGATAACTGAAAATCAATTTGGTTTCTTTCTCCTTCCAAGATTTTCAAAGAAGCATTTAACTTAGCAGCATGAATCAGTTTCTTCGAAGCTCCTTCTGGAGGATGATCTGAGTTAGCACCATCTTCTGATTCACTGTTCATTGGTAATTTCCAGTTCTCATCTTCCATTATGTCTTCTCCAAGCACAGCAGCCCAGTCTTTCATCTTCAGCCAGCGTTCCGTCAGAGTCTCCATGTGATTGTCTTTATCGTTTAGAACTTGCTCTGCGTGTGCTCCGGAGTCTTCCAATGTTATTTTTTGTTTATTAAGTTCACTCACTTGTTCTTTCCATACTTCAGCTTCTTGCAAAAGCTGTTTCTGGCTTTCCTGAAGTTGAGAATTTTCATTCAAGGCATCTTTTATCGCTATCTTCAGTCGTTCTTCATTCATTTGAGATATCTTGAAGATGATTTTGGCTTCAGCTACTTGTGATTTGAGGGATTTTGACTTATATTCTAGAGACTGTATCGTTTTTGAAATATCCGCCATCAGTTGCTTTTGTTCAGAATGTTTTGATTTCTGTTCTTTTAACTCTTTTTTGAGACCAAGTATCTCATTCTCAAGTTCATCATTGGACCTGCTCCGCTTTTCACATGTTGCCTCCAAACTTCGTGCCTCTGCTGCCTCGTCCTCAAAGCTGGCCTCCTTTAAAGATGACTCTACTTCACAGCCTTCATGCTCTTTTTTTAAGGAGGGTAAGGTTTTCAAGTAGTTTACATTTTTTGTCAATTAGTTCAGAAAGCGCACCGGCAAGCTTTTTCTCTCTCCTCGCATAAAGCCGACTCCTAACCGATCTCCAACTTCTCCACAAAAAAATGGGAACAGCAAAAACTCCAACAATAGCTGCCCACATCATGAATTCCCATGGAAACTCATGGGAATTGGAATCTGTGGTCATATTTTGAGGCAGTGCTGCCACAACCCTGCGTAGCTCCACCAGGACCAACCCGAAATAGGGCTGAGAGGTAGACCCGGGCTCTGCACAGCGCTAAGGCTGCTCTGACGGTCCCCACAGTAACTGGGGCAACAATAAGCAGCAGAGAACACACAGCCTTCCATTTGGAACCCAAATCCACCAGAGCAGACCACTGTGGAGCTGGCTGCGGGGGGCAGCTTGGGGCACACACAAGTCTCACAGGCCCACGCTGCCCACCCTGCCCCCATGTTACACTTTACATCCTGAGGCAGCGCTAAAACCTATATTTTAAAACAATACCACATGGAGAGAGACTCAGGTGATCCAGCCTCCCAGCTATGCCCATCCCCCAGCTGACACCCTAGGAAATGTAGCCTTGTGCATGAACCCAGGTGAGGCCAGCAGAAGAACCTCCCAGCTGACAGAATGATAAGCAATAACAAACTATTGTTTTAAGTCCCTAAGCTTTGGGGTCACTTGTTATGCAGCAGTAGATAACTGAAATAGCTGCCACCTTATCAATTTGGTGTTTCAGTATTTGTGGTCTGAAATCATTAATTTAGGCAATTGACTAAGATTATGCCTCATGGTAAATTCTGATAGGTAATTTTATACGTAAAATACACATTTTCTTATTGACCTTTGCTTCATTGAAGAGAGATTTATTTAGCTCCTCCCAAATGAGACAGATTATGCTTTCTAGATTAACTCCTTCCAGGAAAGGGCTCACCTCTGCCTAGCACGATCCTCAGTGTCTCATGTACGACAGAAAAATGCTCATCTCGTCCCCAGAAGGCCCAGTGCTGGCACATAGAGAGTGCTCCTCTTCCCTGTCCATCAACTGACCTGCTCTGTGTCCATTTCTGAAACACTGGCACTCCTTCAGCACGGATGATGCACTGCCCTGCAGTGAGCCGTCATCTCCCCCAAGTGCATGTATCGCCAGCTCACCCGGAAAGCTCTCTCCTTCAGGAGAGGAACCAAACTACCTACAAAATATCCTTCATGTACTCGGTGTTCTATAAATATTTTTGTTTAATCGGTTTCAGGAGATCCGGAGACTCTTTTTGTTTTTGTTAGTTTTTGCCAGACACCAGTTGGCTGTTCTGAAGCCGGCGCCCATGTTGACCTGATCGTGGGTGCTCACATTGAAGCAGAGGTCACATCTGCCACTCCCCTGCCCACAGCCTCCATTGACTTTTCAACTTGCCCTGAGACAGAGCCTCCACGGCCCTCCATGCACTGGCCCCAGCTCCCTCTCCTCCCCACCCGCTCCCTCCCACTGCTCTGCTTCTGCCTCCCACACCCCCTTGTCTTTCCCTGAACACAGCAAGCCTGCTGCTGCCTCGAGGCTTTTGCACTTAGGTTTCCTCTGCCTGGCCCACCCTTACTTCAGGCACTCACATGCTGGGTCCCTCAAGGGTTTGTTTGAATGGCACCTGTCACTGTGGCAGCTCCCACCCTCACGCCAGCCCTGCATGCTCTATCTCCTTTCCTTCCCTTGTCTTTCTCCCTATCTGTCTTCCTCCATCATGGTCTGACATGCCATGGATTCATTTATTTGTTGGTCATTCTGTAAACGTCCAAAAGGGCTGAGATGTGGCTGTTTTCCCAGTCTCGAGGACAGTGCGTGCGGCAGGTATTCAGTGACTATTGCGAAGTGAATGGACACATGAGAGGGAGGCAGAGCTCCTGGGACCTGTGTTTCCCATTCACGCTTGTTCTTTGTGCTGCTACCTGTGGCTGTTCTGCAAACAGCCTTCTCCATGTCACGTGGGGGCAGCAGCCTCATCGGCACCCGAGCCATGGCTGGCACATCCTCCACAGAGCTCCCAGCCCACAGTGTGTTCTCGGGAAACTGATCCCTTACTAAAGGCTGTGGGGACTAGAGAGAGGGTTTGCATGTACACTCTTTGGCCACATTTTCAAAATTTCCCTCTAAACATCTTTCTCTTTCTTTCACTGAGTTCCTACCTAATCATTGCCACCTTGTTTCCCTAGGACCACTTCAAGAGGCCTCTCCAGCGCCTAGACCCAGTAGGCAATGCTCTGCAGCTCCACGTGCCCCAGACATGCGGGCTTTCCCCCAGAGCAGCACTGACCTCACTGTCTGCCCACTCAGCCCTGCTCTTCTGCCCCTCACTGCCTTGTAAACTCAAGGGCAGGAACAATGGCCCCTGTGTCCAATGCAGTCCTGGCATGTAGTTGACATTTAATGAATGCTCACTGAATGGATGAATGAATACATACATGAATGAAGCAGAAAAAATACTGAGGAATCAGAAAAGGCAGACAGATGGAAATGACATAGAAGGAAGTTCAGAGTTAGAGAATTTACCCTTGTGAACCAAGGATTCTGCCTGCCATTCAGGGCCGATAGGTGTCCACTAAACACAGCTTTCCAAGGACAGGAGTTTCACAGCTTCCCCTCTTCCTCTTCCTGGCCAGAGCCTGTTGATTCAGACACCAAATAAATAAGTAGATGAGTGGGCAAACTGCATTCTCAGGGTTCAGTCTGTGCCCATGTTGTCCTAAAGCTAATGCTTCATGTGGAATGCAGTTGAGGTCATGGGGTTGAAGAAGAAACGTCCTCCCACTCCTCTTGGATACCCCCTTTCCCCAAAGGGGAGGGTAAGGGGCTTCAGTCCCTTCCAAGAAAAAATTTTATGGAGATACATTAAATCTAAACAAATAACTAAGGAGCTAAATGAGGCAGTTTGCTTTTACCAGTGGCAATTTGAAATTTACCCGGAGGGTTTTTAAGAAAAGGTATTGGCACCAAGGAAATGGGAGGGGCGCTCCTGAAAGGGGTGATGCAGCAGCATGAACCTCGTGGAATGACTGTAATTATACTGTCTCCTGCTCTCTAAGCCAGTGACAACATGTGCTTAGAGAGCTCTTCCGTGATGAGCAGACACCTCATCCCTCTTTTTCTGGATTTGCAGCTGCATTGCAGGGGCAGCTTAAAATAACCCAAACCCAGGCCAGGCTGCAACTGATGTGGGACCCTCCAGGCTACAGAGCCCAGGGCAGCACCACATAGAGTCTGCAGCCATTATGCTGCATGTCCTTCTGGGAATGCTAATGACCAGAGGTTTGCGACAGCCAGGAAATACAGCCTATCCTCATCTATTCCCTTTTCTCCTGGAAGAGATGTCTGCAGGACAAACATCTGGAGCCTGTAGGAAAGAAAAACTGCTACACAAGCTCTAAAGGTGACAAATAAAATCACCACAGCCTGTTGTCACCAGGCAGGCCTGTGGTGATCAAGCAGCATGGCTGGGATTTGGGGTGCATTTGGGAGGACCCAGGCAGAAAGAGAATGGCAGAGGCTGCCAGCCTGCTGCACAGCTGCAAACACGCCAAGAGAGACAGACAGGCAAAGCTGACATCTGTCAGGGAACAATTAGCTGCCATCAAGCCCTTAGCCTCTGCTCAGCCCTCTGCAGGGTGTGAATGTTTGCAGATGTCTTTCTGTTCTAACACCGTCTCTTCTTCACACACATTGAGAAAATGGAAGCTGAGAGTACATGCTGCAGGAAGTAGTCACTTGATTCCCAAGGTCAGTTTAGCCCAGGAACAATGACCCGTTCCACAGGTGCTGTGGGCCAACACACGCAGAGTCGGATTGTGTGACTAGTCATATAACACCTCATTTAATCCCTGAATAATGCTATGAGGTGGGTCATATTCAGCTCGGTTCATGCACAGGGAAACTGATGCTTAGCGGGCTGAGCAGCCTGTCACCAAGGTGGAGAAAGCCAGGCAAGTGGAGTCCAGACAGGTATGGCTGTCACACTGGAAACGCCGGTGCTCTCCTGCTCCCCTTGCAGGTGGAGACTGACTGCAGCATCTCAGGCCAATCCCAGGGAACAGGAGGGGCAGCTCCCACCTGAGGTGTAGGGAGCTGGAAGGGACATTCCTCTTGGGGACCCAGAGCTGACTCCTGGGACTCCACACTTAGCCCACCTGCCACCATGGTAGGCGGGGGCTGGAGCTGTGAGTTCAGCCTCTGACTCTGCTATCTGGGCAAGTCCCACCACCTCCCTGAGTGGCAGTGGTTAATTGCACTGCCTGAGAGCCGGCCATAGAGCGCATTAGCTGAGAGACCCTGGCTCCCGAGTGTGGCCCACAGAGCAGCAACCTCACAGCACCTGGACCCCAGCCCACATCTACCGAGTCAGAATCTGCACCCCAACAAGACCCTGATTCCAGGGACGCATGTTAGAGTCCAGGATGCCCTTCTGAGGCCCACGCTTGAATTCCGGCTTCAAATCCTGGTTTGGCCATTTAGTGGCTGTGATTCCAGCTGTTGCTTCATTACTCTGTCAGGAATCAATTCAGGTTTGTGGGCCTACATCTTATACAATCTGGAGTATTTTCCTTAAGAAAAGAAGGATGTAAAATTACAAATACAAAATTAGGAACAAAAGTGATGTTTGGAATGTAAAGACTTTGCCGCCGATTACAAATATCGAAGAGCTGACAAGAACCGAAAACACGCAAACAATCCAGATACCTGATTTCATGTTTCTATCAACCAGTGCACTTCTGCAACACTTTATCCTTATGTTGGGGCCCTGATGGACTCTTCATCTGGCTAGGATTTTATAAAAGATAATTCAGGCTTTCCCCTAACCAGGCTGATAGAAATGTTTCACTAGGAGAGTTGGAATGTGTAGAATATTCCCCTTCACGAGTAGACATACTCATTAGATGGAACACTGCTATCGCTTTCTGCCCTCAAAATACAACAGCTGCAGTGAATTGTATTTCTTGCAACTGCCATTGAAGAAGAAAAGAATCCATGATGTGCTTATAAGCATATAGGCCACATTAAGTACATTCCTGACAAGAGAGGGCTTTGTTGATGAGAATCGTCTCTGCTAACAGTTTTACATGTCAGATAATTGGGAGAATTCTCCACAGTAGCTTTGGACTCCATGTGCTACAGGTCTGGGATTCCTCTATTGTTCATGTCCCGCTACATAGATGCAGAGACATGCCCCTGTCACCATGCGCCTGGGTGAGTCAGGAAGTGGACAGAGGGAGTAGTCCTGGGTCCTGGAAGCCATTCCTGTACAGGGAGCACCTGATACACAGGAGTGGGAGCAAATCATCAGAATAGATCTCACTCATTCAAATAGTTGTATCCCCAAGTCAATGACCTTTTCCCCTGAAAATCACTGACGCTTGACACAGGGAACGTGCATGTGCTGGAGGGAACATCGGCAAGAGGAAACCTGTCTTAACCAATTACAAGTGAAATATTAATAACCCATTTTGCAAAACTTCCAAACACATGACCAAGAGAACGCATGGCTGGGCCCTTCCAGAGCCTGACAGGGGCCTGAGCATCACAGAAGCCTTGAGGGCGAAGCTTCAGTGTACAGCCCAGTGAGTGGCCTCTGCACTCTGGTGTCAGTTCTTTCTCCATGAAATGGCGGGAACGATAGTATTTTACATGTGGGCTGTGTGAGCTGGGAGAATGGGTATGTAAAGGGTTTCTATGTACCTATCATGGTGCCTGGCACATATTTACTGTTCAAAAAGTGGTAGCCATCAATGCATTCTTCCCTTGTTGAAAACATCTTATTTTAGTCTGTATGTTAGTCTAGAGAAAGGAGCCACATGGAGCCAGGCACTGGCTTGTGTTTGGCCCTTCCAGCCATCCAAGCATGGTCCCAGCCCAGCCCTCCTTCCTAGGTTTGCATCCCAGGAGGGCCTGGCTCCCTGGGGTGCCATTGGCCCAGAGCTCCTCAGGGTCACCTCAGGTCAGTTACCCAAGAAATCCTTACATTTCATCTTTTCAGTCGTCCACCTAAAATGTATTTTACCTCAGAGATTTTTCTTCTCAGAATCCTCTTTAAACACACTCTTTCCCCTTTCAATTAAACCAGCAAGAATTCAAATGCCCTCCACCTCTTCCTTCCCTTCCTCCCTTCCTCCTTCCACCCCTTCCTCCCTCCTCCCTTCTACTCCTTCCTCCCTTCCTCCCCTTTCTCCCTTCCTCCCTTCCACCCCTTCCTCCCTTCCACCCCTTCCTCCCTCCTCCCTTCTGCCCCTGCCTCCCTTCCTCCCTCCTCCCTTCTGCCCCTGCCTCCCTTCCTCCCTTCCTCCACCCTCTGAGCATTCCCGCACATGATTCTCCAGCCCCTTTCTCACTGCATCCTCAGGTCTGGGAAGCAGAGTGACTCCCCTGAGGTGATCCAAACTCAGGTCTGTCTGGCTCACCAGTGTTATTTTCATTCCCTTATGCAGAGGAAGGGAAGTAAGGCCCTCTTAATACTAACCTGTGGGCTAAAGCCCTAGTTCCCCACCTGTTGACCAGGCAGACATTCCCTAAAGAGCATGAATGTGACTTACAGATGCCAGCCCACCCACCTCCCAGCCCCACACTGCACCTGCAGACATCACTACTGGGACAAATCCTAATGTGTATGATAAATTCTATATTGTTTGCTGAGAACGAGGGCAAGGAAAACATGGCCACTAGCCCCCCTCCCAACCCACCCCGTGGAAAACTGCTTGGGGCATTCTAAAGTAGCAAAACAGTATATGTATATCATACACCAGTTAAAACAATTCTTTAAGCCCGGGGTATGTGACTCTGCCCCTGTGGCTCCCTCACAGAGAATGCTTTCTAGTTTGACTGTATTCAGAGGTAAGCAGGCACCAGCTGCCTAACTAGTTTATTTTTATTCCATGATAAAACACAGAACACCTGTTCAGAGAGAATAAATTAGTGGGTCAGCGTCTGCTCGAGGCCCTCAGCCCGGAATGCTCTTGGCCCCCTGAGGCTCTCAGCTCAGAAGGCTGTTGCCCACCCCGCCATAGTCCCCCACTTTGCTGTTCTATCTGGGTGTCTGTTCCTTACTTCCTTCAGCGCCGCTGGGGTGGAGGTCCCTACAGCTGAGCTAGTCTTGGAACAGCACCATGGAGCTCCGCAGGGCAACTGCTCCTTCCTCTAAGTGACTTGCCAGTGGACCAGTGACATCCAAGGTCTCCTCTTTCTCAATAAATGGCAGCAGATTGGTGGGGATGTGATGCTGCCAGGTTGAGGGCAAGTTTTACTAAGCCTGAGCAAGGGACTGGGGGTAGCTGGGGACAAAGAGGAGTTTGCCCCAGAGAGGGTGATCAGGGAAAGAAAGAGAGGGAGAGTGCAGAAGCAGGAATTCTAGAGGCAATCATATAATTCAAGAACAAAGATGCACAGGCACCCCTAGGTTCCTGAATCCCCCAATCTTCTATCACCCTGTCCTGCTCATATATCCAGGTACCCTCACACACCTGAGACAATCCAATTGGCTGTTTTCTGGGAGATGCTAGGGAAACCCACCTGCTGCTCAGGACTGGTGTCCCCAGTGAGCCCTGCGGTTTAAAGACAGTGGTCCTCAGCGCTGTGCAGAAGAGCTCTGTGCTAAAAGCAATTCTGCTACTTGCTAAGTATGTGTTGGGCAAATTAGTTAACATCTCTGAGTTCACTTTCCTGAGCTGAAAACGCGTTGATGGGCTTAAACGAGATGATGGAAGTGCCTGCAGCAGCACCCGATACATCACATGTCACAATCCTGGGTTGACCCTGGTCTCTGCCCCACGGAGTTCTGAATTCTCATGTCCCAAACTGCAGACTCAGTGCCCTCCGAGAATGTCGCCCCTCTCCTCCCACCTTTAGAAGTTTGAGTAACTTCTTTCCTGTTTATTGAGAGATCCACCCAGTGTCCGCTCGTTCCCTTCTGTCCCTCTGGGAATTTCCTCCATCAATTATTGCTTCCTTTTTCGTACCTGTCACCTGAGCTTCCAAATATTGATCTCTCTTCATCCTAGCAATATTTCTGTGCCTCATCCCTGCTCAAATGTGATCTTCCTTCTTTTTACCATCACACTTCTCAAAATAATGATTGGCATTTCTTGAATGTTTCTGTTGAAGGTCCTCTGTGAACTATTAGTACCAATTCCAGCCACGCCTCGGGGTCAGCACTTCCTCCTGCTGCCTCTGCACCTTCAGCTCCATCCTGGAACTTTCCTGACAGCCCCTCGGTCGTCATCACAACTCATCTGTATCATTTAATGCAACTGACACTTCCCTCTTTAAATATCTTTCTCAGTGTCTGGATATTTTGGAAATGTACACTGCAGTATAAGGGGGTGGAAAGACACGATGTCCGGGATTTACTTTAAATTACTTCAGCAAATACGAAAAAGAAAAGGAGGAATAGAAGAAGTAAAAATGATACACAAAATCTTGACCATTATTTAATTCAAGATGTTCGGGGTGGGTATATGGGGATTCACTCTTAGTCTCTGTATTTCTATATACAAAGCAATCGACATTTCCCATGATAATTTTAAAATTATTATTTTTATTTAGTAAGTGTTTGGAACAAGGTCTCACTCTGTCATCCAGGCTGGAGCACAGTGGTGCAATCACAGCTCCCCGAAGCCTTGACCTCCTGGGCTCAACTGATCCTCCCACATCAGCCTCCTTGGTAGCTGGGATTACTGGCACATGCCACCATGCCCGGCTAATTTTTGTATTTTTAGTAGAGACGGGATTTCACCATATTGGCCAGGCTGATCTTGAACTACTGACTTCCTGATCCGCCGGTCTTGGCCTCCCAAAGTGCTGGGATTACAGGGGTGAGCCACTGTGCCTGGCCAGAATTTTATTTTTTTATATTTAATAATTATTGGTATTATGATCTATTTTCTTGTGATAAATTATGTAGTACTAGTAATTTTAACAATTTAATCCAGAAAAAATAAAATTCTATGAGGAGGAAATATAAATTTCCATTTCGATACTTCTTTCAGCAGTATGACAGAATGACCAGTAAGACTTTTAAGCATGAAAAAGATAACTGGGATAAAATTCTATCAGGAAAGTAGAATGAAGGTATGATTTTATAAAGCCTGTCTAAGAATTTGAGAGAAGAAATTTGGGTGTGGTCACTGACACATGAAATTAAACAAAAACAAGTAGATCATGTACCTACTGGTATTTTGAGGGAGTGTCACTGCCAAAGAAACTAACATTGGATGTTCCAGCTTCTAAACAACTTTCCTGTTATGGGCTGCATTCCCCAGCTCCTTTCCGCCACTCCCAATCCACATATTGAAATCTAACACCAGTAACTTATAATGAAACTGCATTCGGAGATAAGAACTTTAAAGATGCAATTAGATCAAAATGAGGCCTTTAGTTCTGCCCTAATCCAATTTGACTAGCGTGCTTTTATAAGAAGACATTTGGGAAAGCGGGAGTGGGGCCGGATAGATGATTTTCAGGAGGAAGGAGAAAAAGCATTGGTGTAAACTTATGATTTTTAAGAGTTTTTTTGGTGGGTTTGTGTGTGTGATGGACGATGGCGGGTACCATATCACCGTACTGTTCAGATTCAACCGGATGTATTTTACTTTCGTCACTATTTACAATTGCATTTTTTTAAGTGCACTTTTTTCAACTAAAACATTTTAGACAGCTGCTTGATGTGCAAATCCAGAATGGGGCAGGGTGGGGTGGGGATGGAGCGTGGGTGCAGACGCTTGGGCAGCGCCAGTTTCGTTAGAATCCCTTGGCAGCGGCCGCTGTGGCCCAGAGAGTAGGAAGCAGTTCCTGTCTCACGTCCACCTCTCGGCAATGTGTGAGACCTGTACCAGAAACACTTCCTTTCTCAGTTTAGCTCATCTGTAAAGCTGGGAGACTAGTGCCTTGCGGGGTTGGAAAGAAGAGACAAGTGCAAAGCAAAGGAATCCCGACCCAAGGCAACAGGACTGGGGGTGACTCTGTCGGGTCTCCAAACACCCTGGCGCCTGAGCCTGCCTCGCGGTGCACTGTGCGTACGAGTCCCCTGGCCATCCCAGCCTCGCCCCGCCCCGCCTCGCCCCACCTCAGCCCCGCCCCCTCCCAGGTTTCCCCGCGCGGCTCCGCCCCGGCCGTGGGGAGGCGTAGCGGCTCCTGGAACCCGGATGCTTTCCACAAGCTTGCTGGCCCCGCGGAGCCGGCGGAGCAGGTATGTTGCAGGGGCTGGCCTTAGTTCTTGCCCGAAGCCGCCTCAGGGCTTCGGCAGCCGTGGGGAAAGGGAAGGAATGTACGTCCCGGGCGATGGGGGCTGCCCAGAGGAGACCTAGCGTCCCGGGCTGCGTGGGTGGAGCGTCCCGGGCGCGTCGGTCTCCATGGCAACGCTCCACGCGCTGAGCTCGGTCCGGGTGAGCGTCCCACGGCCGCCTCCAAGGGCGGCCCTAGGTGAGATGGAATTTTCTTAGACTTGGAGGCTTCCACCCTCTGGTGCCACTTGGGCGGGAGGGTCGCGTACCCTCAGTTCCCGGCTGGTCACCTCCGGCCCCAAGTCCGCATCCGTGTCTCTCAGAACCCGGTCCTCGGGTGTCTGCAGCCTCCCCTGGCTGTGGAGCTGGTTCCCAGTCCCCTGCAACCCAATGGTACCCACTTCCTACCCTGACGTAAAATTAATTATTCGAAAACAACCCCCCTGCTCACCCCATTACAAACAACAGCGACAACAAAACTGTATTATGGCCTAACTGTAGCATAAAGGGGAAATAGAAGGAAAGCAATAAGAAAGTACATATTTCAATCTTGGCACTACTTGAAGAAGTAGGGAAGTAGCCAGTAGTGGCGCCTGGACAGTCGCCGGAACCTGAGGGCAGCAAAGGCAGATTGTTAGGTCTCCAGGACCAGGAACAGCGTGGCCGGCGGAGGGCGTGATTTTCCCAAATGGTGAACAGTTCTTGGTAAACCTCCAAACCAAAGTGCAGTCAAGCCTTGATTTACATGTAGTTTCATTCCTAGAAAAAAAAAATCAGTGTTCATTAAAGCTGTGCAAAAATACTTAGCATTTCCATGTAAAATAGAGTTTGGTTCTAGCCGCAGATAATTACAAACAGATTTTTCCACGCACATGAATTACGGGAAGACTCTCCAAGGTGGTGGGGCTGCGGGGTAATCCTTTATTGTGCGGACTGTCTCTCGAATGGCAGAATCCTAGCATCTCAGGCCCCATCCACCTGGCAACCGCATGCCCCTGCATCTCTGGGGGAAACAGCCTTCCCACCCTCATAATATTTCCCAAATTGCCCCTAGGGGGCAGTACGTTCCCACTAAGAAACGCTGGACTGTAAAAGTTCCCAAGTTTAAGGACATACCGGGTGTATAGTATCTTTTATTCTCAGAACAAACTTGCAGAACAGGTGTTGTTATTCCATTTTAGAAATTAGGAAAGTGAGGTTTTGCTAGGTTAAGTGACTTACCTAAGGACACAGGGCATAAGTGTATCAAAGCTGAGCTATGACCCATGTCTGACCGAGAAACTCTAATTTCGGTTGTAACAGATTTGTCTGTCTTGGCAAGGCTGGAAGGAAAGTTTTAGCGAAGCGATTTCTTTAACACTTTAGTCATCAGTTTTCTGACTTTGTTAGTCTTATGAGACATGCGTGATATATTACTGTAATTCCAGGAACCTCAGCCCATCCGAGACCATGGATAAGTGCGATGTGATTAAGGCCATCGGGGAAGGTGCCTTCGGGAAAGCATACTTAGCTAAAGGGAAATCAGATAGCAAGCGATTTCCCTTTGTGTCATAAAAGAGATCAGTTTTGAAAAGGTAAAGTTAAGAAGTTCAAATATCTGTCAATTTTCAGTGAGATATTGAGCTAGCTTTTAATCCAATATAAACAGGGAGTTTGTATCTTTTTATAATTACAAATTTTAAGCCATAATTGATTTTTGTTAATTCAGCCTCCTAAGTCCATTGTCCAAACAGCAACCAATGATCTTATTTTTTTTGGGAGACGGAGTTTCGCTCTTGTTACCCAGGCTGGAGTGCAATGGCGTGGTCTCGGCTCACTGCAACCTCCGCCTCCTGGGTTCAGGCAATTCTCCTGCCTCAGCCTCCTGAGTAGCTGGGATTACAGGCATGCACCACCATGCCCAGCTAATTTTTTGTAGTTTTAGTAGAGACGGGGTTTCACCATGTTGACCAGGGTGGTCTCGATCTCTTGACCTCTGTAATCCCAATGATCTTATTTTTAAAAAGAGGCTGGACGCAGTGGCTCACCCTGTAATTCCAGCACTTTGGACGGTCAAGGTGGGAGGATTGTGTGAAGCCAAGAGTTTGAGATAGCTTGGGCAACATAGCAAGACCCCGACCCTACCCCCCAAACATTTTTTAAATTAAGATAGAAAATCAGATCACATCTCTGTGGCTCCTGTGACCCTCCGTAGGGTGATTTGCAAGGCCTTGTGAGATGCCACCCTCCTCTGTTGCCCTGACTTCTCTGGTGCACTTCCTCTCTCCTTATTCGGGTCCTCTACAAGGGATTTTCTGCAAACATCCTAGCTAGGGTGGTCCCCCAGCCACAGTCACACCTCATCACCTTATCACACTACCCTGGTTTTTTTCTTTCCTTTTCTTTCTTCTTCTTCTTCTTTTTTTTTTTTTTTGAAGTGCAGTTTCACTCTCGTTACTCAGGCTGGAGTGCAATGGCGCGATCTCAGCTCACCACAACCTCTGCCTCCTGGGTTCAGGCAATTCTCCTGCCTCAGCCTCCTGAGTAGAGGGATTACAGGCGCGCACCACTATGCCCAGCTAATTTTTTTGTATCTTTAGTAGAGATGAGGTTTCACCATGTTGACCAGGATGGTCTTGATCTGTTGACCTCGTGATCCACCCGCCTTGGCCTCCCAAAGTGCTGGGATTACAGGCTTGAGCCACCACGCCTGGCTCTCTCCATTTTTTTTTTTTTAAGACAGAATCTCTGTCTGTCACCCAGGCTGGAGTACAGTAGCATGATCTCTGCTCACTGCAACCTCCAGCTCCGGGATTCGAGCAATTCTCCCACCTTAGCTTCCTGAGTCGCTGGGACTACAGGTGCATGCCACCCTGCCTGGCTAATTTCTTGTATTTTTAGTAGAGATGGGGTTTCACCATGTTGCTCAGGCTGGTCTTGAACTCCTGAGCTCATGTGATCTGCCCACCTTGGCCTCCCAAAGTGCTGGGATTAAAGGTGTGAGCCACTGCTGCTGGCCTGGTTTATTTTCTTACTAGCATGTATAATGCTCTGCAATTACTTTGCTGTCTTAATTATTCACTTGTTTATTGTCTTCCTCAGTATGCAGAACAGTTCCTGACACGTAATAGGTGCTAAACAAATTTACTGAGTGCACTGAATGAACAGAGGAAAATCACATGTAACCTTTTGTCTAATGATTTTGGAAAATAAATATAGCTAATTAAAAATTAATCATTTTTACTAACCCCACCTTAGTGTTTATGTCACCATGTCTAGTGATATGTTCATTTCAAAATATATTATTATATAACGAATAAATTGTTTTTAGAATTAATTTTAAGGCAAGTCTTGTTGGTCAGATTCTAGAGAATTTATAAATGAGAGTCACATAAAAGGTTCCGTACAGTGTGTGCGCAAAATGGACTACCCAAGTTACACCCTGTGAATATACTTAATGCCATTGAATTGTGCACTTAAAAATGGTTAAAATGATATAAATTTATTTTACCACACAAAAAAATTGCAAGAAATCCTACCCAAACTTAAAGCTCATGGGTAGATGACTGGCTTCCAGGGATAATGATTTATTTCCCAACATAGGTCTAATTTTTTTTTTTCTTTTTTGAGATGGAGTGTCGCTCTGTGGCAGGCTTGAGTTCAGTGGCACAATCTCGGCGGCTCACTGCAACCTCTGCCTCCCTGGTCCAAGGGATTCTCCTGCCTCATCCTCCTGAGTAGCTGGAACTATAGGTGTGCGCCACCACGTCCAGATAATTTCTGTATTTTTAGTAGAGACGTGGTTTCATCATGTTCGCCAGATGGTCTTGATTTCTTGACCTTGTGATCTGCCTGCCTTGGCCTCCCAAAGTGCAGGATTACAGGCATGAACCACTGTGCCCTGTCCATCTTTTTGTGAATCCATGGCATATTCATAATAATGTCCTCTTATTCTAGTGGCTCGCCATAGCTTCCTTCCCTGACATTATTCTGCCCACTCTCTTTTGTTTATCTGACTGCTCTTCCTCAGGCTTATCTCTTTCTTCAACCTCTGTATGTCTCCAACCATATGTCCTTTCCTGACCTTCTCTTTCTGTACATTGTCACCTAAACTGCCCCACTTCAGTGTTTACAACTAAGCAGATCACTCTTAAGTCTCTGTACCTGACATCTTTCATTGCCCTAGTTCTGCATTTCTTCTGCCAGCTAGATAATTTTAGGTAATGTCTGTGTTAGTAATCTATTGCTGTGTAGCATACTACTCCAAACTTAGTGGCTTAAAGAATAAACATTTACCGTGGAGATCCTGTGCATCAAGAACTTAGGATGACAATCATTGAGACCACCTTGGAGGCTAGGTATCACAATTGCACCCCAAAACAAGTATTACTAGCGATTCTTCATTGTTGTAAGCAGACCCACTTCACCTCCTACTGCTGCGCTGTGATGTCAACAATGTGTTTATGGTAGCCAGGCTCAACACCTTGGCGTCATTTGTGAGCTTATTCCCTCTCCGCATTCAGTCATTTGCCGAATACTGTTGACTCTTTCTCTTCCTTGAAGTTGTTTCAGTCCTTTTGTGGATGCCTTGGGTCACTTGGATCCTTCAGTCACTTTCTTATAGCTCCAGCCCAATTTTGATAATGCCCCAGCCATGCCCCTAAACCTTCACTGGGACTGAGGCTTTAGAGGAAGAGTTGCCTAGGTTTGACTACATAAATTAGAAAACATTTGTATGTCAAAATAAACACTATAAATAAATTAAAAGAAAACTGAAAAGGTGCCCAGGTATTGACTTAATGGTGTTAGCCTTTTATTAAATCAATAAAAAGATAAAATCTGTATATAAAGTCATCATACAAAAATTTGAAGCTCATTAGAAAACTAAGAAATTAGGAGTTTATTCAAAGGAAATCCCCATTAACAGCTAGAAAACACATGTCCAACAGTAGGTAATTTGTTAAGTGATTTATAAAAAACTAAGTGGCTGTTAGAAGTCATGTTGTAGGTGAAGTGTTGACATGGGAAAATTTCAATGTTTGCAGTGTTTGAGAAAATAGTAAGTATAGGACAATAGAATCTTTTAAAAAATATATTCTCTATGTATCTGTATACCTACAAATACGTTCATATGTGTACAAAGAGAAGAGACACACCAGATTGTTATTATTGAGAAAGAAAGTGGCATTTGCCTTGTACATTTTTTTGAGACAGAGTTTCATTCTATGGTCCAGGCAGGAGTGCAGTGGCATCATCGTAGCTCACTGTAACCTTGAACAAGCCATCCTCCTGCCTCAGCCTCCTGAGTAGCTAGGACTCCAGGCATGCGCTACCACACCCAGCCGATTTTTAATTTTTTTTAGAGACAGGATCTTGCTATGTTGCCTAGGCTGGCCTCAAGTGATCCTCCTGCTTTGGCCTCCCAAAGTGCTGGGATTACAGTTAGGAGCCACTGTGCCTGGCCTGCCTTGTGCTTTTATATTGTTTCATTCTTCAGAGAAGTTTGAGAGCCTCTCTGATTTGCTCCAAAATTACGGCTCCCATCACATACTCTACTTTTTTTTATCCCCACACTCCAGCCTCTGCATTTGCTTACAGGGCTGCTTCTCCCAAGGTCCCTTCTTGCGGATCTCCCAGCATCAAGATCCCGCTTGTTCAAGGCTGAGCTTCACCATTATCTCGAGAATCCTCCCACTCTCAAGAATTTCTCTCCTTCTCTGTAAACCTGCGTAACTTTTTATTGGAACCTCTGTTAGAGTCCTGACTGCTTTCTTTCTGGACATGCTTTGGCTGTTTATTTTATGCCTTCTTCTCGTTATTTAGCTGGAACATGCTCTGTGAGGGCAGAGGCCATGTGCGATTCGTGCTGGTATTCCACACGGCACCTAATGCTAATGCTTGGTGCAGTAGGTATTCAGTAAATTCTTATTGGATAGATGATTCACTGGACAGATGCTTTCAGGCCCTCTTGCTCTATTTTGAAGCTGGTATATACTTAGGAATTGTAAACCCATTTTAATTCCATGTAAAGAGAAAATATTTGAGAGGTGACTCTCCATAAAAATATACATTACTTCATTTCATAGCATCTCTCCCATTCTTTAAGTATAATCAAAAATTGACTATATTTTTCTAATAGAGCACCAACTTTTTAAATAACTTTCCTCATGAACTACTCTTCTCACCATGCCATAAATAAGTAGAATCTTATGTTAGCCCTCATTATTCTTGTTTTTCCATATCTGTTATCAAATTTGCCAATAACATCTGTGTCACAATAGTAACATTTATTACTTCTTTCTTCCTATGTACTCTCATGAAGTTTTCCATTACTTCTTATCTAACTAAGTGTGCACTTCTTTTCTCTAATGCCTCCCTACTCCCTACACTAGACCCAAGAACTAAATTGGTTATCTTCTTACAGGTACCAAAAAGATAATATTTTCTCTCATCATCCTACCATTATCAAGCACGTTCTTCTTCTTCTCGGCTCAAATCAAAGTGTTTTATCTTTCCTTGATTATGAAAATAAAAATGTTCATTGTAGAAATTTTGAAAACAACCAAAGACCAGAGAGAAATAAAAATAGCATATAACCTCTTTCTTAATCACTATGAACATTTTCCTGAATTTCTCTGTAGACTATTTATAATGTATAAGTGTAGTTTATAAGTTATTAGAGTGATTGATGTAATGGTGAATATACTCTTTTTTTTTTTCTCAGATGGAGTGTGCTCTCACACAGGCTGGAGTGCACTGATGTGATCTCAGCCCACTGCAACCTCTGCCTCTCAGGTTCAAATGATTCTCCTGCCTCAGCCTCCAGAGTAGGACTACAGGTGTACACCACCATGACTGGCTAATTTTTGTATTTTACTAGAGACAGGGTTTCAGTATGTTGGCCAGGCTGGTCTCAAACTCCTGACCTCATGATCCTCCCACCTTGGCCTCTCAAAGCAGTGGGATTATAGGTGTGAGCCACATCCTGCCCAGATATACTTTTTTGCAATAGTATTTTACATTAGCAATATATCATGAATATTTCCTCATGTCAATGTTTTTATATAATAAATGTTGTCTTATAATGATATTAAATGTTCACACTAATGATAAAGGGACCACCCTACAGGGTGTCCAATATATGTCCCACCATCCTGGGTGTTTCATATATTTTAACTCAATGTAATCCTCACAACCACCCTAAAAGATAGCTCTCATTACTCTCACTGTACAAGTGAAAGGGCCGAGGCTAAAGAGGTTAAGCAGTTAGCTCCAGGATGCACAGTCATCAGCAGATCCATCTAAGTCTTTCTCTGCTCTTTCCACACTAACGCATTGCCTCCCTTGATTTTTAATGACTGCATAGCATGGTAGCAGGTTAAAACTACCATAATTTAGCTGGGCATGCAAGTGCCTGTAGTCCCAACTATTCCAGAGGAAGAGTGGGGAGGATCCCTTGACCCCAGGAGTTCAAATCCAGCTTAGACAGCATAACAGAACTCTGTCTTAAAAAAAAAAAAAAAAAAAAAGCCAGCAAAACAACACCTGTAATTTATTTAACTGTTTTTCTATTTTCAGATAATTACATTGTTTGGTTGTTTTTCTTGGTTATGATTCAATAACATTTAATATGTAAAGTATGATTCATTTTTATTAAACAATACTATGTATATATACTTACCTATGTATGCATGAAATAAAAAGCTCTAACTATTAACAATAGTTGTCCCTAGGGAATATAGTCTTAGGTTGTTGCAAAAGTAATTGCATTTTTGCCATTCAGAGTAAGGTTACCACCTATGGACTTTCATCTATGGGCTAGATGAGAAAGAAAGAAGGAAGTTTCACTTTTACCTTATTCACTTCTATTTGACTTAAAACAAGTATGCATTATTAGAGTAACTTAAAAACTAGCAATAAAACACTATAACAAAGGCTTTTGTATGAGAATGCTTCTGTACACTTTTTATTGTCTTCTTTGAATAAGTTTCTAGAAGAATTAGTAAGTCAAAAATAGAAACATTTCACTCATGCCTGTAATCCCAGCACTTGAGGTTGAGGCAGCTGGATCACTTGAGGCCAGGGGTTCGAAACCAGGCTGGGCAACATGGCGAGACCCTTCTCTACTAAAAATACAAAAAATTAGCCGGGTATGGTGGTGCTTGCCTGTCATCCCACCTACTCAGGAGGGTGAAGTGGGAGGATCACTTGAGCTCAACGGGTGGAGGTAGCAGTGAGCTAAGATCGTGCCTGAGCACTCCACCCTGGGTGGTAGAGCAAGACCTTGTCTTAAAAAAAGGAACATTTCTTCAGCAGGATACAGACCCCCCGAAAAAATGAACATTTTAAAGGTTCATATTATGTATTGTAAAATTGCTTTCCCGGAAAGATTTTGTCAATTTGTGTAGTTTTACCAGTAATAAGTGAGTGTCCATTTTGCTACTTTCTGGCCAATAGTGGCTATTGACATTCTTCTCATCTTTGCCAATTTCATACATGAAATATTATATTACCTTTTGTTTTAGTTTTTATTCCCTTTTTTTTTTTTTTTTTTGAGATGCTGGAGTGCAGTGGCATGATTTTGGCTTACTGCAGCCTCCACCTCCCAGGTTCAAGAGATTCTGATTCTCCTGCGTCAACCTCCCGAGTAGCTGGGACCACAGGTGTGTGCCACCATGCCTGGCTACTTTTTTGTATTTTTAGTATTTTTAGTAGAGATGGGGTTTTTGCCATGTTGGCCAGGCTGGTCTTGAACTCCTGGCCTCAAGTGATCTGTGTGCCTCATTTGGCTTCCCAAAGTGTTGGGATTACAGGCATGAGCTACCACACCTGGCCAAATTTTGTTTTCGTTTTTATTTCTTTGATGACTGCATGAGGTTGAATATTTTTTCTATTAGTCATTTTTATTTCTCTTGTTTTTTTCGAATTGACTGTTCTTGTACTTTGCCATTTTTCTATTGGGGTGTTTACCTTTTAAAAAATTATTTGCCATCAATTTATATATTATTATAAATATAAAATCTTTGTCATATGTGTTACAAATATTGTAGCCTAACCATTAGTTTGCCTTTTAATTTTGTTTATAATATTCTTTTGAATAAATAGTAGTTAGGAATTTTTTAAGTTGCTAAATCTATCCAGCTGTTTTGTTTTGAAACGCCTATGTACTGACTATACAATTTAAATTGGGGCAGGAAACACTGAAGCTTAGAGAGGTTAAGGAACTTACTGAAGGATGCTTCAGCTGGGATGCAGTGAAGCTAGAATTGAGAACATTAATTTTAAAAAAATTCTTAAGTCTAAATGAGAATGTGAAATTTGGCCATTGTTGAAGACCTCTAATGGGTGGAGGCCCATGGACACCAGAAAGGTGGGGCAGTCAGGGGCTGGAAGTCAGGGTAGAAATGACAAGTCAGCAAAGCATCAAGAGTGAGAAAGAAAAAGTAGAAATGAGGCGTGACCTCTGGCAGTGGCACTGCACCCCTTGAAAAGTATTGTCTATAGATGAGAAGTAGAACAAGAAAGAACAGCTAGATACATCTAAAGCGAAGCCACACAAGACAATTTCTATTTTAAACTGAAAAATGTAGTCATCTTAATACAAAATTTTACTGGCCTGATTTCTGTATAAAAACAGGCATATGATATATAAATATCTGGCATATGACATGTTTTCTTATTGTAGATTTCATTTGTTTCTTCTCAGCAGTGATTACTCCTAGAATGTTGCATTTTTATAAAGAGTTTCTTTGCTCCTGAAAGATAGATATTAAAATACCTTTCCTCCATATGGCGAGATAATGAACACAGTACCACCAGTCCAACTTTTAATATAGCAAAACGTCACCGGAAGTATTTATTTTCTTGATGATGATTGTTGACAACCCATTGATTAGACATAGGGTACTCTGCTAATTCTAGAAATCTTTCCTGCCATTGAAAGATCATTTTCAAAGTGACATTAAAAAACCAGTGACATTCTAGAGAATTTTAGATGGAAATTAGCAGAGCATGTTCTTGAAACCAAGTTACCTCTATAGACTACTCTGTCTCTTAATGTAATTTAGATGCCCATACAAGAAAAAGAAGCTTCAAAGAAAGAAGTCATTCTTCTGGCCAAGATGAAACATCCCAACATTGTAGCCTTCTTCAATTCATTTCAAGGTTTGATTTTCCGATATTCTTTAAGTATTTTTATAAAGCATAGGCTTGTGGACATATGTAAAAAGATTTGTTCCTAAGGACTATGTATAAATTAATTTTTGTAAATGTGTCATTTCCCCATTTACTCAATTTGCAGTTTGAGACATCCTCATTATTTCCTCTCAAGTTTTTATAGACAGCTTTCTTATGTTTTCTTGTTTTTCCTCCTATCCTTAATTCTCACTCTCCCAAAAAGTTAATGACAGTTAATTAGATTCTTTGCTGTAGTAACAACCCCCAATAGAAACTGACTAACAATAATACACACCTGTTTCTCATTTACATCACATGCTAGCTGTGGTGGGCAAGGGTCTGGAGTCTGGGGTCTGGAGTCTGGGGTCCAGGCTGAAGGAGCAGCTCAGATAGGGAGTTAGCTATTCTCATAAGCAAGAGAAGAGAGGAAGACACAGAGCCCACCACACTATCGCTCTCAAAGCCCTGCTGGTGTGTGTATGTGTGTGCACACGGGCGTGCATGTGTGTGTGTGTTGAGGGGTGCTCTGCTTACATGAAATTCTGCATATCCTTAGGCAACAGGGCTGTGTAATCCTCTTGCAGAGAGCCAGCAAACAGCCACACACCATAGCTTCTTGGTACACTTCCTCATAGAGGGGGAGAACTTCAGGGAAGGAATTCTCTTCCTCTGTACACCTGAATACAGTTCACCTCCACCATCACTCTAGTCCAAGGTAAAAAATAAATAATATATGAAGGGGCATTGGTCAGACAGCATTCCTTCACTGAACTGATACTTACTGAGTGCTTACTATATGCCAGACATTGTTCTAGGTGTCAGGAATACAGCAGTGAACAAAGCAGATGAAAATCCCTGTTTTCATGAAGTTTATATTCTACTGGGAAGAGATAGACAATAAAAAAATATACAGTATGTCAGGTATGTCTTAAGACGTGACAGGGCTGTATGTACTGACAGTTTTATGAGGGGTCATTCCCAACCCAGCCCCCAGCATGGGGCTGTTTTAAGAGTGGTTAGTAGTTCTTGGAGCAGCAGTGTTGACCTCAGTATCTTCAAGCATCATCAGTGGGGTAAAAGCTAGTAAATAAATAAATACAGCCACTGTGTCTCAAGCTTATACACTGTGCAGGGCACTGTGTTCCTTACTGATTAAAACCACTGCATTCAAAGTAGTTCTGTGTGTATGACCCTTCTTTGGCTTCTGGGTACTGAAAAGAGCTCTTGGGAGGGACTCTTCTGAGGTCTTCCTGGGAGCAGAGCAGTACACATGGTCTGGAATTGGGTTACATGGAATAACTTTCAAGGAGAGCCACTGAATAAAGTGCCTGCATTCCTATCCATTGATTGCTGATAATGCTATAAGATGATCTTTCTCTTCTTTATTTTTATTTATTTATTTCTGAGACAGAGTTTTGGTCTTTGCAGTGGTATGATCTTGGCTCACTGCAACCTCCGCCTCCTGGGTTCAAGCAATTCTCCTATCTCGGCCTCCCAATTAGCTGGGATTATAGGTGCCTACCACTGTGCCTGGCTAATTTTTGTGTTTTTAGTAAAGATGGGGTTTCACCATGTTGGTCAGGCTGGTCTTGAACTCCTGACCTCAGGTGATCCACCACCTCGGGCCTCCTAAAGTGCTGGGATCACAGGTGTGAGTCACTGTGCCTGGCCTTCTTTATTTTTTTTAAGGTTATTACTGTGACTCTCTGGCTAACTCCTATTCATCTTCAAGCCTTTTCTGAACCCACAATTCAAATTGCAGCTCCCTTTGCTTCTCTTCCACAGCAGTTGTACTTATGTATGTCTATTTATATAATTTTGAATTTGTTTCATAGTTGTCTCTCTTTACATAGTAAACTTAATGAATTTGGGGACTCCATCTGTTTTACTCACCACTTGATCCTTGGCATCTGACACACACTTGCTGCTCAATACGTATCTACCCAATGAGCGAATGGACTGGACCACTTTTAAAGACTGGAGTATTTCCTTATACTATGTGAGATCATTTTTTGAGGACAGTTTGCTATTGGAAGCTTTTGCAAAACTAAGATCATTTTTACAGTATAAATAACCTCTGCTATGTTTGTTGATACTACAAGTTTACATTTTCTTATGACTCTTTTTGTTTAAGTAGAGCACCTCTGTGTTTAGGAAATCTAGAGCTATTGTGATACCTTTGAGTTTGCTTGGCAGATTGCTGGGACTTGAACCACTGAGCTTATCTGAAAGCCTCAGAGGGCCTTGTAGCCTCTGTCTTTTAGAAGGTATAGGTAAAGGCTTGTTTACCCGCAAATGGCTTATCTCTCTCTGATCATAACAACCATGGCACTAATGTTTTTCTATAGAAAATAGGATATTTTTATTGGTTTGAAGATACATAAGAAAAATAATGAGAATGTAGTGGTATTTTCCTAAAACTAAATTAATTTATTTTGAATTTCATCAGTAAACATTCATTAAGTGTCTGTTATATGCCAGGCATGTTCTAGGTCTTGGAAATATATCAGCAAACAAAATAGGGAAAAATCCCCACACTGTTGTATTTGTTTTCTATTACTACATAGCAAATGAACACAAATGTAGTGGCTTAAAAACAACACCTATTTATTATCTCTTGATTTCTGTAGGTCGGAAGCCTGAGGTTGGCTTAGCTGGAGTCTCTGCACAGAGTCTCACCTAGTTGAGATCAAGGTGTCAGCTGGGACTATTACCTGTGGCTCATGGTCCTCTTCCAAGCTCATCTAGATTGTTACAGATTTCATTTACTTGCAGTTGGGGTAATTGGATCATGGCTCACTGCAGCCTTGAACTCCCTCTCAAGTGATCCTCCAGCTGTGGCCTCCCAAAGTGCTGGGAGCACTGAGCCTGGCCAGAAAGAGCTTTTTCACATTTATTTAATCACACAGTTTTATTTTATATTACTCTTGCACACACATAAGAAAGAAAATATCAGCAAACAAAGTTGGTTAAGGTATTCCAAAAATTATGCAGGCAGTGAAGATATCTAGCCTGCTGGGTCTACAGCAATTGATTGGAAGATGCCAATGTTTGTAAGAAACAATCTTGATTTTTTGTTTTTTTGTTTGTTTGTTTTTGAAATAGGGTCTCACTCTATTGCCTAGGCTGGAGTGCAGTGGTGTGATTACAGCTCACTGCAGCCTTGAACTTCTGGGCTTAAGTGATCTCCCACCTCAGTTTCCTGAGTACTGTCACTACAGGCATGCACCACCACACCCAGCTAATTTTAGTAGTTTTTTTCTTTATAGAGCCAGGGTTTCACCATGTTCCCCAGACTCGTCTCAAACACCTGAGTTCAAGCAATCCACCTGCCTTAGCCTTGGCCTCCCAAAGTGCTGGGATTATAGGCAAGAGCCACTGTGCCAGGCCTTTGATTTTTTTAAATATGCATTTTAGAATGAATTATAATAACTGTTTAATAAATGTTGGAACTTGACAAATAAAAAGGTTAGCCAGGCGTAGTGGCTTACACCTGTAATCCCAGCACTTTGGGAGGTCAAGGTGGGTGGATCATGAAGTCAGGAGTTTGAGAATAGCCTGGCCAATATGGTGAAACCCCATATCTACTAAAAATAGAAAAATTAGCCAGGCATGGTGGAGCATGCCTGTAGTCCCAGCTACTTGGGAGGTTGAGGTAGGAGAATCACTTAAACCTGGGAGGTGGAGATCACAGTGAGCAGAGATGACACCACTGACTCCAGCCTGGACAGCAGAGCAAGACTGTCTCAAAAAAAAAAAAAATGGTATTTGGTACCCTCAGTTGTTTTGAGAGGTCAGTGATACATGAGCTTTACAGGTCCGGAAACTACTGTCCTATAGTGGACCTTGCACTTTCTTTCTCTTTCTGGGGTATCTTTTTTTTTTTTTAATTATCAAATATTATACTTTAGGAGTAAACACATCCCACCTCATAAATTTAAAGTGATCTCTCTCACTTCTGCTCTGAGCCCCTCTAAACTCTTACTGGCCTTATCATACATTCACATGGCATTTATAGTACACTGTATTATTATGTTAATATGTATTCTTTGTTTCCCTCAATGAGATTGGAAGTTCCTTGAGAAGAATTATTTGTTATACCTTTTATTCCCTCCTTCGGTGCTTACTTTTTAAGCAGATGGAAAATTTGAGAGGATAAATAATTTTTCCAGATACTTCCAATAAATATAAAATTACCAGTGGCTAATGGGTAAAATACTTATTTTACACCAGATAATGCTAATAGACATAAGTGGTTTTTTTCTTTTTCTTTTTTTTTGAGAGGCCCACACTGGAGTGCAATCTTGCACCTCCACCACCCAGGTTCAAGTAGTTCTCCTGCCTTAGCCTCCTAAATAGCTGGGATTACAGGTGCACGCCACCTTGCCTGGTTAATTTTTGTATTTTTAGTAGAGATGGGGGTTTCACTGTGTTGGCCAGGCTGGTGTCAAATTCCTGACTTCAACTGATCCACCCGCTTGGCCTCCCAAAGTGCTGGGATTATGGGCTGAGCCAGTAGTTTCTTTAAGATGGCTCAGTCATGACAAACCTTGAGTGTCAGTCAGTTTCTTTCACCAAAAGCCAATGTAAGATTGAGTGAGCTGGAAGTTGATGAAAAGGAAATGAGATGAAATCCTTTCTCTTCTGTCTCATTATTCTGATTCTTTCATGGTTTTGAAATTGCCATCCCTTCATTGCTGTGGCAGACTTTTAATGACTGAGCTTCAGTGATAAGAAACATCAGTTCTCCTAAAATGAACACATTCCTGAAAATAACTGATCTCTAGATATTAGGGCGTATCAGGAAGCATCTTCTTAGAACCCTTCCTGGATCTCCAGTCTGACTTGCATGCACTTTCTCCTCACCCTCCAGCCTGCAGACTTCACAGCAATCCTCACCCAGTGCTGAGGGAGCCCCAGCTAGACTTCGCCTCCTTAACAGTAGGATGGATGGCTTCTTTGCTTTTTATTCCTACACAGCATTCCTT